ATATACTTAGGTTTCTTCTATTACTTCTTTTCTTCTTTTAATATACTAAACGCTAAATATAATACTACTTTTACTATTATTTTCTTTAAGTTACGATATACGCCTTTAATTATATTAACGAGATCGTATAATAATATATATTCTATTTCTCTTCGATTATAGAACTTAGTAAGTTCTAGATCTACTATACTCGGATATAGGGGTTATATAGTAGTAAGGAAGTCGATTTATACTATATCTTCTATAGCTTCTATTATATATAGAGCCTTATACTACTTATATAGAGACTTCTATTAATAAAACTATATCTTTAAGTCTTTACTTTGTAGTACTTATTTTAAAGTATACTACTTACTTACGAGGCTTTATCTCTTTATTATATCTAAGGGTTCTAGATAGTCTCTTAGTATCTTTAGCCGATAATAGAGTATAGACTTATCTTTATAATATAGGCGGTTAGATAGAGATATCGTTCTATTAAATCGATTATTAAGATATTAGATTAGAATAGTCTATTATCGATATAGCTTTAATTAATATTAGTAGTCTCTATCTTTCCTATCTAGCGTCTATTTCTCCTTCTATATAAGGATATTTAATTCGATATAGAGAGATAGTTTAGGCGGCTCTAGTAATAGAATTAGTTCGAGTTAGGAGAGATCGATATACTACTATAATTCGTTAGTCTATACTTTACTTTTAAAGACTCTATACTAGTTATTCTAGTTATTAAAAGTACTTAGAATAAGAGTAGTTTTAACGAAGATAGTAGAAGAGTAAGTCGACTTCTCGTAGTATACTACTATTATTTCGATTACGATAGAGAATAATTCTATTAATACTATTAATTAGTTCTCGTATTAGAGTATAAATATTACGAATAAATATATTCGATTATTAGTCGTTCGTAGAGTAGTTAGTCGTAAATCGAGCTTATAACTATTAGTAGATATACTAAAAATATTATATTTACTCTCGCTTTATCTACTTTATAGTATATAGAGTACTTCTATATATACTATAGAAATCGGAGAGAATACTATATCTCGTACGGTCTATAGATTATTCTAGAGAGTAGTAAACCTCGTCGTTAATATCGTTATCGAGCGTTATTTAGGGTCGATAGCGAGGTTTAGGAAGTGTAGCTAACGTAAGTGTTCCTTGGTAGTGGGGTATCGGAGCCGACTGTGTACAACAAGATACAACAATCTTCTAATACGCAACTTGGATCTTAGGTGGCCTTTGAGTTGGCACTCTCTTCATCTTCGTCGGCGGGCTGGAGGACACCGGGTTCATATGCAAGTGTGGTGGCCAATCCGACCAGCATCCAACTCAACCGGTCTGATCTTTTAGTGGGTTCGAAGACATCTTCACGCCATCGGATGGTGGCTTCGCTGTTGCGATCTTGTGGCATAAACGTGTCGTCTACAGTTGGAGCAAGGCTCGCATCCCAACTATCATTTTCCGGTGGGAAATGCAGCGCTCTAGGGTGCCAATCTGTAATCAACAACAGTACCTATATACTGCCCAAACGTCCGACTCTTGGCGATGCTGTACTTCTCGGATCCGAAGGTTATACGCTGCACGATATGCTCGACATGTCGCCATAGTCGGGCATGGATGTAGTCTGCTCAGACAGCCCCGCCCGCAATGGCTCTTCTAGAATGAGTCGCCAGTGATTCGCCATATCGGGATTCGTGATCCCGCCAGTTTGATCGCCGTTTGGTGCCCATCGTCTGCACCTTATACGTCTTGTCCTACATTGATCGCGGGAATATCGGAAATGCAAAGACTGCAGATGCCCAGGATGACCTTGGTCCATCCAGTGCACCGTGGACCTGGGTGCTGAATGCCTTTTATATCGCATATGTTCTCTTTGGATGGGTAAGTCTCGGTTGTGGTGGTTGTCGGGCAAAAAAGAAAGTAACTGACGAGATGCGGCCCGACCACACTTCTGGGGAAAATCTTTCCTGCACACATCTACGTCGCTTGCCTGTGTCTGTTGTGGGGAGTTTGTGCCATGTGTTCCGGAGCCTCGACCAAGATGAGCGAGCTGGTGGTGTGCCGTATCTGCTGGGGATATTCGAGGCCAGCTTCGGCGCCAGAGCGTGAGTCCCATTGCTGCATGATTCCATGTGTTGAGAGCTAATCATCCATCCATCTAGGCCATATTTTCTCTCCCTCTTCTACCAACGCGGCGAGCTAGCCTTTCGGACTTCCATCTTGTTGGGCATGTCTCCCTTGGCCAACTGCTTCGCCGCCGCCCTCGCACTACGGTCTGACGCACGCCAAACATTCCAGCGTGGCGCTGTGGAGGCTTCTCTTGCTCGTCGAGGAGCTCCAACCATCCTGTTTGCACCCGTCGTCTTCTTTTTCCTTCCCGATTCACCTGGCTCGGCCAAGCTCCTCAACGAGGATGCGCAGACGCACGCCGTGGAGCGACTACAGACCCGTGACCACACCGCGAAGCACCGGATCCAATGGCAACAACTTTTTGCCGGGTTGACCGATTACCGCAACGTCGTCCACACTCTGATCCATTTCATGTGCAACTATTCATTTGCAGGGCTGTCAAACTTGCTGCCCACCATCGTCCAAGGACTGGGCTACTCGAGCATCAATGCTCAGGGTCTCACCGCGCCCGTCTACTTTGCCTCTTTCTTGCTCTGTGTGACGGCGGCGCTGGTTAGCGACAGGTGGGGCCGACGCGGCTTCATCGTCGCCGCTGCTGCCAGTGTCAGATGCATCGGATACCTGCTGCTGGCCACTGTTGAAGACAATCCTCACGTTCGCTACCTCGGCGTCTGGCTCGCCGTTTGTGGAATCTTCCCAGCGTTATGTATCAACGTGAGTTATGGCGCCCTCATTAATCACCTCACTCCACTCCGTGTTGTTTACTGACAAGTCATCGGCCTTCGCAGATCACATGGCTCCTCAATAACAACAGCAGCGAGTCCAAGCGTGGTGCAGGCCTGGCGGTCCTTGCAACATTTGGCCAGTGCAGCTCCTTCCTGAGCTCGGCCGTATTTCCCAAGGAAGATGCGTGAGTTGTGTTCCTGTGTCAGCTGTGGCGTGCTCTCAGCTAATCAAAAATGCCATCTTAGACCTCATTACAGTAAGGGTTGCGCAATCGGTTGCGGCTTTGCCGGCGCGATCATCATCCTCTCCCCGGGGACTCTATTTCCGCCTTCGTCACATCAACAAGAAGAAGGACGCCTTGCATGGAGCCGTGGAAGATGACCAGCAATTCGATGTGACCACGCTCGGAGACTCGCACCCGGCGTCTAGGTTCCTCCTTTGAAGGAAGAGCCAACACTATGTCCGAATATCCTGGCGGCGTGCGGGCAGGGATTGTAGCCTGTGAGAATTTTCGTACTCCCAGTTTTCGCCAAAAGCTTTTTGCCAAGCGCTGTGAAGAGGTATACAAGAGCAGAAGTGATGAGATGGTCACGAGCTTCATCAGCCTGGCAGCAGAGCACTCTCCGATTAGCTCGCGTCGAGGGCTTGAGTGGCAGAGATCAATGTAACCCGAGATATGTTATCCATCTTAGCCACTGCATTAATGGTATCTTCATTCCTCCAAGTTGCAAACTAGAAGGGGCTCCTATAAGCCTCGTCCCTCAGAGATGGAAAGGCTATAGCAGGTGCTACAGGCTGACGTGAACGACAGGGATGTGTCTAAACGAGGAAAAGGAGTCCGGAGTCTTGGGGGCATACTTAAGGTTGGACTAACTACACAATAGTGTCCCTTCCCTTGGCATGATGTGCTCGCGATGACTACACAGTACACAGTGAATCAGCAGCCTCTGTCACTGAAACCATGTTTCGACCGAGAATCTGGGTCACTACTTGGCGGGATTCTCCCCGAACGTTAGGTCGTTGACCGTGATGTCGGCCAATTACAAATGATAACGACCCGGCAAAGGAGCTAAGCTGGCTGGAGGAGTGCGACAGACTGGAGTGGATTTTGCAGCGACGGGACCCTGACCCAGGAACGCCATTTCGTACTTGGAAGCCGAACAAGAAAAGAAAGGTAAGTCGAGAACAAACCGGAAAGCAAGAACAATGTTCTCGAGGATGGAAGGATCCAAATATGGAGTTCACCGTGCTCTCATTGGCAGAACCATGCAGAGAGTCTGCAGCAGAAGCGAAACCGCTCAAGGTGTGAGGGGATTGAATCGTGTGTCGAAGGATCAAAGAGGTGAGAAGAAGGGATGGATACTGTGTAAGTCTCGAGGAGATGATAAGAATACGGGAACAACGGCCCGGTCTGGGTGAGCGCCCGCTTGAGGTGCGAGCACGTTTACTATTGCTTGATCTGCCAAGTTGAGCTTGAAACAATTTACCTTCCTACACCAGTAAGTCTGTTACGGTGTGAAAGCTTTTTAATCCACAGCAGATTGACTCCCAAGCGGTGCGTAATCTTCGAAAACAAAATTGTCTTTGGTGTGGGGGATACGTACTGTTCATGGCGTGCTGGGGGAGCACCATAACGCAATTGAGAGGCGCCACCATGTCGACACTCACCTCCATGCCTCCTACGTCCCTCGACGAATGAAATTGGCTTCCTCGCCACGATCAACAGTTACAATCCTCAGACAGATTTACTTATTAGAACACTGGTCACGGAAAGTCACCGGAATGGTCGACATTGCCACATGCGCAGATGTGCGCTGCACTTGGACTGTGGGTATAGGCATGCGCGGTATAAGTACTTCGAGAATGGACCGGCAAAAAACAAAACCTTCACATCTCACGCCTTGCTACACTTAAGTTTGCTCGTCTTACACAATGGCTGTTGAACTCTTGACGCAGGCCGACGGCTATGGCATCATTATTGGCCTGTCGGTATTGTTCTGCCTCATTATCCTAGTGGCAGTGCGCATCCAGAAGAGGTATCTTTCTGAAGACAGCGACCAATCGGAGATGTTCATGGTTGCCAACCGTTCTGTCGGAACCGGATTGACCGCCTCTGCAGTGTTCTCGAGCTGGTACGTTGAAACGGCAGTGACTGTGAATACATGTGGATTGACCATGACAGGATGTGGATCAATGAATCTGTCTTCTCGGCCGCCTATACCTATAAATGGGGTATCGCGCTACCCATTTGGTGGGCAAGTGGTCTGTCTTTCCAGATTGCTCTCATGGCTGTGCTAGGTATCGTGGCGAAGCTGCGTGTCCCTTATGCACATACCTCGCTTGAGATCATCAGAATGAGATATGGCAACTATGCACATTGGTTGTTCATCCTGCTGAACCTGGTCAACAACATCTTTGGCTGCGGCAGCATGATTCTCGCCGGGTCTCAACTGGTGACTGGCATGACCGGCATGCACGTTATAGCTGCAGCCATTTTGATCCCTGCAGGAGGTAAGTCAAGTCGATGATGGGTGACGTATGCACATACTGATGCTTGTGATGTTCAGTCGTCACCTACACTGCCGTGGGAGGGCTTAAGGCGACATTCCTGACAGACTTCCTGCACACCACCATCGCCCTGATTCTGTTGATCTACTTCTCCCTTGCAGTCCTGACGAATGAGCACATTGGTGGTTTGTCAGGCTTGTACGAGAAAGTCAAAGCCACAAATGACTACATTGATGGGAACTACAAAGGCTCCTTGTTGACTATGAAGTCGAAGAGATGTAAGACGACACTGACGTTCCATGCAAACCAATCACACTGACACCCGTTTTAGCACTCATGTTCGGTCTCGTGCTGAAGTTCGGAAATTTGGCCCTTGTGCTCATGGACACGGCTTTCTGGCAAAAGTCGTTCGCTTCCGAAGTGCACTCGACTGTGCCGGCATACGATCTTGTGTCGATCGTCATCCTTGCCATACCATGGTGCACTGGCACCATCATCGGCCTCAGCGCACGCGCAATCGAAAAGACTCCTGTCTGGTTCGACTATCCCAACACCTTGACAACGACTCAAGTCAACTCCGGCCTGGTCATGCCATACGTGCTAAGGTCCCTGCTGGGCAAGGGTGCCACCACCGGTCTGCTAGTGCTGATCTTCATGGCCATCACCAGCACCGTGTCTTCTTCCATGATCGCAGTCAGCAGTATCATCTCTCTGGATTTCTTTCGCACCTACATCGACCCCCGTGCGTCAGACCGCAAGATTCTCAAGGTGAGCCACTGGGGCGTTGTCTTCCACGGGTGCTTCATGGCCGGTTTCGCCATCATGCTTGAGTACGCCGGCGCCACAAACAACTGGTCCACTTACTTCCGGCCCATCGTCGCATGTCCTGGAATCCTGCCCATGATCCTGACACTTTTCTGGTCTCGGCAAACGAAGCTGGCCGCCATTCTCTCTCCTATTCTTGGTCTTTGCTCAGGCATCGCGACCTGGCTATCCTTGTCATGGGCATGGTCTGGTGCGATCAACATCCAGACCACCCAGGACCAGGTCCCAGGTCTGTACGCTGCCATTGTCTCGTTCTTTTCACCAGCACTTTACTCCGTCATCATCTCCCTAGCTTGGCCAAGCAGGTTCGACTGGCGCGAATTCTTGAGGATTGACCTGATCGAGGACAAGAGCCAGCCGAATAGCTCTCTTCAGTCCAAAGACCCGAGCAGCGAGGCCGTCAATGAGCCTGTCAAGACACCGCAAGAAAAAGAAGCTTATGTCACAGGTGGAGTGGAGAACGGCTCCGTAAAGAGTCCACAACGCACTCTAGTGAATGGTCAAATCCCTCTCGATGAGGTGCATCATCCGTTTGACGAACAGACTATTCGCCATATCAAGAAATGGTTCAAGATTGCGTCCATCTTCTTCGTCGTCAACGTCCTGGTTACCATTGTTCTTTGGCCTTTGCCGCTATATCGCGACTATATCTTCACCAAGAGTTTTTTCGGCGGCTGGGTCACTATGGCAATCATCTGGCATTTCGGCGCCATGTTTGCTGTTATTGTATACCCGATCTACGACGGACGACATGAGATCATTCGAGGTGTTCGTGGTCTTGTGAAAGATCTGAAGGGAAGGAGATGAGGCTGTGGTATGGCATTGCCACGGTTTCCTAGACATGCTAGAGCGATAGATACTGAATCAAAGGTACCTAGATGATAGATACCATATTATAGATACTAGAAAGGCTAGATGCTCGATCATGGGTGCTAGAAGGATAGACACTAAAGCGATACTCTTTTGATTTTGCTCGATAACAGTGTCTATGACTTACAAAACAACGTCGGTCAGAGCAGCATTGGTCGTGAGCAGATCCAATTCTGAAATTGATAAATGTGCTGCAACAATTGGGAAGTGATCCTCTTGATGGTTTATATTACGCCACAAGTTGATGTCCCATCCTGTTCAAACGCACAACATGACTGAAAGTCAGATCCTATCGTCTCTAAGCGAGTTATATCATATCTTTGCACGCCACTTTCACAGCCTCGAAAGTCCAGCATGATGCAATTTTGTCTTCAATTTGAGCTTCAACTTCACACTCGGTCGCAGCTATAGCCGGAACGCCATGTCGTCCTGTCAAGAAATTCCATCACCAACACCAGCACCAGCCATACATGGGTGAGCCCACGCCATCCAGTGTGTACTTAGTCTTGCACCGGCCATCAGATTGAAGATCAAGGACTCTGCTCGCCGTCGAAGGAACCTCTTCGCCCACTCACTATTGCAGCCAAAGAGGTGGAATATCTAGTTCAATTCACTGCACGATCGCAGTTATTTCTGAAAGCATACCTTATTCTTCGAAGTACACCTTCTGCGGACTGTGATAGAGTCGTCTTCATCTTGTGATCCAATTCAACTTGCACATATTATGTCAGCGCACATGACAACGATATCCAAACCACGTGATATAGTCCACGTGACTCAATTGCTTATCTAATGCAGGCACCGCACTGAGTCGTGATTGGGTGGAAGCCAAATGTGAAAATCCACGCCAAGATTTCGTCCAGGCTGCGCATTTGCCTGACTCCACATTGACTTTTGTTGCGGTTGCCGGCCACTGACAGTCGCTCTGCTAACTCCGACGGGTCGGTGGCTCCTCTCATCAGGAACTTTTTTGCTGCGCTTGACCGACATTACTACATGTACCCAAGTGAACATTGAACAAAGAGCGTGTTCGGGGTTGTTGTGATTATCCCAATTCCAGTTCCTTGTGATCCATTCGGCTGTCGGTCAGAATGCCTGACGAACTGGAGGTTTGTCTTCTCTACCAATACTTAATGTCCTCACAAAACTAAACCTGCCACCAGGAACGGCTGAAGAGCCACGCACGTGCCTTTGACAGTCTGTTGTCGCTCATCCCAGCAAACCTCTATTATGGCGGGGATGTCAGCGTATGTATTTGGATGAGACACTTTCGAAGGTGACTCGGCTAATGGATTTGCAGGATCAATGGCAGCGGAAAAAACAGACTCCCGAGCAGAAGCGGGCGGCGAAAATGGCCAAACTCGACCCGGACAATTGGAAAAGCGCAAAAGACTTGATGGACGAGAGGGCCGCCGCTGCAGCACTGAAGCGGAAACGAGATGACAATGAGGACGCAGAGAGTGTCGAGTCAGCCGACGATGATATGTCTGGTCTGGAACAACCCAAGGCTATACAAGATGCTCAGGCTGGTGCATCGAAGAAAAGAAAGACAGAAGGTCACAACGCACCCCAGTCTGAAAAGGTCAAAGACGCAACAGAGTTAAAGCCCACCGGCGAGACAGAGGAAGACAGCCGACGTCGAAAAGCAGAGTTAAAGGCCGCCAGACGCGAACGAAAGAAGGAAAGAAAAGCAAAGGCCAAGGAGAAGCTGGAAAGACAAAAGGCTAGAAAGATGGAGGGCAAACAGCAGGTGAATGGCATTGAAACTACGACAACAAGCCAAAAGAAGGCACCCAAGGAAGAACTGCAACTAAAGGAGCCGATCACCTTGGACGAACCGACCCCGGCGTCGACTGACAAACCGGCCGATGCCGTCGAAGAAACAAGCCAGGAAGAAGACGAAGTGTCTGTTGCATCATCAGACGCAGACCATCCCGAAGTATTTTCACCACAGCACGAGTCTGGCACTTCATCCATTTCTTCCATCCAGGGCCCGGCCCCCGAAGCGACCGTTAAGCCCCAATCAAAAGTCGAACCAAAACGGAAACCCCAAACTCAAGCCGAACCCGAAACCCAACAACAATCCTCCAACCGGCAGCAGCAGCAGCCCACCTCGACTCAAACAAACACCAACACAGCCCAAACGCCCCGAGAACGACTTCAAGCAGCAATATCGCAACTGCGCGCGGAGCGCAAAGCCGACGGCCCGGACGGACGGGCGCCGAAGAACCGCCAAGAGCTCCTCGAACAGCGACGCCGCAAGGAAGAAGAGCGCAAAGCAGCCAAGAAGGAACAGAAGCGACGGGAGAAGGAAGAAGAAGCTCGACGACAAGACGAGGAGATAGCACGGCGTTTCTCCCCCGGCGGGTCCGGGTCACTTCTTGCGTCGCCGCGCTCGCCGCCCACTAGCAATGCATCTGAAAACTTCAACTTCAGCTACGGCCGGATCGCCTTTGAAGACGGCACGAATTTGAAATTGCTCGACCCGAACACGCCCGAGGTGGTTGAAGAGCACAAGAAAAAGGGTCCACGGGACCCAGCGTCAGCGCTCAAGGTTGCCCTGGCGAAAAAAGAACGGCTGGCCACGCTGGATGAGCAGAAACGCGCCGAAATCGAGCAGAAGGACATGTGGCTGAATGCCAAGAAGCGCGCTCACGGCGAACATGTCAAGGACGACACAAGTCTTCTCAAAAAGGCCCTCAAGAGACAACAGGGTCAAAAGAGAAAGAGTGAACGTGAGTGGAACGAGCGGCTGGAAGGCGTCCAGAAGGCCCAGGAGGCCAGACAGAAGAAACGCACCGAAAACCTGGCCAAGAGAAAAGAAGAGAAAGGAGCGAAATCCGCCGGTCCCCACAAGAAGAAGGAGAAGAAAGTCAAGAGGCCTGGTTTTGAAGGCAGTTTCAAAGGTCGCACTGGTGGGAAGAAGAAGTAGTCATAATGATGAACAACCATGAACAGCAGCAGTGGTGAAATTTCTCCCTCCCCTTTAGGCAAGTATTCGGTACTGTCTGGAAAGCGAGTCCCCGACGTGGTGATTGAAAGGAGGCAAGGCAACACAACGCATCGCGTACCTACTAGCTTCATTCTAGGGCGTGACACTCTTTGCCGTCGAAGAGATGAAATGGTGGTTTTTGCTAGTGCTGCAGAAAACGCCTCACATCTGCTTTTGCTAGCTGTCCTATCCAATCTTCAGCGTCAACTTCATGATGAACCAACCCGGCAGCCTGATAGTGTTAAATATAAAAGCTTCAGTTCGTCAAACATCATGATCTAAGCTTAGTCTTTCGTCTTTCTTCACGGAATACTTGAATACAGCCACCTATGTACCCTTTACTCGGAGGACTATAAGTTTTCGCGTATCGATTGTCCTCCTTCCAGGCATTGTCAGTGTAAACCAACTAAGTAGTCAGGATCAACAGCCACTCTCCCTCGTTTCTCTCTTTCATGCTTCCTCCTTGGACATAAGGGACGAAGTACCATTCCCACTTTCCTTCTTAGTCCATTTCAACATTGTCTCCCTACCTTCCCGGATCCATGATCCCTAACTCTCAATTCACCAATCAATCAGTCAATCCCGTCAGTCATATCAATCAGAGAGTACCTAGGTATAAGCACTTCTCCGCCTGATGATCGGACCATACTTATACAGCACCCACGGGATCGGAAGCAGGCCGACCGTGACGAATCCAAAGAGACTAGTTGCCCAAGCGACGCCCATTCCACGGTACCTAAAAAACATAGAATAAAAGCGTTAGTCTTATCTTGGACCCAACAATCCACTTCAATGCAACGCCGTCTCCAAGAGTAAAGAAAAACTCACATCTGAATCGTAAAAAGGGGAAACACCCCGCCGACCACATATCTCAACAACGCATTGGCAGCAATGGCACTGGCGCCCATTAAAGGACCATACGCATCGACAAGATAACACACACCGGAGCAAAACACAAGCATATTGCCCATCCCGAACGGAATTGTCGCGAGAACCGGCACGATCCAATGGACGGACGGCCGAGCTGACCAGGCGAACCAGAATAGACCGATGGGCAACATGAAGGACCCGACCATGGCCGCATAGAGTCTCTCTTCTGGGGGTAACTGGACGAACTCTCCCACAGCCCCTGCCCCCGCCCCTGCCCCAGCCTGTCCGTTCTGCATCATGCTCCGCATCTTCTTGCGATAAATAAACAAATCAAAGCCAATAAACGCCAACGTCCCCAGAACCACGCCCAATCCAATCCCCAAAAACACCAGCCCGGACTCGCCCTCGTTGAAATGATAGACCTGAATCTCCGGGTAAAAAGATTCAAAGACAAGCGGGAACGCAGCAAAGAACCCAAACAAGACACTAAAGTTGAACGCCGTATAGATACTCGTAAAAGCAACAATCGATTCCGTCCCCAACATCCTCAGCGGCCGGAGAAGCGTGACGATCAGCAAAAACTTGATAGGCGACATTCCCGGCGGAAGCGGGCTAGGGGCCGGCGGCAGACCTAATTTCTTTGCGCGGCGTTGAAGGATGATTTTCTTGTACGTTTCTTGCTGCGGGATCGTGACTGCGTAAGACAATGCCCCCCAGAATAGTGTAAGCCATTGTGTCCAGCGCCATCCTTTTTTCATCGCCACATAGCCGCCGATAGCTGGGCCGAGCGCAGGACCGAGAAAGGGCGTCATGACGAATAGCACGCCCGACACCGCTCGTTGGTATGGTGAGAATATGTCTGAGTTGGAACCCGCCCCGACGGCCAGACATCCCGATCCCAAAAGTCCCGCGAAAAACCGACATACTACTAGTGTTCCGAAGTTTTTGGCGAATCCGGCGCCGAGCGTGAAGAATAGTGATGATGGGAAGAAGACCAGATATGCGCCGCGCCGGCCGTACGTTTCCGAAAGTGGTGCGCTGACGACGGGCCCGAATGCAAGTCCGATCACGTAGACTGTTAATGTTACGATTGCGGCTGTGATGCTGACGTCGAAATGTCGCGCGATCTCGGGGATACCTGAAAGTTAGTGAGAAATAGAGTAAGTAATCTGGCGGGTCAATGGCCCTAAGCCAGTTCAGGTGAGCATACTGGGTGTGATGACTGAAGCGCCGAATGTGCTATGTCGGACGGTTAGGTTAGCTGCAGGTCAAAACCGAAATTAACCATGGGGGAAACCAGAGGCGTACATACATTGTAAGGCATTGAAGCGCAGGGAATAGAGAGTGATAACTCTTCTTGAGTAGCGACCAGTTTAGCGGATTTTCAGGGTCGTCTGGTCCATCCCAATCATGAACTGTGGCAGTTGGTGGACTTGGACCATTGCTCTGTTGTGCTGTCGCTGTGCCTGTGCCTGTGGTGGTGGCATGTTTCTCGAGGTCTTGTTCAGCAATGGCAACAGGGACTGGCGTAGACCCATTTGAACCAGTAGTCGAATCGCTCGGGGCTGGGTTCTTCTCCAACATCGCGCTTTGGTCGGTAGCTTTGACCATAGTATTGTTCACGCACAGTATCAGGGGAGGGGGTTTAAGTATCGAAGACTGGAAACGCGATATCGCTGAATCTGGTTGAATAAATGTTGAACAAAGAGGATGCAGGCTTCTTCAACAACGACAACAGCCCACCTCAACTCACAGGCAAAGAAAATATCATAACCGAACAAACGGCAGACCGGTGACCGCCATTCCTTTGACAGTACAGGCTGAGCCGAACGCACCACAATTTATCCGCTGATGTTGTTAGTTTGATCGTCCTCTCATGCAAAACCCTACCGTGAGCCGAGCCTCGCTTCCAGTACTCTTTCATCATACTTGCGGAGTCTTGTTCAGTAACGAACAGGTCTCTTTGCGACGGTCAACCTGTCAGACCATTGGGATCCGCGGATGCCCACGAAAGCCAGGCTGTTTGGACGTTGTGAGCTCATTCGTGAACAACGCGTGTAGCCACGGAGATGACTTCAAATTAAGCACGGGGGCTATCACGAAGCGGGTGTAAGCAGATCGGATGTGATGATTCCCGGACTTCGTCTCCTTTTGGGAGTAGTGATTTCGGTACCCTGGACATGAAGCAGCGTAAGGCTGGCTAGCCCAATCCTGGTCGATCATTAATTCAAGGATAACGGGATGACTTCTTAATCTGATAGCCGAGAAGCTATAACAACGGCAGACATGCCACGCACACAACGGAGCCTGTGAGTCCGAAACATGTTGAGCAGCACAGCCCGAGGGGCCTCATCGGCCAACGCCGGAACGATAACCGGCATATATATAGTAAAGCAAAGGAAGAGCAAAGCAGCCGGGAGCGCAGTCTTTCAAATCGACGATAATCGCAAAACCAGAGCTGAAATGCAGCACGCAGATGGAGCACAGAGTGGCAGGCAGTTGCTGTACTTGCCCAATTGTTCCTCATCGCTTATATAATACGGACTCCTTCGCTTGGCAACCGGGTGGACTGGTCCAAATCACCTGGAATGAACCAGTCTCCCCCCGTTAACAGCAACTTGAAGTCTGAACTCACGCAAGCAGTCCAAAGTCTGGGGTCCTGTACAGCTCTTCAATAACTTGAATGTGGGAGCTCCCTGTGCATCATACATCCTGAATGGGCAAGGTTCAATGCAAAAGGTATGATACTAGTAGCAGGCGGAGTACCTGAACTACAGAAACTCTTCATCCACCGTCCAACTCGGATCAAGGCGTCATGTGTGTGCAATACATATCACAATCCTAACGACCGGAAATAAACATGTGCAATACTCGTAGTCGTCCCAGCTACGATATGGATTTGCAACCGACATCTCATCCGCCACCCAGCAAGTGTCCATAGCAGCCATAAACTCGTCACCCTCGGGTTGAATGATCGTTGTGTCCTAGGTCACCGTCTTGTGCTGGCTCAAAGGATCCAATGACTCGCCAGCATCGTATTCCTCGCGCCTCATGATACTCTCTACCGGGCCAAGGAGTCGTTTGAAACCCTCTCTTCCAAGTTTGGCGACCTTCACATCGGTCTTGGCCACTACACTTGCGGCACGGGGCTTGTCGTCCAACAAAGCCAATTCACCAAAGAAATCCCCTCTCTTGTACTCCTTGACAGGGCCATCGATGCCTTGCTTGTATGCCGCAGCCTCGCCTGCTTCCAGGAGATAGAACGAGTCACCCGGCTCTCCTTCTGTGATGATGTTGGTACCAGCAGCAAATTTCACCGTCTCAAGAGCGTCAGCAATCTTAGCTCGCTCATACGGTTTGAGCGAGGAGAGGAGAGGGACCTCCTCCAAGAAGCTCTCGTACATCTTGCGCTTCTGGAATGCATTGTCCATGAGGATTCGGCGGAATGTAACACGGTCTAACGCCCAGAGCAAGCCGCCCTTGGATGCACTGACAACTGTTGCAGCACGAGGAGCGTTGTACATCAGCGCCAGCTCGCCAAAACTGCCGCCCGGCCCGATGGTTCCGACCTTGTTGCCCAGGCCTTCGGGTCCTGATTCGACTGTGCCACTAGGGTTAATATAGATATCGAATTCGCCCGACTCGACAACGTAGAAGTAGTCCCCTTCATCGCCCTGGGTGATGACTTTGATGTTTGGAGCAGGGATAGATTTCTCCACTAAAGCATCTAGCACCAGATGGAAGGATTCTTCATCCAGACTGGAGAACAAGAAGTTGTTGGCTACGGCGTGCTTGAGACGCTCGTATTGTTCGGGAGTCTTTGGGTGTTTGGGGGGCTTCCAGTTGCCTGAGTCAGCATCCGGTTGCATGGATTCGGCAGAGACCGATGTCCTGCGACCAGCAGCATAGTTGTTTGGCAGTGGTTGTTGGCCTGGCGTCTCTGACTCGGTGGTAGCAGCGTGGCCACCCCAGTTCCCAAATAATCCACCGCTGGCACCGGCACCAGCTGCCGCACCGAAGCCGGAACCACCAAAAGGTGAGCGTTCTGAGGCCCGGGATTTGGAGGTGGGATCGGTCGGCGAGCCAAAGGTATCACGCTCTTCGTCCTCCTCTTCTATGCTGATGACATTCTTGGCCGCGAAGGGGCTGCGGCTGTCGAAAGGGCTAGCAGTGTCCGCCATGGTTCGACGTCCGTCAGAGGTTGAGCTGGCGCTCTTCTTCCAAGCAGCCCGCTCGATTTCGAGCTGGCGGTTGAAATAGTTCGCACAGTGCTGGAGAGGGTCGTCAGGTTTCGCTTGAAGCAGGTCTTGGATCAAAGCATCAACGACAGCTTGATGAGGAGCAGGGAGGGACATTGGCGGCGAGTCTCAGATGTGGGGGAAAGATTGGGACGGGCCTGCTGATGTAGGCCTAGGATATTGTGCAATGGTTGACTGGGAAGAGGGACAAAGAAGGATGGATCCCTTTGGCTCAGGTAGCAGGGCGGCCGCTGGCCAGTGTGGTCCGTGGTCCGGGTGGGTTATTGTGGTTTCGAGAAGGGGCAGGGAAGCCTGACACGGGCGAATCACAGCTGCCAAACCCAGGATGCTCTGCAGTGTAGCTTTCGTTTCCCGGCTCTGGCCACTCAGTGGTCGACAACTGGAAGCGGGCTGCAAGCCTCTGCCTCTCTACAGCGGAGCAAGCAAGGGCTAAGGCCAGGGGCGGGGCAGCGCAAGAAGGTGTTTTGATATGCAGTAGTGCAGATTGTCCGTGGCTAGATGACGCAGTTGGAGGGGGGCGCCCACGGGTTCGCAAGCCAGTGATGTCTCGACGTCTCCAGCTATTTGCACGACCACGGGCGTAAGAGAGGAAGCCGAATGAGCATGAACCGGCGAACTTGAAGCTGGTGTAAAAGAAGAAGAGAAGCACGGTCTCAAGTCATGTAGAAATTGGCTTGAGGAGGTTGAGGATCAAAGCTGGAGTTGGTGATCTGGGATACCTAAGCTGAAGTGAGGTAGGTACCTTGGGTGGTAGGCAAGAAGGCGCAGTTGGCGATTGGCACCAGGCCGGGGACTCGGAGGGAGCAATCCTGCCGCACCGCCAACACAGGTGTTTAGCGGTGCTAGTAGTGGTATTTTAGCACTAGTCACCGCCAAATTAAACTAGCAGCTCCCTAAAATGGAGAGCAACATCTGCATGACGAGGGACTCTTGAGCCGCTGGACTGCTCTGCAGTGCCAATGAGCCTGAGAAGCTCTGACCGTCCTTGCAGTGCAGTGGTAGAACTATTTCCAATCTTGCAAGTCGAGAGCATCGGGGAACTCAGATAGACTATAATTACTATTCAACGCGACCAGGATCTCTTTGTGTCTCAACCCCTTCAAGCTCCTCTGCTCGCGGAGCACAGACTGTCGTGACATGTGTTGTAGTACCCCTCCCACAAATGTTGACCGCCAAAGTATGGATGTGCCGCAAAGACTCCTGTAGTAGCACGACATACAATGTTGTACCAGTAGATCAACCTGCTGTTGGATCGGCCGCGCCATCCTAGGTCGTCCACACCTCCGAAGCCTTCGAGAACCCTTCTAGAAAACGGCAAGGAACATGTGCCTCGAAACGTACTAGCACTCAAACACTCACTTGCTTCGTATTATTAGTAGCTCGTATTATCGAACAAGTCATGCATCCCCCTGTCTCCGAATAGCACAACAACAGAAGGGGATATCTACAAGACAAACAATCTTCCGCTGTCCAAACAAACAATGCGCCGACCTTTGCCATGCAATCCCTGAAGAAACCCTCCCAAGACTTCACTCGAATCCAGCATCTTTTCACCTTGTCGCTATGAGTATTTAGTGCAAGATCTTCTTGAACAATGAGCTGATTCTGTGCTTCTTCTTCTTGTCCTTGGCGCTCGGGCTGCTGGTAGGGGTGGTGTCTGCCTGCTTGGTAGGAGTAGACGTAACACTCGAAGGTGTTGCTGGAGTGGCTGCGGCCTCCTTTTTCGGTGCAGGCGACGATGGCACGGCTGATTCAGTCTTGGGGGCTTCGGTGGTGGAACTGTGGACGGTACCAGAGGTGGCTTCAGTCTTAGGCGCTTCGCTTGTGACTGGTGCAGTAGCAGCCGTAACACCGGCAGCCAGGGCTGGCTCAGTCGAGCCTGCTGGTGCTTGTGTCGACTCCGACGAGAGCTGCCCAGTCTCATTCCGGTTCATCAGTTGCACAGCAGGCTCATCAGCCAGTGTGGGATCCTCCGCACCGTCGGACACAGCTGCAGCCGCTGCCTCAGACACACCAGGAGCGACGGTCGAGGTGGTGTGCGGAGGCGCATATTCAGTAACATCTCCTTCGGTTTTCTCTGCTGGGACCTTAGAATGAGACACCACAGCTGGGGTCTCAGTGTCTGCGGCGCCATCAGAGAGCGCGGCGGCTGCGGATGGGGCCGTGCCAGCCACTGCGCCTGACTGAGTGGATGGCTTCGAGGTTGAGGAAGTGGGAGCGGGGGCGGTAGCAGAGGTGGCCGCAGCAATTGCTGGTGCTGGTTCACCAGCCTCGTCGGCGGTGGGAACCTTTTTCAACAGTTCCTGCTCGACTTCGGCCTTCTCCTGAACCGCCTCAGCCGATGCAGCTGCCTCAGGGGAGACGTGCGCCTCCTCAATGGACTCCTTGACTACCTCGGGAACGCTAGACTCGGGCTCAACCACTGTGGCTGGCTTTTTCTCTTCGAGAGGCACTTTGCCGGCTAGCTCAGCGGTGGTAGAAGTTGGCCCAGCAGAAGAGATCGTCGGGCCGACATCAAGCGTATTGCCTGCCTCTGAACCCATTGGAAGAGAGGATTCTGGTATCAGATTTTCCTTCTTTTCTTCCTTCTTTTCCGATGCGCCGAATCCGAGGGCACCTGCCAGTCCGGCACCCATGCTTGCGATTCCGCCAACAAAGGGCAGGCTGGAGCTGCCAGCCTTCTCATAGTCATCCTGTGATGTGGTCACGCTAGAATAGATACTATTCGAAGTAATCTCGCTTGGAGGAGGGACCTTTTCGCCAGCTGGAAGATCAATCGGGTTTCCAGCCCCGCTAGTGGCCGGCAGAGGATTGACGCTGAAGGACTCCGACTCGGTCTTCTCATTTTGGGCCTGGGGAGTTTCGGGAAATGCGCCTGGTAAACCACTCTCAGTTGTATCCTTGTTGGTTGGGGAATCTACCGTACCAGATGTGACTAAGAGGGAATGAATGTCAGCCGCAACTTCACAATGAATGATTGACAATAATGGTTCAGGGTAGACATACCTTCGGTGGCTTCTCTTCGAGGCTCCAGCGGCACTTGACCAGCCAGCTGGGCCGTGGTGCTCTCGGGTGCCGCGCTGGACGTGGTCACGGCTTCGGGAGCGGTTTCTGTCTTGCGCTTGATCTTGTCGGGATACAGCACATTGTTAATGTTGCCATGGCCATCATCCTCCTGTGGTGCCTGGGAGTCGATAACCCAGTTGTCGTCAACCACAAACTTGTAAAGGATTTTGGTGTCCGCAGAGGGCAATTCGACCTCTTTCTCCCAGATGTCCCCGACTTTGTTCAGTTTTACGCTCTTCCCCCAGTCATCGAATGTGCCGGTGACATGGACGTCCGACGCATCAGGGTGCGGCCTGGGTGCTGGTGTCAGCAATTGCTGGGCCGGAGACCAGAGGACACCGTTCAGGCGTGCCAGCGTGGAATGTAGCCAGACAAGATCTGCGATCACTCACCATCTAAAGACGAAGCTTCCCATGACTGTAGAGTTGGTAGGATCAGAATGCGACTTCGGGAGAGGATTCTGAAAGGAGGACAAGTGTGCGCAAACAGGCGACAGCCTTCAGAAAAAGCTTGGAGTTAGGGTCGGCCTTGTGGTGGCTGGATTGAAGTAAGACTGAGCAGGTGCGCGCGCGCAAGGAGAGAGACGAGATCCAAGAGTTGATCGAATTGAGCGATCCTCTATGAGCACGCGTTTGGTATGATTTTGTGATCGAGGAACGACGTGGATGAAGAGGCAGATTGGGGTTGTTGGAACTACTATTAGCAATGGACGGAGGCTATATCATAGTACTGCGCGAGCTGCGCTTCAGGAGCCGTCGCAGGCGGGCGCGGTGGAGTTTATTGGAGGCTGGGAGGACGCCGCAAGTCTCACTACTAGCACTACTGCCACCCGCCGAACCGCTCTGTGCCCATATTATTATTGCTCAGGCGCACTATCAACCAAACTACTCGTGCTCTAGGTGCCTTTCTTCCCACGACTAGCACCCCAGTAGCGCTGCCTATTGCCCTAGATCACCGCCTGTCGGGGTCAGCTCAATTTTTCATGCCTGTGACTGGCGCTGGTCCGTCCGCTTCCATCCAATTCTAATTTCAATTCAGCCGTGTACTCCAGATCTAGATGGAGTACGGTTCTTGAACTTGCTGGCTTTGGCTATAAGGAGGCTGGTCATAAATAGTTGGATTGAACGTTGTCAGGTACTTTTCGCTCCAGTAGCTGACCAGAAAGTCATTTGGTACTATGCACCCCGGAGAAGTACCTGGCGACGGCCGGCGCGTTGGTCTCTCGGTGGTTTTCAGGGCTTGCATAGGCGCCGTCTAAGGAGTTGCGGCCGGACAAATTGACACAAATTTATCCCTACTATCATGCCCTGCGAGAACCACCCGCTCGGTAGCTTAGGCGCTCGAGAAAGAGTGACTTTACAGGAAAGAGTCTGGCCAACATTCACCGCCGCATTACAACTGTATACTTGCAAAAATCTACCTGGGTATAACTCGCAGTCAATTTGAAATTTCCCTGTTATGGCACTGGATCACTTGAATCACTTCCCAGCTTTTGATATATGCATTTAATTGTAGAGTTGTACGTACAACAGTGTAGCTCTACAACATTGTATACCGCCCCGCCAGAGCAGTGATAGTCCTCACAAGCGTCATTGCATTCCCCACATGTCGCAGTACTGCGGAGGACTCGTCTTTTGTTAAACACCACGAATTCCATGCTCACAGATTCTGTACATTAGACCCTTGCCCATGTGCTTTTGACGGAGGAGTACTTGAATTTACAATGCGCCTTATCAAGCGGCACATCGACGATGACGGCAGTGGAAGCGTCACATTATGTCCTGAGGAGCCGGAAGATATGGTAACAAGAGATATTCAACCTGTACACTCTGTCGGTTACGCTCATCTGAGAACTCAATAGTGGCATGCCTACAACCTGATTCGGCCCAGAGACCTCCTCACAGCATCAGCGATACGTCGAGTGACCACCGAATCCGCTTCCACCGGCTCAACCTCGTCCCAGCGAGTCCATACCAACCTGACCATCCTTGTCAAATCGGTTGACTTCGATCCACAGGCTGGACAGCTACATGTCTCGGGCCAAATTGCGCGGGAGAACAGATACACGAAGATCGGGCAATTCCACACACTGGACCTCGAGCTTAACCGCAATTTCACCCTCGAAAAACAGGTAGGAGGTCCTGATGGCGGTGAAGGCTGGGACAGTGTTGCTCGTGCGCAGCTTGAAGAGGCGATCGATCAGACGAGGGGCACCGAAGCCGTCGCAGTTGTCATGCAGGAAGGACTGGCCAATATATGTTTCATCACGCAGCATCAGACGGTTCTGAGGCAGCGAGTCGAGGTCTCAGTGCCTAGAAAACGTGCAGGAGCAGGACGATCCGCAGATCATGACAAGGGACTGGAAAAATTCTTTGCCACGGTGCTGGACACCTTGCTCAGGCAACTCGAAGGTCTTCTTGAAGGCAAGGATAGCAGTACCAGTTTCCCAATCCTGCTGGCTAGTCCCGGTTTCACTGCTGCTGGATTCCTCAAATACATTAACGAAACAGCGGCCTCGAAAGGCACCAAGCTTCTTCAGGATATGGTCAAGCGGAAAGCGTTTGTTGTTGTCCACAGCAGCTCGGGTCATCTGCATAGCCTCAACGAAGTGCTGAACAGTCCGGAAGTGCTGGCCAGACTTAAGGATACGAAGTATGCACGAGAGACTGCTTTGATGGACGAGTTCTTTGCTTTGCTCCGAAGGGATGATGGACGAGCGTGGTATGGTCCGAAAGAAGTCGAGACGGCTGTCGAGAAGGGAGCCGTAGGTCGAGGCGGCGGAGTCCTGCTTATCAGCAATTCCCTCTTTCGAAGTCAAGATATAGCTACGCGGAGGCGATGGGTCAGACTGGTAGACAGGGTGAGGGAGGTTGAAGGCGGCGAAGTTAGAGTTCTTAGCAGCGACCATGAGAGCGGCAAACGACTTGAGGGTCTCGGTGGGATCGCTGCCATCCTCACATTTCCCATTGAAGAGATGAGCTCCGACAGCGAAGGCTCCGCCGACCCGGAGTCTGCAGATGGTAATGAAGCATTATGAGACGAGCATGATCACTACTTTCAAACTCGAAATCAAATCAAGTTTGGCTAAAGAAGCAAGTCTCCGAATCGTGTCCGTAGAAGTGTTAGGCATCACACTGCCATACTTAAACTGCTAAATCGTGGAAGCAGTACGAGACGTATGTCCAAAGGAGTCCGAAAAGGAGTCTCAGCCTTGTCAGCCCCTCCTCAGCCTTAAAAGGGGTAGTTTACTAAGCGGGGCAATTCCGCTAGCCAGACGCGTCCGATACCACACTGCTACTACTACACTGTAGTTCGACGCGTGCTGTGAAACTGGCTGTGAACTTGAACTTGGTGTTACCAATGACCTCATGGATAGTCTTTGATTCTTTTTCTCACCAGCCCATTTTGGACACATTTCACGACGCAGTTCATGGATAGAGGCCTGAGAGAAAAGAAAGCATTTGATGCGGCTTCCGTTGACAGTGCTGCGGAAATCGCAGCAGTTGCGGGAGCGTGTTTCGCTATCGCAGCCTTTGCACAGGCTTTTATTGCGCTTGCATTTGCTGAGGAACAAAAAAGGTTAGAGGATTGCGACTGTGAGGACTACGACTCTGAGGATTTTGTCTCCGAGGATTCCATCTCTGAGAAATCCTATCTTGAGACGCCCTCATCACCTCCGTCCACCCTGTGTCCCACCACGATGCCGCGCCCTGCTAAGCCTCCCATGACCCTGAAGGAGGCAAAGCGAGCAGCCAAGAAGGATGGCGCTCCTCAGTTCCAATTGACAGCGTCACAGATGGAGCGTGCAGATCGTCTGGAGGCACGGGAGGAACAACGAAAGAAAGCCATAGAGAAGGAGAGACAACGTCGAGAGAACAAACGCAAACGAGACGAAAAGGAGGAAAAGGAACGCGCTGTGAAACGGAAAATGCTGGAGGAGGGCAGGATCAAGGTTGAGGACACATGGGGGAAAGTGACGGCGAGCCAGCCACGGTTGAACAAATTCTTTGTCCGAAACCCAACCAAGCCTCTAGTCCCTTCGAAGCGGAGCATTCGAGACGAGGTCATTGTGGAGGAGAATGCAGAAAACGAAGATGAAGGGGCCGGCGGTGATCGCCAGCCACAAGTGCAGGGAGCAGAAGGCGACCAGGAAGAGAGGGATAATGCTCCTGAGAAGGCATTGACAACCAGCGCAAAGAAGACCATCCCATCTACCGGCAGTCAAGGGCGGGTCAAGGAGTGGCTCAGTACAGCATTACCGACACAGGCTCCAAGTGCGTCTCTTCCGTCTCTGACTGGCATTCTTCATGCTCCCGCTTCAGGTCAAAGAAGTCCGCCACCACTCCAAGGTGTAGGCCATGCGGTTCAGAGCCGGCCTTCCACCTTGAAGGAACAAAGCAAGTCCCAGCTGAATGCGCGACAGAAACAGCCATTACGGCTATCTCAGGACGCCAAAGCCCGCAAGGATGTTCCTCGATCTTCGAAACAAAACACGGCGGACGCACCCCGACGTTCCCCTCGAACAACACAGTCTCAAAACCGAGTCCCTGATGGCACTGCGTCTAAACAGGCCAGCATTTCGATCTCGGACTCTCAGCGAGCTACAACGGGTAAACTGGCAGGGACAGGAGGTGAGCAAAAGAACCAGACACTGTCCTCACAAGACCATTTTACCGATAATGCCCCTAGGACAGTCTCTGGAGCATTCCCCGCCATGAGAGCGAATGAAGACGAAGAAGATTTCACCGAGGGCATAGATGACGAGACGTTCCTCATGCTCTGTGCAACGCAGGAACCTATGAACGACGAAATTGATGCCGGAAACCCATCTAATGCAGCGGAATCTGCCTGCAGCAACCCCGGCGCACCCACGCCTTCATCCGCTCCTGACACGGACCACACAAGAGGACCATCAACAAGCCGATCAGAAACACACCCTCCAGCGGCACAGGAACAAGAGGAAATGGCTCCGCAGGTGCCTACCACCATCGTCAACAATGAAAGCTTCAGTGCCGAGTTTGCCAAATTCGAAGACGAAGAACTCATTGCCTTGGCTGAGGAGGCCGAGGCGAGCACCACTCCTGTGGCCGTAGCTGCAAAGCAATCATCAACCCTGCCACCGCCACCGCCGCCAAACCCAATAGCAACGACATCAAACACGAACCAAGACCAACACCAAACCCGAACGTCCCAAAAAGCAATGAAGTCTTCTCCGAACCGCAAGACAAATGGCAGAGAATCTATGAAGAACCGTGGCCACGGCAGAGGACGTCCTTCGCCAAACCATGATTCGAGGACTAGTAGAGTCCATACTACTAAGCAAACAGCCCCAGCTCCAGCTCCAGCTCCGCCAAGGGATGACTTCCTCGACGCTCCTGGGCCGTCAACGCAGGCGTTGATGCTAGAATTGGTTGCCCAGGCTGAAGCGGCCGCGGCCACGACTACAAAGACAAAACGTTGATCTTGATCTACCTCCTCGCCGTGCCGACTGCAGCTTTGATGAGGTGTGTACTGCTGACACTGACACTGACAATGTCCCTGTCGACTTCTACAGAAGATTACTCTGCCGGCAGGAGGAGAGTGGGTGAATTGGCATCGGAGTGGACCTGGCTGTTTCTAGCGCATGTGTCCTTGGATAGTGTTACTAGATGGCTGCATTGGACACGGGCAGCTCATGCTTCCGGTGCGGAAAGGCAGCCATTCCACTACAAGCATATGAATAAACACTGTTATGAGCATGAACATACCTAGGTCCTGTAGGAAGTAGGGAGGAATAAGATACATCGTCTCGTTTCCAGGCAGTGCGCTGCAGTCTAGTAATTACAGTAGTACTACTACTCGTGATTTGTACATACTGTAGTTGCCCGATATCAATCGACAACCACACCATCACCGAAGGTGTGAGAATATATTGACATATACGGATAGTATGGGCGGCATTACCATCGTACTATGGCCGTAGCAATTGTTCTGGGTTGAGTTGTCCAACGAGTATTCCTGTTGTGGGTGTTTTTCTCTCGTAGTTCGTGTAGCATAATATTAATTAAATACGCATTAAATAAACATACAACGTCTACAAATACTAACACTTGAAAATTTCACCACCTCTGGATCCGTTGCGCAACGTATAAGACAAGAGCAAAACATGATCCTCCTATGAATACAGGTATACCTTGTTATTTATTGATCTCATGGCCATCATGACCCTTACCTCGCGACGCAACAACTGAAGCTTTCTTCACTGAAAAGCACGAATGCAACCGACTACTCGTACATCATATCGTACCTCGTCTCCCGGCTCTGTTCTACGTCATTCATTTTTTCTGCTGTTGGTCATCTATTAAGATTCTGCTGCTGCTGATCCGACCGCGTCGTTTAGTCTCCTCCAGCAGCACCAGCACCAGTACTGGTAGCCATAGTCATATTCCACACCCTCCACCTCAGGCGTTCAATGACTTCTCTTCTCAGCCACGTCCCTCCGGACTTGTTGAACCATTTATCGTCATCCACATTGGCCCGACTGCCCAAGTTACCAAACTCCTGCTCCATTCCTGCATCCTCTCGCTCCCACCGGTCAAACCAAGCAAAGAGTAGACGGAGTTGCCAGAGTTTCTGCTTATCCATCTGGAACTGAGCATTGGCCTTTGGCTCTGGAGGCAGAACACCCTTTTCAAAATCCAATCTTGAATCCACGACCGTGGTGCGTAACAGCTCTTTGGCATTCCATTCACCAATTGGCGGCGGGTTCAACACCAATGCACGTTCGGCATGATCAAAGTCCTTGAACGATTCGAGCTCAAACAGCCACTCGAATGGATTGCCCGACTTGGACGTCGTCCGGGCCGATGCAGTTCCGCCTAAGCTGACGGTTCCGTGAGAATAAGCGTGGGCGGCAGCCGCATTTGGATCCACGCTTGGAATGCCGTCCGCATCGCCTAATGCCTGGATCTCGGCAGTGAAAATATCTTCGGCTGGCTTGTCGTACGCGGCACGTCGGCTAAGAGTGACGTTGACTGCGTTCTCGGCCTTGATCTTCTCACGGAGAGCCTTGCCACCGTCTGGTTGGCCTGCGAAGTCAATGAAGCCATCCCAAAAGCCATCGCCTCGAACTTCGATAGATTTGATGGAGTCGAATTCCGGTATCAAGCCAGGGCAACGGATCGATTGGGTAGTTCCGTCCTTGAGGTGAACAATGCCACTAACGCCGCCGATCACAGCTCCGCCGGCGTCGCCATCACGGGCTACCAGACATCGACTCTCAACGGCCAAAACCCACAAATGGCGTAATGCTTGAAGATGGCTGCGGTTGTCCAGAACATCTGTCGGGAAGACAGGGTAGAATGCAATGCACAAACTGGCAATGGCAAGGTTGGACGTGCCGAATGTCCGGGTGCCTCCCGCAAGGAACAACGCCCCCAGAGCCATGTGCGCAGCGAGATGACTCCCATACGGGGTATCCTTGTCCGTTCGCCCATGTAAAGCGCGTAAGCGGCGCATGACGACCAAATCTCCAGATCCTGCCATGACAGAAGCAGTCGCCAGCGCAAGGGCGTCCAGACAGCTCCGTACACCATTCAACGTCACACGTGCGTCGTAATTGTGAGCCGGGAGCCGGCTCAACCGGATAAACTGGTCGAGATACCCAACCAACAGGTCTCGCACATCATGTCTTTGGGAGCCTGCAAACCGCAACCCCATGGCAAAACAGAGTCCCGCAAGGATATTGAAAAAGGGGAGGTCCTCCGTTCCGAGAAACTTTGTGGATGCGAGGTCGGCACGGCGTCGGTAGGGCTCGGGCAGCGACGACTCAATGAAGGCTTGCGTAGCTTGGATGGACTTCCACATAATCAAATGTCGAGCCAGGGTGCGCAGGAGGAAAATATCAGGGCGGACGTAATCGAATTGATGAAGAGTGTCTGGAACGTCAACCTTTCGAGCCATGGCTTCGTCGTTCGTCTTGAGGAAAATGAATGCTAGGGCCATGACTGCTCCTGCCGTAGCTCTATCCAAGACGTGAACCATATTCACGTTCTTGGTTCCTACCGCGATGGTGAGCAACCGTTCAATCACACCCATATCATGGAGGCCGTGAAGGCGTTTCCCTTGGCCCAAGTTGATCAACCCCAAGGAAAACCCTGCAGCGAGCCGATAGCCTTCGTCCCGAAGCACTGTGTCCGAAGCGGCCCCCTCTTCAGGGTCACTGTTTTCAATCTCCGAAAGCATCACCTCTGACATACGACGGTGTTGAGAGTTATGATACAAGAGTCCAATACCCATGATTCCCGTAGTCTGTGTCAAAGGCGAGAGGTTCAATTCTGCAGCACCAGGAGGAAGGAGTCGAGTAACATGGACGGAGAGAAGCCGCGTGATCAAGGTGTCCATAGTCCCTAGGAAAGAGGCGGACAACCCAAGAAGCAATCCCACTGATGTCATGGTATGCTTCGGAGTGAGATACTTGAAAGCCACCCATTTGGCAAGGTTCTTCAAATGGCCATTGAGCCCCAATGCAAGCAAAAAGCCCGCGTGTCGGTTGGTTAATTCGGGCGGTTTGTTGTAGAGGATCCAAGAAGTATCGATGCCGGGAGCGCCATTCGAGATCATCAAGCCCATAGACGCCCCATTGTGGAAGAACGCCCAGCACACCTTCTCTTCCGTGAATGAGGCCTTGTCGGCACTGAAAGTCATGGGTTGTGTACTTTCATTCGCGTTTCGAGGCTTCATGATACATTGCAAGCTGAAAGCCGGGATCGGTACCCTCTCGGTCAGAAGAGGGACTCGGGCATTGAAATGCATCATCCCACGTCCGGCTGCCACGGACAGTGTCCGTCGCGTGACATGCTGAGCCAATTCCTTTTGTGCATCGAGAAGATCAACTTCAGTCCACTCTGGTTCCGGTGTACATTCAACTACTGGTGCTCGTGTCTGGTTAACAAGCTTGGAAGCTTCCGGGAAGCGACGGTCCTCGCTGAATATCAATTTTGTGATAGCGTTTCGGTCCGCTTCAGACGACGCGTCCCAACGCTGAAGTGCTTCTGCCTCGAGCGCAGAGGCACAGATACTGTGATAATCTCTCAAGGCTTCATGGGTAGGAGCAAGCTGCGGTCTGTACGCATGGTGCCGATAATCATGATCAGGCTGGCCCTGAAGCACTCCGGGCAGTCGAGAGGCTTCAGACCCAGTTATCTCGGTAATCCTATTCCTCTTTGAGGCTATAGCTTGATGAAAGGCGGCAGCCACCCCATCAGGGAGGCTACCTAGAACGTGCTCATCGAGGCCAGTCTTCAACATGGCCTCGATGGTCCGTTGGGTCCCATAAGACCCTTCTGTCAGTTGCATAAAGGAAATAAGTGTTATGGTGCGAGGGGTCAGTTCTGTTGTCCGCTGCCATAATAGGTTATCAGTCTCAACAGCCTCGCTAGCTCCGGCAATTCTGGCAAGTGTCAAGAACGGAGGAGGAGCGGCTCCGCTGATACAACTCTCGAGATACTCGTAAATCGAAGGAGGCTGGAACGGCTGAGATGGTATTCGAAGACCATCGATGACGGATTGATCAAAAGGGCAGTTGTTCAAATCAGCCGATTCAAATTCGTAATAAGCATTGACGTCCGACGACCAGTCTTTCCACCCCAGCCAGCGACCAAGCTGTGACATGACCATTACCAAGTTGCTCTGTGACTGGTTCATTCTGAGACTCGACGTGATGTCGAGCTTACTTTCTTCATACAGGAGATGCAAGCCTAATAGAATTTTTGGAATCGCGTTGCCCCGATGTTCACGGTCTTTGTTGATTGCCGTTGGTAAGTAGCCCTCGGGACCCAGAGCGCTTTCGCCCGAAGGTGACTGTGTATATTCTTTCGCCATCACAATGCATCTCATGATGAAGGAATTTTTCCGCACGTGGGGACTGCTGCCAGCAGTGGCAGAGCTTCCAACCCTCTGCTTTGACTTTGGGGCGGGTGATACCTGCGTCTTTTGGTGTTGCTGTAAGAGCCACGACCAAGCCGGGCCCTGTAAACCCAATTTGGATGTCAAGTCGTACCCTTCGTCATGCATAGCTTCATAATTCGTGAGGTCAACGTAGCTTCCACTGCTAGATCGAAGCAAAGGACCCTTCTTTCGCCGGCTCGGCGTCGACGGTATTTGGTTGCTGATAAATGGAACAGCAAGGGAAAAGAGGAGGACAACGATGGCAACCCATTCCGAGTCGACCGGCGGATCTCTACTCCTTAACCAGCGGGAAACCTCCCAGAAACCAACCAACAGCGTGTCTTGTTGATCGGTACCTAACAGAAGGTCACACATGTTGATAATGTCGAGTACCATGCGATCCCGTGGAGCAAGTCGAAGCGACAGGGAATGTCGTCGCTGGTCCTGGTCGATTGCATAGATCTGTGCTGGGTATCCGGCGTCAAGGAGAGCTCGCAGTTGTACCTCTCCGCCCGGGATCATTCTCCTGCTTCCTGTGTCCTTGTCTTTTCTTGGACTGTACTTTTGTGGACTTAGCATGGGATCGAAAATAGGATATCGTGCAGGAGGCTCGATTCGGTAAGAGGGTGACCAAGGTGCTTCCAGTTGCAAAGACATGAGTTGCGAACGCGACTCGGTCAGGACGACCAGTCGCTGAACATAACCATCCACGACCTTACAAACATCCCTGATGCCTGGTAGCCTGCGTAGCTCCGTGGCCTTGAGTTCCAACGGCGCTTGAGAGGAACCATGTGTCGTTCTGCTCTTTGGGAAATTAACCCTCACGAGTACTCTGACGAGTGTCAGCTCCTGATTAGACTTGTCCATGACACAGAGATAGATATTTCTTCCTCGTGAGCTGTTCCCGTCACTACCGTGTGGAGCCAATGTCAGAACTTTTATCCCAGAGCTCGAGTCGTCGCCATCGTGGGCCTGCCGCCTGGGGAACGACTTGATTTTGAAAAAGCCGATCTCCCGAGGCAGATTGCTGTCGGAAACGCCTATATTGTCGTCTTCCATACGCACTGATTGACGCAGAGGCTCCAGATCGTCCAACAGGCTTTGAGCAGCGACGTCGAGATACGAAGTACCTGTGCTGTATACAGAGGCATTGGTTGGGAAAGAGCTTCTTCGGCGAAAGCCAAAGCTTCGGCGATCATTGAAACTACCAATTGATTCGCCTCGCCTGCTGGTCCGTCGTAGGCTCTGCCGACCACCATGACCCATTGCGAGATCTGTGAATGTGTTACGATCTGTTCCCGGCCCCAAATCAGTCCGCGCAAGCATCGAGCTGACTCTTCGAGCTGAGCGCGTCTGGACCCCTACATCTCCAAACTCAGGGCCAAGTCGAGAAGCGAGATCATCCGCAGGATCAAGCTGGAATGATTTTTGATCATCAGCCGAAGGGAATAGCGGTTCATCAGGATAATGCTGGCCTGACCCTCCTAGACTTTCTCTGAGATTGCCGGGTCCTCGGGAAGACTTGAGCAATTCGTTGGGATCTCGTGGATAAGCACTTGCGCTTTTCCTGGAAGAGGCCCTTCGTTTCGCCAGATCAGTCCTCGTGCTCTCCGTGTCGCTGTGCTGGCCCACCACATTTGAGCTGACATGCCACATCGTGAAAGTGGAGTCGGTCTCGTTTAGCGTCAGTGCTATACACAGTGGCTTCGTTCGGGTTTGGTACGACTCCAACTCGACAGACTGAGATACGAAGATGACCTTTTCAGAGCGAGGTAGTGCGTTACATTCTTCAAGTGCCTCACCCTTTCGACTTGGACTCCATACCACCAGACCCAACTCGGACATCAACTGAGTAAAGGAGAAAGTACGGGGCATGCCACTGGCATTAGTGCGGATGAGCGTTGGGATCGGTTGATCTCGATCAGGAAGAACGAGCGATGGTCTGGAGCTGTTACCTCCGATCGAAGTCAAGGTCTCGTTGATCGTACTGAGATCATGGTGCAACGGGGCAGGCTGCCCAGTAACTTCGTCATTTCCCAATTTCCGCTGTAGTATGAACCCAGAAGGAAAAGGAAAAGCCGACTCGACCTCAAAGGACAGAGGAAGAACATGGTCATCGCCAGATTGAAGGAATATATGCGCTTGTGTTTTGAGCACAACCACTAGACCACGTTCCCAAGGCCTGCCATTTTCATCTTGAATTTTAGGCTTCCCGCCAGCGTTGTCCCGCTCTTCACTCGATGCAAACTGAGTGACAAAGGCGTGCAGAATGGGCTCTCCCTCGACTTCAAGGTTCAGAGACCGTCTTATGGCTCCATTCCTTGACCAAACCACCCAGTGGTCGGTGTAGATAATTTCCTCCTCGACGAAGCCCGACCCTGGGGCATCCTGAACTCTGGAAACAGTCCATGTATAGAGGGAAGGTGAGGGATCGGGAGGCAGAATAGATTCGTCGACAAGGTATTGTAGCCCACTCGGTTCATGGAGGCCGAGCGACTGGACTGAACTCATGGCTCCGGTGCTGTTGAGGCACGTCGATGGACATGAGGAGTCGAGGTGACCAACGGGGCTCGTCAGCCATATCTCAGCTCTGCCATAGAAACTGAAAGTAGTGTATAGTCTACCGCAGTCGTAAGGTTAAGTGAAATAACTTCTGGTGGTTGAAGTTGCAGGTTCTAGTTGAAGTTGTTGACACGCGACGCGCCCAAAAAGTTTGGGGATTCAATCAAATCGTCTCCGCAACCATCATTTCAATTGCCATTCAACTGACCACTTCCATCTTTGTCTTCCTCTACCGCGCATAAGCCCTGAGCTGCCCGGTAGGAACAATCAGAGCACGATGAAGCGATCGGTCCTCCGACAGAACGAGCGGTATCAGCTTAGGTGGGCGGTCTTCTCGTCTCCCACTTCATATTGCGGTGGACTAACGACTCTAGCTACGAACTACCGCATGAAGCATTCACCTCGCACGTCTATCCGCGGCAGTCTTCCAACGGTTCGACGGTGATAATCTATGGACATGAACAAGGCTTGCGTCTTGTATGGTACGGAGGAAAGCGATTCAAGCCACAAAAGAAGGACGCGCCGCCTGCGAAAGTGAATGGAACCTCCAAAAACGATGCCATGGTCATTGACCTCGACGACGACGATGAGGAGGAAGAATCATCCGCGAAACAAGACAAGATCCCACCTGCGGAGTTTGAAGACTACGAGGATGAAGTCGATCCATATGCGCCATATCGAGATGTGCTCCGTCACGTCGACATCCCCCTAGAGTCAGCAGCCTTGCGCATAGCAACACCTCATATACCCAAGGACCTTTCCCAGGCCCCAACCGAGTCATGGCCTTCTACCTATCACGGTCGAATAATCATCGCTGCTGCCTGTGCGGATCACAGCATAAGCATAATATCCGCTCCCCTCGATCCCCCTTCACCGGAAGTCGAGGTGGAGGATGTCTCTCGACTTGACGTGCAGACCGTGCGAATCTTCGGTGTAAAGACTCATCCAGAATTCATCTCCGATGTTGCAGTCACTCATACCGCATCAAGTTCAGACAAGCCAGAAGATGACCAAGTGCAATCACGGGCCGGCAACGAAACCAAGGGACAATCGAAGCAGAAGTCCATCGAGTCAAGTTCTCAACAATGGGCCCTTCTTGTTGCTTCGGTATCATGTACCGGCTCCGGGTTATTACTGGTACATCAGATCCCGATCCAAAGCAACGGCCGATTGTCTACAGATGCGGCACATACGGAGCCAATCCGCAAACAGTACCTACGCTCTTCCGCCATGAGCGCAAAGGTGACTTTCAACACCTGTCCCTACCCCGCCGAACGACATTCTACTCTTCTCATCACGCTCCCCGCTGCATCGTGTAGCAAAGTTTATCAAGTGTTCCCACCACATCTTAGGGAACGCAGAGGCTCTACAGCAACAACAGACACCGTTTTGAGCGGTCGATCTTCACGCACATCTCCCGGCGAAAATGGAAAGTTCCTGATCACTTTCCTCCCTTCATTTATTCAAGACAATGCAACAGCCGAACCACGAAGGAAACGTGTCCTTGACGCCCAATGGGTATCTGGGGGTCGAGCCGTGATCGCTCTTCTGGAGGACGGAGAATGGGGCATATGGGATCTTGAAGCGGTTGGACCAACGTCGGGTGGCGCAGGGAACAATCTACTCAAGGGCCAAGGAAACATCTCAGGAATCCATGGGGGATCAATGACGGCTTTCGCCGTTCGATCCAACATTTTCGCTTCTTCGACGGAGAGAAAACAGAAATCAATTGACCAGGGAAACCAACCTACGACCGGATCTCTGGCGCTCATGACCCCATCGAGACGAAAAACACGATCAGAGAACCTGTTCCATGGACAAACAGCAGAGAACCCCACCGCAAAAGCATACAGCCAAAAAGGCAGCATTTACATTGAAGACAAGCTGTCCAATCGAGGCCGTGATGAGCTTGCCGTCATCAACTACGCCGACGTTAATGTTTATGTTCCATCTGTGCTTTCGTTCTGGAAGTCAGAGGGCAAACCAACCCGTCTCCCCCCTGTCATATACGGAGGTCAACAACCTCGTTCCATCAGTCTGCTCCCGAAACCAAGCAACAACGATAAGGCCGTCTCGCCTGGTTTATTTGGGGTTCCGACATCCACCCCTGATTTCCTTGTTCAAACCGACCATCGTCTAATTCTGTCATTGGACCCTCTGTCTGATACTGCTGATGCGCCCACACAGACACAAATCACCGCCCATCCGTATTCAGATCAAGCCCTCCTGGCCACTGGTGAACTGGACGTGGACGGCATGGAAAGAATTCTCGAGGATATGGGTGGTGCCGCGAAATCCAAGCCGATGAACCTCTTCACTAAGAGTGTTGGGTTCCGGATTGATCAAGACAGGGATGACCAGGATGTCGACATGGGTTCACCCACACCGTCAAAGTTCTCGAGATCTAGAAACGCACCGTTGCAGAGGCGCGTTTTTACCTAGACTTTGCTACCTTATTACTGCAAACCAGTCTAGTTACCCATGTCTGGCACTACAGCGACTGGATATGTCAGCACTAAGCAGATCAATGAATTTGTCGCGAACAGACTGTTCACCTGCGCGACCGGACGCTCTTCTACAGCACATGTCAACAGTTGACTGGACCTCCACCATGTCCGGCGTCAGTTTTGTTTGAACACTAGCAGTCAGCGCTTTTTCGACGGTCCCATGGGTATCAGCGACAACCTGTGCGCAAACTGTGCCACGAAACCCAGGAGGAAAAAAGGCAGCCGAATATTCCAACAATCCCGAGTCCAGCCAGCAAAAACCAGAGAAAAAGCTTGATACCATCAGCCTCTCTTCCTGTTAGATTCATACATCACAAATCAGTTCATGCAGCAGCCCTTTTTGCCTGCAGTCCCTCCAATCGAAGCAACCGGCCTTCTTCTTCGCTCTGCTCATTTCTTTTTCAAGCACTTCACTACACAAGCCCGAGTTCTGATCCATCATCTAGCACACTTCCACTCCGCCAGTCTGAAGGTCTGCGTATCAGGCAAACACACCTTACGCACCAGTTTTGATCATCTGGCCCCGTCTCTTTTTCGCTATATTATTTCTCATTTCGAGCCATCCGCCCTTGTCCTTGTCCCCATTCCCTCCTCCCCCCTCAATATCCCTATAGACCCTGACCCCCTCCCAATCGCGATGCAAGGTGGAGCCCAAGGCGAGTATCAATACCTTGGTTTTTACAGCTCAGTATTCCTCGCGAGAAATCAAACTACCCACAAAGCATCCCTTCAGGAAAAACGGAAAGAAAACCCCGAAACCCGAACTTGTCAGTTTCGTCCCGTGGGTTTTCTTTCTCCTCTTGATTGTCTTTCATCTATCTCCCCCTTGATTCCATTTCCTCCTTCAAGAAGAAAAGAAAAAGGGGGATGAAGGAGGGAACATTTCATCTACTACCTAGAATGATATGAAAAAAAAAGGAAATGATCGTATGGCATTGCATTGCATTGCATTGGAAGTGCACTACCAAAACCTGCACTGCATCTGAGCTCGGCGGTATTTTCAACCCTCAGCTCCTTTCTCGCCGCAGTGCACGCCGGCGAGGCCTTGGGGTAATAGAGCCTGGCTAGGTATTCAGCAATGTTAATCTCGACCCCAGTAGTACAGTACAATCCGATCCGGTCCATCCTATCCCATTTCACTTCCATTCCCCTTAATCCATGCCTTTCGCCCACGGCTCAACCCTTTGATAGGCACATCCAAAGGACAACGGGAGGTATTGTTGTTATTGCTGCTGATGACGACCATTGATGATTCCTTCCCAGCAGTGGAGAAGATGTCAGAGCGTGCAAGCTTGAAACTCATCCCTCAGCTCCTTCCTTTAGCCCATTGCCGTTTCTTCAGTTTCTCCACAGACTGCTTAGCAACACCAGCAACAGCCGTGCGCTTGGATTATCCATGAATATTTCAAATCCCATACAGTCCTTGAAAGAGGATCAGAGCGTGGGGTCTGCAGAAGGTAGTCGGTCGGCTGCGATCAGCGCTGTGCAGGCTCGCCGAGAGAGCACGAAAGATCCCACTTTTGCTTGGGATTATGATGATGTCGGACCGCCTCTCCACCATACATCATTAATCTCCACGTACACCGGTATGCAGAGGACAAAATGACAGAGAAGGACAGCGCAGAACAGCCGTTTCAGAATCGAGCCTCTCAAACAAAAATCAACCATTGTACCCCAACCCAGCCAGTTCCTTCCTGACAGCGTCTTCGGTCGAGATCTTTCTCATCTGCGTGTCCTCCAGTTTCTCACCGCCGGCAAACCGCATCTTGAGATCTTCAATGGCCCGAATCTTCTTCAAGAGTCCTCGCACCTTCTTGTCTTGAGAGCTACCTCCGGGAGTGACGGGGCTAGTAACCTCCAACTCGGGCGGAGCTTGTTGGGCTTGTGAAGCAGCGTTAGTGGGCGCCGTGGTGTTGATGTTTGTAGGAGCACCGTTGCGTGGCTGCTTCGATTGGGCGGCGGGTCCTTTGGGTGTGCCGTTAGCATGATTGTGCGTCGAGTCGCGACGTTGTCGTCTGCTGTTGCTTCGACTGCGTTCCTTTTTCGGTCCCGTCGGTGGCTCCAGGCCAGGGGGAGGAGGCACATAGTTTCGGCTTCGACTGCGTTGATGACCTCGGCCGTCGGGGCTCCGACTTTCACTTTTCCCTCGGTGTTCCGGCGCGGCCAGATTCGCCGTTCCTGTTGTACCAGTCCCGCTCTCCCCTTTGGCAGCTGCAGCGGCGGCGGCAGCCTTCTTGGCCTCTCGCTTCTTGGCGTTCTTCTTTGCGGCCTTTGACAGATGCTCGTCGTCGGCTCCTTCTCCGGTTCCAGTCAGGCTCACGCCACCGCCGGGCGCTGCGCCAGGTGGCAATGGGGCCTTGCCTTCAACGGGTTCAGCACCAGGTACGATGCGTTGTCGAGGTTTGCCAAATCCGTTGACGCTGTTGGAAAATGATGACACGCCTTCACCTCGGACATACGCAGCGCCTCCCTCGTCCTCACGCTTGAAAGCCAAAGGAGTCACCTGACCACGTGCCCCTGGAGGTCGATAAGCACCTGCTGGTTTACTGGGGGTCTTTCTCGCCGCCATATATTCCACTGCACTAGGATGTGGCACCGGCATGGGTGAGAAAGGATTGGCAGGCAAAGGATGTTGTGACGCAGGTTGTGGTCTCCAGCAGACATGATACAACTCGTTCATGTCCTCGTTGTACATCAGGGGCCCACCAGCGTGCCAAATGCGAATGCCATTGTCGACTCTCAGACGAGGCGATGTCGTCGCAGTCAAGATGTGTAGCCCATCTGGTGACCATTCACACACACTTGCGTTGCTGGCTTCAATGGTACAAATCTTTGCCATATCCTTCTCCAAGTCGTAAATGTCCATCTGTCCAGCCAAATTGCCGAAACCAGCCACAAGTACAAAGCGCCCGTGGGGCGAGAACAAAACGGTGTTTCGGGGTGCCAGGGGGAAGCTGTGCACAGGCTGAGCTTTGGCGTTGAAGATGACTGTCTTGGCCGGCATGTAACCATAGACAACGGCGAAGCTATTCGATTTCGGCGACCAGGCGACATCGTGGATAGGGCCTTCCTTGTCTGTTTGCCAAGAATTAGTACGGCAGTTCTCCCTCAAGCAGATTCCGGGAGGCCAACATACCAAGATCGATCCTCGAATCGAAGCCACCATTGGCGCTGAGCAAGTAGAGGGTGGTTTCTCCATAGTAACTTTTACCGGTCTTGTCAACCTCGGTCTGCGCCAGCACGATCAAGGAAGTTCCGTTGTCGTTCCATTTCAACTGCACTTTGTCACCCTTGAAGAAGTTCTTCTGGGACACTGGATTGGTGAAGTTCGGCACCGAATAGACTCGAACAGCAGCGGGTTGGCCCTGCAACAACATGCGTTAGACTGTGACAAGCGCGCGACAACCGAAAAGAAAAGCAATTTACCTTTCTCTCCGGCACAAACACGGCAATGGCATGATTCTTCCCCGGTGAGACCGCAAAGTCCGCCACACCTTCAACGCGGATCTTATTCCAGACATTGGTCAGGTCATGGCTTTCGTAGATTTGGACTTCGTTCGTGACCACTCTCGCACAGAAGGCCTCATCATAGGTGTACTGCAAGTTCCAACCAGTCTGTGATTTTTGGACAAATCTCGCGACGGGCTCCTTGTCAACACCTTCTGCGGCCGCCTTCTCGTCATTGACCAACCACACTTTCAAGTTCTTGACGGCGTCGCCATTCTCGTCCTTCGAGGGCCGTTGCCAGGTGATCACGTAGGTGCCCAACGGCGAAAAGCCTAGTTCGAACACATTCTCGGCGGGTAGAGTGGAAATGATAGCTCCGGTGTCGGCATTGATGATGCTGACGCTGGGTAACAGTCAGCCAAAAGAAAAACAAATTCCATATCTTGAGCTCATACCTCTCAGGAGCGGCCCATGCAAAATACCGGCCACAGGGCGAATACACGCAGCAACGAAGATTTCCTTGAGGTCTAAGAAAGGAGACAGATGTTAGCAAGGCACCGGAAAGAAGGGGCTCGAGGTGATAGGTCATACTTTTCGAAACCGGGAAGAGGCTCGTAGCTGGGTGCACCATTGACCACGCCGATGCCCTTCAACGTCCGAACTATTTTGTTACATCAGCGTCAAAAACTCGGTGAAATTGCCCCAATCTCGACGAGTATACTTACAGGCGAATTGTGTGCGAACGGACATGTTGGTCTGCGGCAATAGGTATCAGGCTTTGGAGCAGCTGCAATCGCAATCTAACCGAAACGAAACGGCCCGAACGGACGATATGTAGAGTCGGAAGAGGTTCGAGGGCGTAACACCGGGTTTGCGTGGTAAAGAAGACACCAAAAAATTGTCACAATTCGGGTCTTTCCGTACTTGACAAGTCAATGTCAGCTTTGCGGTAGACGGGCAAATTGCTTGGGCGACGAGAGGGTGACGAGGACACTGTAGGAAGCGGGACGAAGGGTGGAAAGAAGACGAAGAGAGAATGATCCAGAGTGAATTGAAACTTGAACTGGAGTCCAGTGCAGGGAGCCCCGAGCGCGGTTGCGGTGCCTGGTTCGAAAAAGTGTCAAGACTCGGATTTGGCGGTGTCGCCAGTGTGGCCCGGCGCAGTTTAGCGGTCAATCTGCATTTTTAAAACCTGGATTCGAGGCCCGGAGTGACGGTGAGGCTAAGATATCCGCGGCCATTACGGGCACTAGTGGTCCTCTAACATCTCTAGCGCGATGCGGTTGGACTACGATTTGCCCCTAGCATCACATGGTACAATCTTACCCTTCGCCGATGCTTTTCTTGAAGTACAATGTACACGGGTGCGGCCAGTGTGGAAGCACTCAATCAGCAGTTGTTATACAAATCCGTCGTTACTGCGCAAGGAAGCTTCAGAAAGCTGGAAAAAAGGCAGCAGAAGACGCCTAACATCAACCTGTCGCGCTAACTATGCGCCTGAGAACTCCCCCAGCAACCGCATACACGAGCCACCGATATCGTACATACACTGCATTCTCACATTCTCGTAAAAGAGTCATAGCCCACGCGCAACGACCCGAGAAGTTGTGAAACAATGGTCACAGCGTGATTTATTCCCTCTCAAAAGGGAATTTGCCCAACGTTTGACTGTCGCCTCTTCCCATGGGATACTGGTTTTGTTCCAGATCTTGAAGCCTATCGCGTAGGATCCCTTCGGCGACTTCGGTTCCTACACCCGAAAATCGACTCTCTCGAGGTAACTGATCGACCAATGGGCCAGGTTGCATGGTCGTATCAATGAAGTTCTGATCATAGCTCATCCCGTCCATCATTCTCGGATCGGTGCTTCCAGCCGCTGCACTGGGGGTAATGCCACTCATAGGGGTGCTCTGGCCTGAGTCGACGGCCGGAAAGGTCCCTGTGCGAGGAGTCGACGGTGCGTTGACGGTCGTACTCTGTCGAGAGACGGACGCTCGAGTATTGTGCGGTGTGGACACCGGGCCGCTCACTGTGCTGCCTGCGCCCTCACCAAAGCCAACCAGACTTGCCTTATCCTCGTCACTGAACCCGCCCGTGCTTGATACTCCGTCATCTTGGTCTTCGCTCATTTTGTCTGCGTCGTAGTCAATACTCCCACTGGCCCACGTTGTTCTACCGCCGACACTACCTGTTGCGCTCGCGCTACCGACCGTACTCCGCTCTTTGAGCTGTGGCACATTGTCAAACCCTGCACCAGAGGCTGGGCCTGAGCCAGGAGCCAGGTGTCCGATAGGTGTCGGTCGAGATGTAGCAACTCGTTCGAGACCTGCGAGACGAGAGATACGGTCGGCGCGTTCGGCTTCAAGCGTGTTTGCTGAGGATGCGGCACCTCGACCACCGTGGCCGATGGCGCCGTCTTTGATCGCAACCACAGACAGTGCGGAGAGTGACGTGGTGGTGGAATTGGGGGTGCCGGGACCCATTTCGCTGGGGGTGGCCGGGTCTGAGGGTGGAGGAGGGACTGTACAAAAACCATGTCAGCCTTTTGCCCATATTACTTGAGTGTCAGTCCGCGCCGTACGGTTGATCAGAGTAGGACCTCTACTAGGCATGTTGGTAGGATCTGATGGGAGACTTTTTGGGAGGTTGCTGAAGATGTGAGATTCGGTGGGTGAGCTCTTGTAGTTAGGTTAAGGGCGTGGCATAGAATAGACTCTGGCGTCGAGGCAAAAAGGGGATGGAGGGGATCGACAAAGGCGCGTTGCGTTCGTAGGGGCTATGTCGCTCCTTCCGGCGAGTGTGATTATGAAGTCTGTCCACGAAGGCTCTGGAGGTGCAGCGCTGACACCGCGTGGGCACGCGCCTTATGAGATGTAAGGTCGTCAAGAATCTGCGGGCTTGTAGTAGGTAGCAGGCTGCGGATGTATGGAACGTGAAAGGATCGGATCTCCCAAAGAGATGAATGGGCGCAGCGTGAGCCAACAACTTGGGCAGGAATTCCAACGCGGGGGATGCCGTGCCCTTGGCGGGGCGGAGTACTGTAAGAGGCCGGGGAGTGCAAAATATCCCTGATATCTTCGACGTCGACCAAGGACTGTAGGGCTCGGGCTTGTGAAATGATAGTAATTGATAGTAATGCAGGGCACGATGTTGTACAGGCACCAACAATTGAGGCTGATGACAGTGAACAATCGATGGGAACTTGGAAGTGAGTCCGTTGTCCCGGCCACGGTACTTAGGAGTGACGGTGATGGTCCACTGGCTGTGCACAGCTGCCACTGGCAGTGAGGCACGACAAGTGAAGTACTACTACCTAGATCGTTACTAGTGGTGGATAGTTTGCACGGCGTACGTCATGCTTCACCCGAGCTAAACAGCCCTAGCGAGCTAGCGGTATGTTGTTAGTCCAGCGATGGCCAGCCAGACAACCACCGGATTCATCAGAAGCCCATTGCTATGTGCGATCGACAGTACCTGAATTACTAGTGTTTTAGTTGCATGATCAATCAATTCATACTTCATACCAATGTCATACAACGTTGTACACTCAATATAGTCCGGTGTACAGTACTTCTATCATCCCCCTTCGGCACTCGCTCTCGCGGCATCCACCTCTCTCTGAAGGGCCGCGAGATCGGCCAATATATCCCTTCCCTCCGTAGAACTCCGTCGTAAACTTGAACCAGTGCCTCCATGTTCCGCGGCCCCCAAAGCTGCCATTGAGGGCCGTTGATTTTCCACGCTACTTCGGCTGGACCCGCGGCCCCGACGAGGAGGTGGCACAGGGGGAGGATGCGGATGGCTCAGTCTTCTGGAGAGGAGAGAATTACTACTAGGCGTTTCATGTTCTGACTCCGTGGCGGAAGGCCTTTCCTGATGTTGTACGTCGGGGTTGTTGATTGCTTCTGCGAAAGAAGAGACCTCCATGGATGATTTCCGCTCGGTTGCACCGGTTGACCGTCGTGAAGGAGGCGGCGGTGGGAGTTTGTGGGTTGTGCTGGGAACCACTGGACTCGAAGGTGTTTCCAGCTCTTTGAGCGTAGAGTCTTTCGAGGAGCCGCTTCTCGTCAAACCCGGGTTACTGGATGCTTGCATGCTCTTTCGCCGAGCTAGCGGAGGTGCCGGTGGTGTTCTCCTGTGGACTTCGGTCTCGGCGGTCGGGGAACTTGGCTCTTTGGTAGTACTGCGATCAGTCGTGGGAGATGTCAACCCGGATGGTTCGGAGCTGACATGGCGACTGCTGGGCATCGAAAGAGAGTTAATAAAACTATCAAACGTCGGTGTCGGACCGCTCTCCCCCCTCGAGTCTCTTAGAGGCTTTCCGCGTCGGCTTTTCGGTGGAGGGGGCTTCTTTCTAGTTTCTGACGCAGATCCCATGGTGGCGCGCTGTTCATTTGCTTGGTGTTCCTCCAAGTCGTCTGAAGTGCGTGGGCTTGCCTCAGGCAGCGGTACAACGGTCTCGAAAATCGAGTGCTGCGAAATCGAGGCTGTATCGGCACTGGAGCCACTGTCGCTGACAGTTGGCATGACCCCTGTGTGGGTGTTCTGCACCGCCGCCTCTGCCGCCGCGGATGATGGTGTCCCTCGCTCTCCAGTAAGCAATAATCTCTTGAAAGCGTCAACGTCCATGGCCGCCTTTGTCGACCCGCTCCGCTCTCTGCCAATCGAGCTCCCAGAAGGGCCTCCAACGGGCGGGTTTTCGCTGGTTGGCCTTCGAGGGACACCGGCAAACCGACCTAGCGTATCTCGTACCGCGTCCTGTTCCGGGTTGTTCAAGGACGTTGAGGTTGATACCGTGATCGAAGTATTGACTCTGGCATTCTCCAATGCTACTTCAATGACACGGTCGTCCTCGCCATCCGAAGTTTCATTGGCAAAAGGATCCATTCCTAAAGCCTGACTGTAGTCTGGTTGGGCAGGAAAGCCCATCCCGGGGCTCGGAAAGGGTGAGGAAAAGTCATGCCGGGCAGACTCTGGGGAGGGGGGGTACGAGACTGGCGAAATGGGAATCGCTGGGGGTGACGCGAAATTCACATGTTTCTGAGAAGTAGCGGGCACTGTGCGGACATCTCGACATCAGCCGGAGCACGTAGCAAGACTGGCCGAGAAAACACGTACCTTTGGTATTGAGTGATAGAGGCGCAGGACCGTTGCCGTGAGGGTCCGACGTCGAGAAGTTAGAAGTGCTGCTGCTGCCGCCGCCCCCAGGACCCTTCAACGAACTACGATTAGTCTGGCGGAAAGGGTTCGTGGACATCAGGTCCCCAAGGCCTTGCACGCCGCATACGCGCGCTCGTGTGAAGATTGCCAGGCGTCTTTTGGTGAGGATCTGGCACCATGAAAGGGATGGAGGCCTGAGGTGGGATTCTGGACTCCGAGCCGGAGTAGTAAGCAGAGGTTCGAGGAAACTTGAAGCATATGCACGCACACTCGCACTTCACTGCATCGGAGACTCGGGTCCCTCCTCGCCCGTTTCGTTGGTTCACAGCGAAGAGACACGCGCCATTTGCACACTCTGGCAGCTGTGGCAGTAATATGCAGTCTACACAAGATGCACCCTAGTACACTTTTCGATATGCCCTTTGGTTTGATTTCACAATCAAGGTACTCGAGGGCGAAGCACTTGTTTATTATCAGTCAAGCACGGGACCATCATTCGGAACGCAGTTCGCACCATTTACATATTATCATTATCCACGGCCGCGTATTGGCCGCTTGTGTCTCTATCTGTAAAGCCATTGTGAGCTTTCATGTGGTGCCTTGCATAGCCCAGTAGCTCATATCCAGCTGTTCTGTTCCTGGCGCTGCTCTCGCGTATGTTCACTATCTCGTCTCCTCATGGGGAGGGCCCCTAATCAGCCATGCAAATAAACAACCATGCAATGTGTACAACGGGGCGCATTTTCCTGGTAATCCTGGACCAGTGGCTGTTTCGGCCCGTCTTGGACCAGACGGCTCGACGAGGTGGTTTCCAGTATCAAGGTTGCCGATGGATCAAGCAGAAAACTCCCAAACTCCAGTGCTCATTCCAAACCATCCTGGGTAATGTCGTGAGCTGCGTGAGTGTCCTAGCCTTGGACGGAGGGACATGTAACGGACATGTCTACTTTCCACCTTTTGTCTGAAGCCACCCGTCTTCGGTCCATTGCCAGGATTTACCACCCTTGACGGGATGCAGCAGCATGGGGCGGACCACGGTTCTGCCGTAGGCATCTTCCCACTCCTGCCCACCACTTTCGCCCGCGGTGACGCCGAGGAGTCGCTGATAAACCGGCTTGGCCAGAGCTGAGCTGTAATACCAGGTCATATTTGTCCAGGCATATTCATTCCACTTGCTGAAGGTGCTGTTCCAGTACCCACCCGCTTGTCCGAAAGGCCCTCCGTTGAATGTTGACTGCAGTGCATCCGCAGGCCAATGGCGGTCCGCGAATATGGGATGAGGGAACGTGGTGGATTTGAGGCCATGGTGTAGGCACATTGTCTGAGGGAACATCTCGGCATCCATGTGGTGGCCATTTTCGGCGTTCTCATAGTTCATGATCTCCAGGACACGTCGACTGACCCTTCCTTGAGCGATAAGAGTGGCTCTTCTCGGCGTGGATTTGCCTTGAGCATAACCCCAGAGGTAATCTCGGAACCACCAGTTCGTCCCTGTAACGTTGAAACTCGGGAGAAAGCCAATCCAGTCGGCATCTTCGCCCACACCCCATTCGTAGTTGTCTTCAACCTCTTTCTTGGGAGGCTTCGGCCCACGCGGCTTGACGCCTTCCACAGACACTGGGCCCCAGACACGGTGCGGATCCTCCTCGCGAACTCTGTCGCGGAACTCCGTGTCGAAATCGCCGTGAACGGAAGGGATGTAAACTCTGGCAGCTCGCTCCCATATCCCTTTCCGTGGCTGTCTCCTGCCGAACTCAGAAACTGACTCGAAGAAATCCAAGTAGTGGCCGGTGTAGCGTACGTCGAACTCCCATTGGTAGAAGAAGTCGAATTCGGGATGGTTGCGAGCGAACCATTGGATGATCATCCACGGCGATCGACCAACAAACGCGTGGTCGGCCAAATTGGAATAGAGGCTGCGGATTTGGGCGTGATTCCAGACCTCTGTCATCGATCTAAACTCCGGAGGGATATGCTTTTCAATGGTTGCCTGCGGTTCATCCTCGCCCACAAACAGCGGCACACTTTCATCCTTGACATGGAGCAGCAGGAACACCTGGTACTTTCCCCCACTGGCCAAAGAAGCCTCGGCGACCATTGCACGGATGTTCATAACAGCGTCGGCAGTCCATTTGGCCCCGGTCCAGACGCGGATGAGGATCGCAGTGCGCTTGGCCTTGTTTACTAAACCGGGTTCCATGGTAGAGGTAAGAGCTTTTGGTGGTTCTCGATCGTGCTTGTGCCGGATATTGGAGTATTGAATCGAGCTTTGCAGGCGCTCCTTGACTGGCTTGAATCGTTGTTTGTTGGCGGCGACACAAGTATCCTGCAATTCACCCCAGTCGACAGTGTCCCAATCGACATCGCTGGTCTTCTTCATCTCCTCTATATCAGCCGCATCAAACTGGTCCAAGCCGTACGCCTGGAAACGACCGATGCGGTCAAACGAGACATCACCATCGAGGCCGGACGCCTCGTAGGAACCTAACACGGGGTCGACAGCACCTAAAAGGCATGAGCAATCTGCGCATACGTGTTAATGAGCGGTCTAGCTTACCATCTGCACGGCCAGGATACGCCCAAATAGCATCCTCTTGACTTTCGTTCAATGGAAGGCCGCGGGGTCCTATGCAAGGCACGATCTGTTCGATTGGTTCCTGGAGGCTATGGTAACCATCGTAGCGGATCATCTGTGGTGCATTGTTCTTGCAGTCAATCTCGCCTGTTGCGCAGGACCGGAGATGCGACGTCCCACGTGTCAAGCCATCGTGTCTGGTCCAAGCGAGGTTTGTCAGTGTCTGCCAGAGTGGCGGGTAGTACAAGGCGATAGGATGCTAAGACATACGTTGTGAAATCTTTCCAAATCCAGTCCTCTCTCTTTGCCTTTTCCATCAATTCTTCCTCTGTGGGCGGCTTTGGAGGTGCAGGAGGCGCCGTCTTAGGTGGCGGTGGTGGTTTCTGGTTCACGACTTTGAGAAGGACAATGAAGCACATGAAAGCGGCCACGACCTTGGCGACCACACGCAGACGCGGCATGCAGACCTGCCATTTTGAAGGCTTTTTCCAAAAGTCCTGCTTGGCCGGAGTCCAACTTGGAGGTGGTGTCTCTGGTTCAGAAGCCGATTCCTCAAGCAAGCCCATTTCAGATCGACTGCCACTGAGGGTAAGTCGGCGTGTCATGACTGGACCGCAATGTCAGTGTCGGTTAATATTCTCAGACTCGTCGAGCGGCGATCAAGCCAAGCGAGAGACTTCAGGGCGAGAAGCCAACAACCGCAGAGACGATGTCGTGCCCGCGACAACGGTCTGAGGGGTGAGTGAACAGTGGCAGGTCAGGATTGTCGTGTATTCACAGGAAAACCCGAGTAAACAGGATGGTGGTATTAGACGCTGTTGTGCAGGTTGCAGAGGTTTCGACAAACGGAGTAGCGACCGGCGTACTTTCGTGGACCAAATACAGACTGCGAAGATCGGTCGTCGCAGGCACAACCAACTCGACGAACGATTGAGTCGAGACAGGCAGGCACGGCGGGAAGAGGAACGAAGAGGGAAAACGGTGAATGGCGAAATGGAGAATGGGAGAACTTGAAGGGGGATCGAGATAGCGAGTTGATAGTAGAAAGGGTGCGGTACAGTAGTAGCAAGTCAGTGGCTGCAGGAGAGCATACACTGGTGCACTGGGGCTAGGACTGCAGTATCTTCCGCGCGGGTCGATGGCAGTGGAGTTTAGCATCTGCAGATTGAAACTAGCATACGGGGGGTGGCGCCAACAAACCAGGGCACTAACGTCCTGCGCCGGCAGTACTACAACTAGTCTGACCGCAGACAGTTGCCAGACTGGCCAGTCGCCGCCAGGGGATAGTTTTTTTTTTTTTTCGCTATAAGCCAGGTACCGTCTCCCCTACTTACTATCGGCCCAAGCATCAAACACCCACCGGCAGGGCGTGTCCACAATTGGCCGACGGCGGGAACGGATCAACCATACAAACAAACTACTGGTGACACCATTATCCAGTTTCCAACCATCTGTTCCCACTCCGGGCGTGCCTAAAAGGTAGAACAGCGTGCCTAAAAGGTAGAACAGATGCTATGGGGGTTGCAGGCCGCCTCGGGAGCCCCAATCGTAACATTTGTTGCTCCAGAAGCTACGGAGTGGCTCCGGCAATGATGGTGTAGTCGGCGGGCAAACGGCGAGACAGAGATGCACGGGCGTGACGGCCTGGACCAGGCTCTGTCTCTCACAGACACACGACAGCTACCATCCAACACCCAGTGAACCCCAGCAGATAACTCGAACGGTTGTATTGAGGTGCAGATTAAGCGTGCGTCGCGTAATTGGCGATCTCGCTGCATCAGTACCAAATCCATTTTACTGGCGGAGCGAGACAAGGCCCGGGAGTGTTGAAGAAAGGCTCGGAAACCTAACTTGTTCGGATAAGGTAGGTTACTGGGCTCGGAGGCGGCTTTAAGTGCAAGGTGTCTTTCGGATAATAACAACTTGAACTGAACCAACACTGCACTGAACAAGTCTACAATGTTACCAGGTACCCCTGCCAATGTCCTGCTGCGTGCTTGTCAACTTCAAGTTGAACCTGTATCTCCCCCGCACTACTGCCTGGAATCGATATCCGCGTGCGACTGATTATGCTCACCTGGCAGCCATGAACTGCATCGACAAGACAAACGCTGTGCAACACTCTCATTTGACTCGTTGAGTGTCACACAAAAGTCCGACTGCAGCAGCCGATTCCCCAAGCTGCGCAAGCGTGCGGCAGCAGTGGATATGGCGGTGGGTGAGCGCCTATAACGGGCGTCATTGTTAAGCATGATAGGCACCATCCTCCTCGTCCGTTGAGAAGCTGACGTCAATCCGGTGGGCGACACGGCTGCTTCCCGGACCATTTCTCCACCATCCAAACTGAATCTGCATCCTCAGGATCCGTATTATTGCCTTCAAGCTCCACTGGCACCTCAAACTCCCATTGTGGTTGTTGCTCACATGCCAGTAGTATACAAGATGGTGTTGTGTTGCAAGGCCAGCATCAGTCAGTAAATAATGTACCTTAACTGACCAACGCCGGCCAACGGGGACACATGCAACGAATAAATCTTTCGCCTGCGAGCCCTGTTGAACTGCTAGCAAATGCTTGACCAAAGATCTGCATTTCTCCGTGGATTGATGCCAAAGCTTGGCTGTTTCAGATCCCGAACCCCTGGCCGATCATCTGTTCGCACCTGAACAACTGATGTGGAAGTCGCAAGAGGCAGATACCTGTATACAATATAACTTTGAATAAGGTAGATGGGGGGTCGTACACCTGCACGTCCACCTTGGTTTACATTCCAGGGTTGAATATATCATTATTTATCTGCCTTGGTCAGGCTGCATAAGGTATACATCTTTGGCTGACACCGCAGACCGCTGTCACCGTGCAGGTGAGTTACCACCTTAGGGGATTTTTGTCACAGATGCTATCACAGACAAAAGCGAAGTCGGCGCATCACGGCGTCCTCCTTGCTTACGACCGATGGGGAGACTCTGCCACTACTAGTAGTAGTACTGCTACAGTACAGCCGTGTTTGCTAAATAATGCAATTGCACCTCCAGGAAGCGAGGCTTCCACGCCTGGATACATTTACTTATCAGACCTATCAGTACCGCAGGACTGACCACCTGCCAGACTAGGATTCCGGGTTCCCAACCCGAGCCTTGCACCCCAGCGTGCATGTCCGAACCCCGAGTACTAAGTAGTCATTAGCATACCGTCGGTAAGGTGCTATCCTAGGTCGGCAGTATGCTTCACTCCACTATTACACCGACATCCAGGTTGGTGTCGACTGTGTGCATCATCATCATCTTTCAGACGCTTGGTCCGACCCGTCCACCGCATACCCTACAACAGGACATTCCGCTTCATGCATTTCATGGATTGATTGCGCAATCAACCCATTCTTGCCTTTGATTTTGCTCTCTACACCGGGAGTTGTACCCGGACTTGTTCTTTCAGAGGACCGCTTCAACTTCTCTTGCCCATGCTAGCATCGCCTGCACGCTATGCCAGTGCTTAGCTGAGAAGAGATATCAGCGGCAAGTCGCCTAGTCTGGGGATACTCTTCAAGTTGGCTGTGCGCAGAGGAAGTATGAATTTTACAGGATATCTCGTACGCTTATTATGCAGATCTCATTCCACATCACGGCACGGGCATCAATCATACTCTGCGCTTGACTTTATATGCATGAATTGCATGCACGTTGTCCGGTAGGTCGCGCCAGCGACCGGGTATGCAACGCTGCTTCCAATCTTGCCTTGGCTGAACCTGTGGACTGAGTCCGGGACTGTCAAAAGCAGTCGATATGTCGATCCTAATTGAGCCGACCCTGCGATAGGTGACAGTCCGTCCAGGAATCCGTTGATGTCTGATTTGCTTATCCCTCTCCGCAAGAACCTACCAGGAAGGATCGTTTGCTTACATGGAGAGCCAGCTGAGCTCCGGAATTCTTCAGCGTTGGCCCTGTGAAGGCTGCCGCACAAGAGCCACAGCTGCGTACTTCCCAGGTACCTTGTACCTCCGAAGGGCTGAGCCTCATGATCGCACGTTTGGTTGGTACGTAAAGAGCCCACTTAAAAGCTGGGATGTAAGAAGTGGAAGAATCGCTGCAACTGGCAACGTAACACACCGCGAAGGAAATAGTATGGACTCTGCTTGAGCAAATATGGTGGCCATGAATCCTAGTGGAGATATGATAAAGGAGGCATCGAACAAGCCCCCACACACAGATATATTTTGGTTGTCATTCAACGTCAACATCACACGTCCAATTGGACATTATTTCCTTGTCTTCATAGAAAACTAGCACCACGATACTATACATTTAAACCCTTTCAGCATTAGGCCGACCATTTTGAACTCGCCCTCAAACGGCACGAGTCGCATGACTGTGCCTATCGACGGGTTCGTGTATAAAGTACATGAGCCTCATCTACCTACTAGATCGGCTCATTCCTCTTCCCAACTTGAACACCCAGCATCAGTTCCATCTGTGCTGTATTATATCCGTGCCCTTCTGTTTATATTTCCCTTTATCCCTCGCCTGGTCGACGTAGTCACCCTCATCACGCAGAATAGACCAGACTCCTCTTGCCGGACGACGCGGCTTGAAAGGCCCGGAGAAGGAAAGTATTGAAGACGGCCCGCTCGCCGAGGCGAACGGTTGCACTGTTGGAGCTCTTGGTGACCCGGATATTGCTGACCCTGCCGATTTTTGATGGGAATGAAGCCTCTGTTCCGGCTCCGGCTGGGTCGGAGTCTTTGATGCAGATGCAGAGGCAAATGCCATTGTTGTCGACGACGTCGATGCTGTCATGGGCCTTGTCCCTGAAATTGATCCTATGCTGGGCCTTGATGTTGAGGCTGCTGTTGTTGCCGTTGTCATTGAGCCGGAGGTGGATTCGTATGACAATCGACTCGGGTTCAAATTTTGTGAGGAAGATCGAGTTCTTCCACATGGGTTCGAGTTCGGAAATGCGCCTGGGATTTGATACTCGGTCCCACTGGCATCTTTCACGACCAGCGTCGGCGGTGAGAGGTACATCGGTTCTCCAGTAGAAGGTTTGGCCGCAACTCTGCTGTTATTGCTTCTGCTACCACTTCCTGACGCTTGCGATGGTTCCGACCCCTTCGGACGAGGCTCGACCTGTCGTAACGGGACCTCGCCAGATGTTTTGGCCACCCAAGCCCGCGCTCTGTCCAGTGAGGCTTGATGAGACAATTCTGCGTTCGAGTGCACTTCCAGGATGTTCAGCAGACACCGCGATGTGTTGACAAGGTCGACGAGAGACTCGCTCGGGGAAGGGGTCGATACTCTTGACGAGGGCGCTTTCTGATGTGAAGGTAAGTGTTGGTCAGCTTCCGGGACACGATTCGTGGACTGAAGACTTGGGTCGTTGATAGCCTCTTCAACACGGCCGTCTGTGCGGATAAAAGGTCGAATTGCCATGGCACGCTCCTCGGTCAGGCCGACGGGCTCCTGACCTGCCCCGACAGCCTCCAGCATCAGGCGAGTGTGCTCCGTGACCATGTTCAGTCGTCGCTCGGAGAGGAAGTCATACCACGCGCGGTCGGCTGCAACCATTGCCAGCAGAGCCTTCAGTTGAGTAGCGTGCGTGGCCTGCAGACTCGCCACCTGTTGGCGTTGGGCTCGCGTCAGCCCTCGCACCTCCAAAGCAGCTTTAGCTTTGACCACCTCCATTTCGGATTCTTGTCTGCCAAAGATATCTTCACGTTTTGCGTCTTGTTGTTTGTTGAAGCGATCTTGCAGCCGACGTTCTCGTCCCTCCCTGTCGCTCTTACCGCGAAGATGCGTCTGCATCTCGAGAAAGAAATCGTCCTCGAGCTCTTGTAGCTTGGCGTCGAATGCCCTCAGTTCCGCCTCGTGGCTTTCCTCCAAAGCTTTGATTCGTCCGCTGATGTGAGATTCTAGGGCGGTCATCATGGTTTCCATGCTTGTTTGTTGCTCGTCCACCTCGGCGTTGCACCTTTGGAAATATTGTTTCTCGAGGTTAATATGTCGGCTGTCCAGACTGGTCCTCTGGACACGTAAAACGTCTTCCAGTGCAGATTGGAGAGCCTCGCAAGCCTGCTCGACCGAGATGCGCAGCGTCTTCCTGAACTCGCGTTCCAGGCGCAGCTCCTCTCGTCTGCGGGCCTCCTCCTCTCGTAGACGTTCTGCTTCCAGTCTGGCGAGCTCTGCTTGTCGTCTTTCCTCCTCCTCTCTCTCCTCTTGTTGACGCCGCTCGGCCTCAATTCGTTCAAGGGCTTCAACTTCGGCAATAGCACGTGCTATCTCTGCAGATTCGCCCTGCTGTTGTTCTCGCCGTTGCCTCAATTCCTCCTGTCGAACCAATTCATCATCTTCAGTGCAATGACAGGTCTGCCATACAGCACCGCAGATATAGCAGAATTCTCCGCCGCATTTGCACGTCATATGCCGGCAACCGTCGTTTCTCTAGATTCGGAATGTGTTAGTCGTCGCTCCTCAAAAGAAAACGGGCTGTTGCATACCTCGACTATGGTCCGGCACATGTAGCAGCGTCGCCAGCCTTCCAACTCGGCCATCAGAATCGTGGCTTCGAGTCCACTGTCCTTAGGACATTCCGTAAATCGTTTATGTGCAAGGCCGTGACAGGCGCCGCAGATCTTGGTGGAACAATGAGGACATGAATGATTGACCCCCTGGCGATCGCGTCGTATGGCGGAGGGAGAAATCCATCGGAGACAGTTCGTGTTGGGGCAGTACAGCCGTTCCTGTGGCGGAATGGCATACTCCGCCGCCTTCTCCTTGTATGTTTGCCTCTGTTCCTTAGTGAGATGTAGAAGGACCGTTTTCAAGGGGATCGCAGTCAGACAGCACTTGGGCGGAAAGGTGGCTTCGTTCTGGAGCGCAGTGATGATGAGAGTTGTGAGACATTCTTTGCAGTAGTGGTGTGTACAAGGTAGCTTTGCCGTTTCGGAAGGTGAAATTTCCTCAAAACAGCCGGTGCATTCAACGGGAGGCCCTTTCGCTTTCACGACAATGCTGCTGAAAATGTCGCGCGTGCTTTCGAAGGCTCTGTGTCCGACGGCGCGTGCTTTGGTCGGAAGCTTGCCAGATGTTGAGGAGGAGGCGTCTGAATTGCTGGCACGACTGGTTCCGGAAACGGTACCTGCTCTTGTGCGTTTAGTGGTCCGAACATGATGTCGACCAGCCTCACTGCTCGGTACCCGGGAGATTTCGCTGCTAGAATTTCTGTCATGTTCGGATTCTTTTGATTTTCCCTTTGCGACTGAGCTGTTTTGTTGGGCAGTTCGGTCCTGCGGAGGGGACGGGTTTAGTGACCAGGCGAGGATCTGCCTGAGCTTTTCCGGCACACTAGCATCGTCCTGGAATGTCTGGACCTCCTGAGGCAACTCATGCTGAGGTAATACATGTCGAATCCATTCAGTTTCGGTTTCCAAGGATGGCCTGCTCTGCTTGAAGGCCTCCCATTGTGGACTTGGCCCAAGTTTCTCTTCGGCTATCTCTTTTGAGGGCGGTGGCATCGGTTTCGGTGAGTCCATCCTCAGGTAACCCAATATGAAAAGAAAAACTTGTTTGAGGAATACACCTAACTTTAATATTGCAGATAGCATGATCTTCGACAAAATGACTAGTAGTCAAGTGCCATGACTTGAAAGCAGGACCATACTTGGCCTGCTAGTCGAAATAGCTCGCATCATAAAACGCCGTTTGACCAAGTGAAAGCAAAAGCAGACATACCAACCAATCGAGTAAACATGTGTCCGCCTTCCAGGGCTGACCGGCGGTCTTTCACACCGGTCTGATGAACGCATAGCATCATTGGCATTTTGGAGGCAGTGTTGTCAGCCTCAATGGGCAATTTACTAGAAGAACCTCATGTGGAGAGCAGTGGGGAATAGTCGAACAGAAACGAGAGCTAGAGACAGTCATGTGTACGGGATAGAGCAGCCTTGTCTGTGATCTTTGTAGGGCAGGTGTGCGCCTTACCTCTTGGTACGGGACTTCCAGGTGAGGCTGTGCAGGGGCCCACCATCAAATTCGGCTACTCGGGTCGCTAAGGGTACGGAGCCACGCCGGTTGTTGGATGGCGCTGGGCGACCTCCATGCCACCAGAGAATCGGGAGAGATGACACTATTCGATGAGGATGTGATCTTTGCAGCGTGAATCGTCATCAGACGGCAGCTTGCTGAATCACGGAGTGCCATGTGGCATGCAGATATTTTCAAGCTGTTTAATTGTAGGTATTGTTCAAGTTCCAAGCCCTGTGAGGATTCGGGCCGGTCGCGGAGAAATGATATTCCGTGCCGCTACCCAGCGCAGTAGTCAGCCCCTGATCTGGCTGGTCTGTTTGCGACAGAACGAAGCCAATCGATTATCAGAACAGCTTTCAGAGGGAATGTTGTCTTGATAAAGGCAGCGAGCATGACAGGCCTCGCCTTGACGGAATGCAGAGTGCTTAGCAACAATAGTGAGACTCGAACACGGTACAAAGGACTTTGGCAATGATGTTCAACATTGAAAGAATTTCATTGAGCTCGTCTGCTTGAACCATGCAATAGAACTCCCATCAACTGTGCCAAACCGTATTGACCAGTTGATTTTGCCGACCGACCCCTCCCCATCTCACAGTTGCTGCGGGGGCTGATTCTTGCGCGGCTGGGGAATTTCCCCTTGCGGAGAATCATTCTTCAGGATCTGAAAGGGCGTGTTGCTTTTACACCAACACCTGGACGTGGCTCCCACTCTATTCTTCGTCTTCCTCACCCTCCACCGCGTTCAGGGCGATTCGGTCAAGATCTCGGGCACCAGCCTGGGTGATTCTCCGGCCACCCTTTCCACTGCCACCTTCCTCATCCTCATCAACCTTCTCGACTATTCCCAACTGCTCGAGAGCTTGCACAACCTTTCGGTCAACTGATCCGGAAGCATTGACGTGGTGCGAGGGTCTCGAGCCACGGTTCTTGGTGCTGCCGTGAACTTTTCGCAGACGGCCAACACCGACTGACTTTCGGAGGTAGATGTGTCGGGCAACGGCGGCCGCGCGGACGTAAAACCAATCGGCGGACTGAGGGGGGAGCTCGTTGGAGTGAGAAGTCTTGACAGTATCGACCCAACCTAAAAGTACCAAGTGTTAGTCTTATTCCCTCCTTTGTCGTTCTGCGGCCCTTCTCGCTTCCTTTCCAACAAGTGCCAGTATCCGCTAGGAAGATGCGTTGCTAGAAGTAGAAGGCGATGGCGACAATCGGGGAAGTGTCTAACCTGGGATCGGAAGCTTTCCCTGCTTCTTCAAGAACTCGGCATACGCGGTGATGAACTTTTGCGCCTACGGAGCCATTAACATCAGTATGTCTTGTTCCAACTCGGTTTGTCTGCAATGCCATAGGGGTTGCTTTGCTGCGCTTCCTGCTCTTGTCCTTTGACTTCCGGATCCAAAGGGTGCGGTTTCGCAAGGTTCGGTCGCACTCACATCAACATCTCGAACGGTAACACCACCCATGATTGCGACGGAGGAGACGATTTAGTCTCTGCAATCAATATCTGTGGTAGGAGAAGAAGGGTGTAGGCGGCGTGGGAGTTGAGTTGGTCGAGCGAACGGTCGTCCTTCAAAATGCAGCGTCGAGGATCCTGGCTGGCTAATTTTGTGTGCTTCTTGCCAAGAGTTCCAGTCTTGGCGGCCTGGCTTTTTGCTACGTCGGAAGGATGCTAATAAATGGGCCGTCTGACATGCACAGACACTTTACCGCTAGTGCGCTATATTGCCCCTTCATGACCTCAATAAGTCTGTCTGACGGGGCAAATAATTACGAAATCTGGTTGAGGAGGCTGCTTCAAGTTGTTCGCTGACCTCTGCTATAACATACAATACAAATGTCCAAATCCAAAGTAGTAATCACCTGTTCCTACACCATCAGGCACTTAGCCATATGCGATGTGCATATAATTCGACTTACTGACCGACGCGAACGAAAAACAGTGCCCAAGCTGAACAGGAAGATTTCGTGCGTGTTGCAAGAAGATACAATTCCCCATCGCAAGTGACCACTTGGAGCCCTGGTGCGCAACCTGCAATGGCTGAATCCTAGCACAACCTATATGCTATCTACAGGCTCAATGCCGTGATGGCAGAACCTATTGCTCCGATGTGAAGCGATGCTCTCCTGTTCACGGGTCAGCAAGTTTTCTTCGACATGCAAACGTCGCCTCACAATGTGTTTAGCGTTGCCCACCAGTTGAGAAGATCATGCGTCTGGTAGCTCTCAATGGTGCCCTGTGCGGCGTCCGAATTGGCGACATCTTCGTCTCCCTGCAATGCAGCTCTCGCTCTCCGACCTAACTCATCGTTCGTCCGTTTCATAGCCCCGAACGTGAACGGCACAATGCTCAAGCACAGCACAGCGGCGGCCAGGAAAAGTCGTCTCTGACGAGTTGCTGCTTCAGGCAAGTTTCTGAAGGCGTACAGGAAGGATGTACTTGCGAATAGGGCAGCCGCTGGACCTGCTTTCTTGCCGATGTCGTAAATATGCTGCCATTGACGAGCAAGCTGTGGAGACTTTGTTGCTGGCTTTTCTGATGAGATGGCAGTAGGAGAGGCCGCATTATCAGCGTTAGCCGGAGCGGGCAGCGGCGATGGTGGAGGAGGGAGCAGCAAGGTGGGTATAGAGATATACGAGATCCCTAGATTGGCACCAACGAATATGGCTGATAATGTTATACCAAGAGTGCCTGCAACGGTGATATGAGTTTTGCTGGGAGCCATCTCGACTTGGACCTTCCCGATGGTTTAGTTCAGAGAGCTCTTCGACTTGCACCGATCTTTCATAAAAAAACCCAGTCTCCCGATCTTCGATCTCCAAGTCAGTATCTTCCTGACGACGCAAGCTATGATCAGTATACCAGACACCTGACCAGATTGTCTAGAACATAAAACTCGCAATCAGATAGATAGACTATTTCGATGACAATAAGACCGTAATCCAGTCAGGAGAGAGTTACAATATAGGAGTAGGTTATACGGAGAGCTGTCGGAGTGCTTTGCACGGCAGTAATGTCAGGCGTCGGCTGCTGCTCATTGGCCAGTTGTTCATAAGCACTCCAACTTGAAGTTGATGGACATGATCCCTTTCCCACTACCGCTGAGGACAACTTGTCTGTTATCGCAAGAACAAGCAACAGTTCGATAACCACCACGGTATTCTGTGTTCTTGAAGCTGCGGCTGCTGTGCAATACTTTGAGAACTCGGCATGGATGTTGTTGTTCTCTTGTTTGTTTGACGACCAGTCTCGCACACAGTCGACTCTTGCCTCCCTCCTCGGCGCGGCTCACCACCTCAAAATTCCGTCCCAAATCTACGAGCAGCCCCAGAACTAGAATAGACTCCCGATCCCTCTGAGTATACGAGTCTAAATACACTTCAAGATGTCGCAACCTTACACTCAGCCTGGTGTTCCGGGTCAAGATGGGTACGGGCAACAACCAGTTGCAGGACAAGCATACGAAAACTACGAGACGATACCTGCAGCCGGCGTACCACCTACGACTTCACCAGCACCAGCAGCAGGACACACTCATGGCGGGCGAAAGAAGCGTGCATATGCTGGACAGGCGTATGAGTTCGGCGCGGGAGCCAATGCTGCTCTGGGTGGCCAGCAACAAGCTGGCGGAGCATACACTGGTTACTCTGCCCAGCAAGATGCGGCCGGTTACCCTCAAGGAGGTTATCAGCAAAACCCTGTCGCGGTTCAACAAGGCGCAACGCCGCTGTATCCTGGACAGGATCCGGCGACATTGGGCGGGTATCAGCCTCCTGCGGCAGGATATCCTACTGCGGGAGGTGTACCAGGTTTGAGCCAGCAGTTTGGTCAAATGGACATAAACCAGAAGCCTCCAATCGCCGCGGCACCTCAGCAGCAGCAACGCGCCCCGGTGTTGAACCAGCTTTACCCCACGGATCTGTCGAATCAGCCTCTCAATGTTGCGGAGCTGGACTACCCACCGCCCCCTGCTGTTCTTCCCCCCAATGTACGTCTAGCCCAAGTTTCCGTGTGATAACAAGTCTAACAAACGCAACAGTCTAGCGTTACGCCGTCTCCGTACGCCAACTGTCCTCCGAAATACGTTCGCTCGACTCTAAACGCCGTGCCAACAACGCATTCCCTCCTCAAGAAGTCCAAGCTGCCTTTCGCGCTCGTTATACAGCCGTATACCTCCCTACACGATGTGGAAGACCCGGTGCCCATTGTGCCTGACCAGGTTATATCACGTTGCAGACGCTGTCGGTCATATATTAATCCATTCGTGACTTTCCTGGACCATGGGCATCGATGGCGATGTAACATGTGCAACCTGACCAATGATGTCCCGCAAGCCTTTGATTGGGATGCGGCCGCCCAAAAGCCCCTTGACCGATGGCAGCGGCCCGACTTGAATCACGCTGTCGTTGAATATATCGCCCCACAAGAGTATATGGTTCGACCGCCCCAGCCGCTCGTCTACCTCTTCCTCCTCGATGTGAGCTACGCCGCTGTAACGAGTGGGCTGTTGGCGACGACTGCTAGGTGCATTCGAGAGAGTCTGGACCGCATTCCGAACGCCGACCGACGGACCAGACTGGGCTTCATTGCTGTCGACTCAAGCCTTCATTTCTTCAACATCCCTCGTGATGGTACTGAAAATGCACAGACCAGCATGCTTGTCGTCAGCGACCTGGAGGAGGCATTCCTGCCGACACCTGCAGATTTGCTTGTCACTCTGTCCGAGTGCCGGGAAAATATCGAAAACTTCTTGGACAAGCTCCAAGAGATGTTTCAAAACACCCAGAATGGAGCATCGGCTATGGGGTCGGCACTTCGCGCAGGTCACAAGCTGATCGGACCGGTTGGCGGTAAGATGACAGTAGTGACAGCTTCACTTCCCAATATCGGGCAGGGCAAACTTGAGATGCGCGAAGACAAGAAGTTGTTAGGCACCTCGAAGGAGAGTAGCTTGCTCCAAACGCAAAACAGCTTCTACAAAAGTTTTGCGGTGGAATGCTCGAAGCAGCAGATCTCGGTCGACATGTTCCTGTTCTCGTCACAATATCAAGATGTCGCTTCGCTGAGCAACCTTCCTAGGTACACTGGTGGACAAACCTATTTCTATCCAGGTTGGAACGCCGCGCGAGAAGAAGACGCCATCAAATTCGCCAAAGAGTTCTCGGATTATCTATCTGCAGAGATTGGTCTCGAGGCTGTTCTTCGTGTCCGTGCCACAACCGGTCTGAGGATGAGTACTTTCTACGGAAACTTCTTCAATCGCAGCTCCGACTTGTGCGCATTCCCGGCCTTTCCAAGAGACCAGAGTTACGTGGTGGAAGTGGCGATTGATGAGACGATTACGAAACCTGTTGTCTGTATGCAAAGTGCGGTTCTACACACCACGTGCAACGGAGAACGACGTATCCGAGTCATGACCTTGGCCCTACCTACCACGCAACAATTGGCTGACGTGTACGCGTCCGCGGATCAGCAAGCCATCACTGAATACTACAGCCATAGAGCTGTAGAGCGTGTCCTGAGTAGCGGCCTCGACAGCGCCCGCGACATGCTCCAGAACAAATTGATCGAGCTGTTGGCGACTTATAAAAAGGAGCTTGCTGGTGGTAGCATGGGTGGAGGGGGCTTGCAATTCCCGGCCAACCTTCGTGCTCTCCCTGTGTTGTTCCTTGCTCTTACCAAGCACTTGGGACTGAGGAAATCGTCGCAGATTCCTAGTGATATGCGATCGGCTGCATTGTGTTTGCTGTCAACACTCCCCTTGCCATTGATGATCCAGTACATCTATCCAAAGATGTTCTCTCTGCACGACATGCCGGACGATGCAGGAACGGTGGATGAGAAGACCGGAGAGATCATTCTTCCTCCGCCAATCAACCTCTCGTCCGAACGGATAGTGCCGTACGGCCTGTATTTGATCGACGATAGTCAGACACAGTTCCTTTGGGTGGGCCGCGATGCAGTTCCACAACTGATCATGGACGTGTTCGGGCTGCCCGATAAGAGCCAGCTGAAGGTTGGCAAGCAACGCTTGGCAGAGCTTGACAACGACTTCAGCGAGCGGGTTCGAGCAGTGATCTCTAAAAGCAGGGACCACAGGTCGAAAGGCGTAGGAAGCATCGTGTACCCTCATCTCTACGTAGTGAGGGAGGACGGTGAACCGGGACTGAGACTATGGGCTCAGACCATGCTTGTGGAAGATCGAGCGGATCAAGGAGTCAGCCTTCAGCAATGGATGGGAATGCTACGCGAAAAGGTACAGTAACGAGCAAGCCATGGGGGGGCGGTCGAGCAACAGGTTGCTAACAACGAACGGCAGGTCATGCAATAGGTCGTCAAGTTGAAGCACTAGAGAAATTGCCATAGACTGAACTGAATGAAATGCCCAGCGCAGTGACCCAGAAGCTGCACCCTGCCACCAAGACTGGGGCACCCCTGGTTTTGACTTGCAGTAGTGACAGTGTGACCAAGTAACCAACTCCATGTACAGTACAGCAGTAGTAGCCTCTTGATGCTCAAAAAGACCTACTAGCACCGAGGCGATAAGCGTCGTCAGGCTGCGGACTGTGTCTGCGGTCCTCTGAGCTATTTCGAGGGACTGTGTCTGAAGGGCTGAAGTGGTGGAGAAGACATGAAACACTGATCCGACCGCCTCAAACGCTGCGAAACGGCGGCAGCGAGCTGTCAGAGAAGGCGGCCCTGGCACGGTTGAAAAGGGATAGTGGAGGGGTGGCCGTCGATGGGACCTTGGACTAAGATCCGTATCAGGATTGACGCGTCCCAGAAACAATTGCTAGTATGCGAATAGTTAGGTGTTCGTTCGCAGCACAGCCCGAAGAAGGTGGACAACGGGCGGCTAAAGGCTCAACCCAAGGGCTAAGGAGGCTCCTCGGGCTTCAATTCGAGCGCAGTGTGAAAAAGCAATGCAGTAGACAGTAATAGCAAACCACAATCCCTGTTTGTTGTAGCGAGTCAAGCCGTCACATCCTCATCCACACATTCTCGTTTTCGCTGCCATTGCTGCTGTTCATGCTATTCATGCTGCCGAGCCGGTCTCTTATTCACCGTGATTGTCCCACCTCCAGCTTCCAGGACTTGTGAGATCTGACCTGCGCCGAGCAACATCCAAGAGAAGTCACATTACTTAGGATCTGACTTCTCATCAGTCGCTACACTCCATCTTCTCCCTCTGCTACCGACGGTCTGCGATCCGTGCCACTGCCTCCATCGAGCCTCATCCCGCTGCAACAGATCTCCTCTGGTACTCCGCAGCTCCCGCTCAAGTCTGCTCCACTGCGGCGGACAGATCACAGCCTCCCTTCAGGGCTTACCGCCTTGGGCTTGGGCCTGGGACGTTGGGCGTGCACACCTTCGTCGTGGGCGGAACAGAGTGAACACAGGGTCAACACAATCGTGAGTCTAGCCCCCCGAGTGTCGCAGAGTGCCAGGAATGTGGTATCTGTGGAAATCATCAACACTAATGCGACGTTAGCCATTATTGATCAAATTCCTCCCTACACGGCCGTTTCCTCGATCGCAACACCACAACACCAAGACGAACGCACCCCGAATCAGCGGCATCCACTCGATAGCGCCTACTTGTGTCCGTTAAGCGAGTTCAGCACATCCCACCAGATACAGGAGACCGGACCCATCGAGAAGCGCAGGCTATAAAGGGGAAGTGAGAGAGAAACACAACCATTGCTGGTGTAGCATTGACGACCATCACCGCCTACCGACATCCCTCCTTTCCTTCACTCCACGGACCGAGCCTGTAAGGTGAAGATTGGCCAACACCTGGGGCACTACCCCCGAAATCCCTCTTGCAGCTTTGCAAGTTCGTCTTCGTCGAACGCGTCCGAAGGAAGCCAGCTGGTCTCCTTTTCACGGTCGTCGCAAACAAGACACCAAAAGGGGCACGAGCTGAACGGTGAACAAGATGGGACAACCACAACAACATGCTGCCCAGTCAGGAGGCTCGAGGAAGATCTCTTTCAATGTCTCGGACCAATATGACATTCAGGACGTCATTGGTGAAGGCGCTTATGGAGTTGTTTGGTAAGTGAACCACGAGTTCCTTGCGGTTCAAGCAGCTTTGGGCTGATACATTGAATAGTTCTGCCTTACACAAGCCGTCTGGCCAAAAGGTTGCGATCAAGAAGATCACCCCTTTCGATCACTCCATGTTCTGTTTACGCACATTACGAGAAATGAAACTGCTACGATACTTCAATCACGAAAACATCATCTCCATTCTTGACATTCAAAAGCCACGAAATTTCGAGACATTCACCGAAGTCTACTTGATTCAGGTTGGTCGCGGCATCATGGATGACCTGTTCAATTCTGAGGCTGACATATTTTCAGGAACTGATGGAGACAGACATGCATCGTGTGATCAGAACCCAGGATCTTTCAGACGACCATTGCCAGTATTTCATCTATCAAACCCTCCGCGCCCTCAAGGCCATGCACTCTGCGAATGTGTTGCACCGAGATCTGAAGCCATCGAATCTGTTGCTCAATGCCAACTGCGACCTCAAAGTCTGCGATTTCGGGCTCGCCAGGTCTGCGGCCTCTGCAGACGACAACTCCGGGTTCATGACCGAATACGTGGCAACCAGATGGTATCGCGCTCCTGAAATCATGCTCACTTTCAAAGAGTATACGAAAGCCATTGATGTCTGGAGTGTTGGATGCATCCTTGCAGAGATGTTGAGCGGAAAGCCCTTGTTTCCGGGCAAAGACTGTAAGTCTTCATGGAGAGAGTCTCTTCAAGCAAAGCTGACCTTTTTTTCTAGATCATCATCAACTCACTCTGATCTTGGACGTCCTCGGTACTCCCACGATGGAAGATTACTACGGCATCAAGTCTCGGCGTGCCCGGGAATACATTCGATCGCTCCCATTCAAGAAGAAGATTCCCCTCAAGGCGCTCTTCCCCAAGACCTCGGATCTTGCGTTAGATCTCCTGGAGAAACTTCTCGCCTTCAATCCTGTCAAACGTATCACCGTCGAAGAGGCCCTGAAGCACCCTTACCTCGAGCCGTACCATGACCCTGACGATGAGCCGACTGCCGAGCCGATTCCGGAGGAGTTCTTCGATTTCGACCGTAATAAGGATCAGCTGAGCAAAGAGGAATTGAAGGCCTTGATTTGGAACGAGATCATGAGATGATTCTTCGGGCAAGTCTTGAGTCAATAATTTCAAAGCAACCGATCTGCCTTGGTGCTTACCTACCCTGCTGTAGGGGGAATTTTTTGTCCCAGGCCGAATATGGGAACAGAACAACCTTGGAGAGTTTTCAAACTTGATGAATCGAGAAGGCTCGATCAGGCATCCGCTTTTGCATCCGATCGTGGACACTCAGGAGGCACTGGGGAAGCTTACCTTGAGCAGTGGAAAAATCTGAAGAAGCTTGCTGGAACTCGTGCGTCAGGCAGCCGGCACGAACGAACGATTGAATACCTACCTTACCTTGAGCAATGAATGAAATAGAAGTATGATCACAATATGCTTATAACTACCTGTGTACCTATTGTAGTATTGCAACAGAAGACCGAGAACGAGCTCATGTCGAGGCTGTTGCTTTGCTGCCCTGATGTTGATCACTGCCTTTGCGGTGCACTCTCAATGTACTAGATAGTAACATCCAAGCACATGTGTACCGTTCACCACCTGACATGACACAATTTGGTCTGCCACCTAGCTACATAGCTATTTGACCACTACTAGTAGGATGTACAGTTAGTTTTCTGCAGTCCAGGCAGTGACAATCTCAGTCCCCGCAGCTGAGTCGCAAGCCGAGATATATGTTCAAGTGAAAGTCAAGACAGCACCTACAGTGAAACATGTCGCGTAAGTCTAGGCGGTCCCAGCGGTGTTAGAGGTGTTCTGCAGCATCTCCAAATCTTGAAAGGTGGCACGCTTTCGATGATTCATATTTAAGTCTAGCACAAATTAGTCACGAATTTATCCTCCAAATTCATATACTTCTACTAGGAGTGCTGACGTCAATATGGCCGAGTGGTTAAGGCGTGTGACTTGAATTCTCTAGTTCAAGACCATCACATCCCTTCGGGGGCATAGGTTCGAACCCTATTGTTGACGACTTTATATGATTTTTTTTTTTTTCTTTTGCAATTTTTGGTTTCCCCTTCTTTGTTTCTTGAGTGTTTTTCCATATTCTTGTTCATCACTGCACGATACATGCATGCATGCACGCATAGAGATTGTCTGCTCTGTGCATTATAATTCATTTTTGGGGGCTGCGGCTGCGTCGCAGAGCTCGTACTGTACACTGTGTTGAGGTACTTCGAAGGGGTGGTGGGCCAGACCTATACGTTCATCGTCTGGTCGTCACCACTTTTGCTCATGGTACACTACGCTATGCACAACTTGAAGGCTACTACTATTCCACAGGACTCAGGGCTATCTTCTGGCAAGTGAAACACATTGCTTTGTTACACTGCTAGGAGGTTGCAACTTGCTACATCGATGGTGCACTGGCATTACATCGAACATATGCGTGATCAGAAGACAGTGATCAACATCAACACGGTACCTTCCTGCTGTAGATAGAGCGGCTGTATCGTGGTGATGGAGGTGCATTGCTCGTACCTCAAGACGGAAGGGGATCGGTTGAATTGGCGTCTCCAACCACCAAAAACCACCAAGAGAAAACATTGACAGAATGCAATATATTTCGACGGAGATGCATTTCTCTACGTAGAGGTACACACAGCAGGCAGGCTCCGAGGAATGAAGAAACCAGTTGAAGCAGCGTCCAACTCCAATGTTCCATCTATTGATCATCGATGACATGCAGATACTTGCTTGCTTCCTTGCGTTCTCTCTCAGTGGCAGGAGGCAAGTCGTAGTAACTGCTGCTTCGGTAGTCTTGCAAGTAGTGATACGTGAGATCTCTAAGATCTGCGGGCTCAATGCCGAGATCTTTGAAGGTCTTTGCGGACTTGTCGATCACTTGGTCGAGGCACTCCTGCTCAAGCTGGTCGGCCGACATGACGGGCCACCAGACGAGTTTATTGAGGTAGTGAAGCACAGGCTTCAAGAGGCCTTTCGGCAGGTTGATGTGTCGACGCTCTTTGATGATTTCCTTGTCCACGATTTCTGCGATCTCTGCGAGGCTGTAATTCGTGGGACCGTATAATTCGAAGGTCTCTCCAGCAGTGGTATCATCGTAGCCGATCCGTTCGAGGGCCATGCCGACATCAATAGCCTAAATGGAAAGGTCAGTACTCTGTTCACTTGAGGAAAACTCGGGTGACCTACATGAACCGGCCAGAAGCGCTCCTGCATTCCGTTGACCGTGAACAAATTCGTAACCCTTGCCAGACGATGTAGTAAGTTGTCCTCAAATCCAAACACGGGAGCCGGTCGAACAATCGTCGTCTCGGGGAACAGTTGTCTTGCAACTTGCTCTCCTTGGGCCTAGCAAATTCGTCAGCACTCAGTCCGCTTCTACCATGACTGGATGCTGCTCGGCGGCTCAGCTGCTCAGCTACTCACCTTCACCCTGAAGAATTCTGACGGGGAGTTGGGATCGGCATTGTAGGACGAAACGTGAATGAATCTGTCCACGTCATATTTGGCGCAGGCCTCCGCTATTCTTTCCACACTTTCGACGTTGGCATCCCATAGGCTGTAGTTCTTGGTCGGATAGTTCTTGCCGATCAGGTTGAAAACCATATCGGAGTGTCGCACACTTTCTTCAATCGACTGTGTGTTGCGTACGTCGAATTCCATGAAGGATACTCTTCCCAGGTCGCCCGACACCTTCAAATGCCGCTTGGCCATGTCATCTCGGAATGGGATGACCACTTGGTTGCCCCGCCTGGCCAACCTGTTGACGATATATCTTCCCAAAAAGCCATATGCTCCAAATACTGTCACAGTATGTCCACCCAATGAGGATCTTCCTCCCTGCTGTCTAATGATCGGCTTGCCCGTCCTGGTAATAGCAATGTCTTGTAGGTTGCGACGCTGAGAGTTTAAGGATTTCAAGGATCTCGATGCCTGAGCTCGAGCTGCGCGGAGCGCCGCGAGCGTGGCAGGTTGACTGGGTTGCATCATGATGCTTCGAGTATTGGGTCAAGCCCGACCACCCCCTCCACGGGCAACACGGCGTAGAGGATTCGTGCTTCGAAGGAGGTCGGAGCCTACAACGCGCCCACGGTGCACCTGCAGACTGTGGAATGGGACTAAGTCGTCGCAGTGTAGCTCAACAACTTCAACTTATTGATTTGCGCCGTGTTTGGCGTAGACATCGAGAGCTCCGGGACTGCATCCTCGGAGATGGTCTTGGCAATCATCAATCAATCGATCATGAATGGTGGTTGCAGTCCTTGCCGCTTCAGAAGCGTGGTGGGTGTTAAAGCAGCGTCGCTGTGCCCACCATTGCAGATGCACCAAATCAATAAGGCCCCGTTTCTAATCCAAGACGTTTGTCATGTGGTGAAGCTGGGTTTATCAACATCCCTATTAATTAGGAGCATTATTGGCAGTGACCTGATCAAGAGTATATGCCCTGTACACCATGAATCAGACAGACAAAGCCTAACGGGTTCACAGTTGGTTCCAGGAAGCCCAAAAGCGCCATATCTTGTGAGTAGCGCAAGGCTTTGGTTTACTGCCCAGTCAGCATCAATACATCCTGCTATTGAATGGCCTCAATATCCTCAGTTTATGCCGTCTATTTGAACACCTCAGTCGAACTGCTAGTCGAGGGTGACGTTGCTGCCGCTTATGCAATGGATCCCATCTCGCCTTCAACTCGCCAGCCTTGCCTCAACTCCGCCTTGCCAAAGTCCAGTTCGAGGATGGCCAATTCAAGTACGGCAGACGCTGATGGACAAGGAAGCTTCTACAAGTTGTACATCGAACCCTTTTTCATTCTAGCTCAACTCTCTTAAGTTCAGCCTCGCGAGGTAAGTTTGCGCCTACAATCAATCCAGACAAGTGGATCCGGTCTTTGATAAGCGCCAAGGTAGGAAGGTGGTCGCCGAACTCCGCCACTGCAAGAACCCCAAGTCACTCGACAACACATTATTAGGATCGCTCAGCCTTTCCCGCAACAGCGAGGGCAGAGCCTCGTGACTCCATTCTTTGTCAGTTACAAGCGACATCGGTTGAACCTTTTGGTTCTCCATTTTCGCTGTTCTGTTTCCTCCTGGAAAAGTTGCATGGCCATGGTCCGCGATGCTGCCTGTTTGACTTGTCGTTCTCGGAAAGTTAGATGCGACCGTCTGCTTCCCCGATGCTCCACCTGTTCCAGGCTCAACCGAGAGTGCGTGACCTCCACAAAGGCCTGTGAGATCACTTGGCTCCATTCCGATCTTAGTGGACGATCCTTGCGAGACGAGAATACTCCATACGAACATACACAGCAACTGCCTGGTGCCAAAGGCCGTCCTCTACTTACAGGTGAGTCGGTTGGCTTCTATCAGTCCATTACTTTTGTCCCGAGAGTTCTGACATTTGCTCTTGTAGAGCGTGAACGCACTCGACATATTGCCACAATCGTATCTTCAACCAACAACGCCACGGTTGAGGAGTTGCTAACGGATCTTGATACCCGTCTCTGTGATCTTGAAGGAGATCATGTCGCCTACCATGGACCATTTGGGGTATTTCGGCTTCACGGTGGCACTCCCAATGAAATCAACGAGTTTGAAGCTGTGGAAAATGTCGAGCCCCGAGACCAGATTGATTCTGCGATAGACCAAATATTCGAACCTCCAGCTACGAATGGTGCTTTCGAAGCTTCGGACACACCGACCGTCCTCGACGAGTCTCACCTGCTGCCACTTCTCCCTGACGAACAGCTGCTGGATTCTAGCCAGGATGGGATCAACTGGGACGACTTCCATATGGACCTGGCGACTGAAACCTCATTTTCCGACACCATTGCTATGGCCAATGGTCTATCCTGCAGCATTCCTACCGCCATGTCATTAACTTACAGTTTCGACGTGCATGACCTTGATTTTCCTACCATACGTCTCCTCCTTGACCGCTATCAAAATACCCTAGTTCCATATTTTGCTCCTGCGCGAATCCACGTAAAGTCCCCATGGGAAGCTTTGCACATACCCAAGGTCCACGAGACACTCGGAGAAGTCATACTCAGGGGCGACGCAGGGAATTCCAAGGTGTGCCTTCTATTTGCGGTGCTGGGTGCGAGTGCATTCCACCTGGATATCCTGCGCACTTCATCAGACGAGGTTACTCCGCCTTGGAGGGTCATCGCCGACAGCTACCGGGCACGAGCTAAGGCCCGGTTGAAGACGTCACTGCAGAGCCTCTCACCAGGCAAGAAACAAGAAGACTATAAGGATGTGCTCCTCGCACTACTGAGCATGGTGACAGTCTGTGTAAGTCCCAACATGCTATCAGAAGCTGCTCCGAACATATTATTAACCCGGCTTTTAGGTTGTCAGTGGAGACATGGACGAGGCTTACGCGTATCTACATGATGTAGAGCGCCTGATAGCTCTCTATGGTCTCGACAAGATCCGCAAATCGGCAGGTGTACAAATGCTACACAGCACGTATCTGTATCTGCGCACGCTGCAAGCTAGTGTAAGCAGTTTCAGCGGCCAGAGACAAGAAAGATCAAACAACAAACATCTTGAACCTGGTAACGCCCTCGCCCCCACAAAGCAGCCCAACAGTCTCTGGACCACCCTTCTCCAAGCAGACAGGTACTGCGATTCCTTATTTGATACGGCGGCAGAGCCTCCTTGCCATATATGCGGGCGAAACACCTCAATCTTCGAGCAAATTTACTCATTACCTGAATCCTTATTTCAACTAATCTCCCGGGTTACCGAACTCGCACAGCGAATGCAGCAGCTAAAACGGACACAATACGGCACAGCAGCAACAACAGCTGCTCATGATTCACTATCAGACGAAGTGAGTCAACTGGAGACGGATGTTTGCGGTTGGAAGAACGAAGTCCCGAATCCCGAACATGAGCCCGTGCTTCCACAATGCCCAAATTGCTTGTCGGAGATGGGATCAGACCGTGGAGAAGAGAACATCGGGAACCCCTCCCGCATGTCCTTGTTGTATCACTTTAGAGAAGCGATGCATTCGGCGCTACTAATCTATTTTTATCGATGCGTTCGAGGCGTCGACACGCATATCTTGCAGCACTTTGTCACCAAAACCATCGACCATTTGTCGCGGTACGGCGAAAGGAAACGGGAATCCAATGACCCGTCATCAAACCTTTGCTGGCCTGGCTTCATTGCCGGTTGCGAGGCGCTGGACACAACGACTCGGGATCGATTCTCAGCCTGGTTTAGCAAGGAGACCGCTCTGACTGGCATCCGGATGTTTGAAGTTGCAGGACAAGCAGTCAAACAAGTATGGGAGGCGCGGGACGTGCGAAAAGACCGGAACCTCACTTGGTCACAAATTCTTATGGAGAACAAGACATTGGATAGGTTGATTCTCAGTTGAAAATTTAACTATCAAAAAAAATTGGAAACTATTTTACAAAGCGATCTGGTCATGAATGCTCGTAATCAGGGAGACCTTTTTCCAAAGCCCTGACCTGCTTGGATAAACAAATTGTACACGGTGCTTACAGCGAAGCAACTCATGGAGCGAGTCCCCGTGCCGACAGTGCCGCCTCATACTGGAGGTATGGCTGGAACTCGGCGTACAAGCTGTCCTAGACATAAAAGTCAGTATGATATTTCCCCGTGACAGTATTGTTCAGAAACAACTTACCGGGTCACTAGTCATCTCAAAGGTAAACTTGGCAGCTTCATCATCAACATAGACCTTCTTCCGCCCAGAAGCCGCGGCGGCGTCGGCCTCCAATTGGATCTGGCAACTCCGCTCCATCAACATGAACAGATATGCCGCTTCGTCAACGGTGCTGCCAACGGTGAGCAGGCCATGGTTCCGCAGGATCATGCCCTTGCCCTTGGGACCAAGTGCATTGGCCAGGGCCAGCGATTCTTCCTCCTTGAGCACCACACCGCCAAACTCACCGTACACGGCTTGCGCTTCGCCGTAGAACATGGTGACATCCTGATTGAGCATCTCCAGCGGCTGGGCGAACGTTGACCATGCTTTGCCGTGCGGCGAGTGGAAGTGGCATGCGGCGTTGACGTCCGCTCGGGCCATGTGCAGGGCTCGGTGGATGAGGAAGCCGGCTGCGTTGGCTGGGTGTTTGGTGTTGCCGCCGACGACGCCACCGTCTTCGTTGAGTAGAACCATGTCTTCGGGCTTGAGGAGAGCGAAGTGGACTCCTAGACTGTAGCATATGTTAGAAGAGAGGAGAGAGAGGAGAGAGAGGAGAGAGAGGAGGAGGGTTATAGACAGCGGTTTAGTCTCACTACTTACGGGTTCGTCCAGAAGACATGCGGGTTCTCGGGATCTCTAAGGGAAATGTGACCGCTCAGCCCTTCAACGCAGTTGTGTCGCGCCAACACTCGGAATGCCCCCGCCATATGCTCCAACATGTGCGCTCTGGCTTTCTCGTGGTCTGAAAACACCGGCCGGCCGGGGAGGGTGACGCCTTGACTGAGCGCTTGCAAGGCATTGGAGGTGCTGCTGGTGGCGGGAGTGTTGTTGTTGTCTTGAGCTTTTTTGGTCTCTGCCGTCTTGGTTGAGTCTTTCGTGGTATACTCCACGGCAGGGGAGTCGTTTCCAAGTAGCGGAGCCATATTTAAAGAGAGTTGTTTGATAAAATGAATAAGAGAGAGGCTTGCAATACGATAGGGATAATCGACAAATGTCACTCAAAAGGAAGAATGCAAAACTTGGGTTTGGGTATTCACGATCTGATAGTCAGTAGATAACGAAGAGCGCTACTTTTATGCCTTGAAATACAAAGTAGGATACTCGAAAGCCGCTCACCAAACATCGCCACTCGATCAAACCCCGCGGGCATTCATGGAAACCGATGGCCTTGCGTGAGCGGAAAGGGCCCTGAAGATGAAAATGTCCCCCGGAGGAAAGTGGGTCCCGATGGTTCCCAGAGCATGGTCTCGTCTTTCCACCCACCTTGCTTTGTGCAAATGACATTCGAGAAACATCATGTCGATGAGAATGGAGCTCGATGCTGATCACGATTATTGGCGCATGTTTCCGCTTGAAGCGATCATATCCGCTTGCATAGATGCTGAGAGATGGCCGGCCCTATACAATTTGGCTGTGTTAAAGGAATGGGGCTCCGCACGGGAAACTCCTACTTTTTACAGGTGCCGGAAATCCTGTCCAACCCGAATCTTGGCAGCCTTGTCGGTCACATGACAGGTTGTACATTCCACGGTTGTATTCAAGGAAAGATATCGCGAACTTGAAGCCTGCCTCACAAGGTGATGTCAATCTCCTAGGCAGGATTCTTTGACGGCTTGATAACGTACCTGGTACTTAGGTCTCGGCCTTCGAAAGTTTGGCCGGGACGAGGGCAGCTGACCTCGACCCGAATTGGAGGGCTGTTGGTGGGAGAAGGCGGTGTTTACTAGACCATTCCCTCAACTGGCCGAAGTGATAAAGCACAATGACCGGCCGCCGTCTTCGCCACGAGTGTAAAGGGACATTTGACTGAGCTGAGAGGCCATTTGGAATCTTACGTGATGTGATGGGCAAGGCAAGGCTATCGACCCCTGAGCTGGGACGCGGGGTTCAGCCTCGCGACGTCCTACCTTCAATTAGTGTGCAGGCGCTGCATCTACTCCCCATCCATAAATATTGAGAATGCAGGTTGCAATAGGTTTGGCCTTGCGATATGTCGATGAATTGGATCAGAGAACCGTCGCCTCAATATTTCTGATCCATTCGGTAACTACCTTGTAGGATTTATCTTCAATGTATCGCTGCAAAAGCGGCAGTATAGCGTTTCCTGTTCGGTAACATTTCGTAAACGTCGACGAGCCCTCCAACTTCAAGCCCAATTCAAGTTGCACGTTAATGTGTTCGTGTTCAAGCCCAACGGGCAAACCCACGCCTAAGTCCCCTGCTCGAGAATGGTGTGAACACTATACATAGAGGACGGTGTGTCCTCTTTGGCCGAACCACAGAGCCCGGCCCTTACACTGCGAGGCGGTTGCAAACATGTCAATCAAAGCCATCTTCTACAGCAAGTTCGATCCGCATGAAGGTTTCTACGACTCGTTCTCGTACCTTTAGACCACGTATTGACACGCATGTACAGGTCCCAAAATAGTGCATCAGGTGCCTGAGGGATCGATCTTGACAGCGGCGGATGCCCCGGCGTCTGCCAGTGCGCCGAACAATGGCCCCGTATACGGTTCCAACTCGTCGACGATGCCTCTACACGCCTTCTCCACTATATCGCGCTTCGTTATCCCTCGCCAATCGCTCTGCGGGAATTTGATCTCTCTATCTCCCCCGCCGCTGACACCGAACACACCTCCTACACTGATCCTGTCGTATCCATTATGTCTGACGTCGCCGCACTATCCGCGCAACGAGTTCATCTTCAACTTTGCACTGGTGCTAGGCGAGCCCACGACGGTGGACGTGCCATCATACAAATCAGTGTTGAAGAAGCTTGCACATTTGATGCGAAGTCTGGAAGAACAATCGCATTTTCTGAGCGATGACACTGCGGCCCCGAACTCGGGCAAGATTTACAGTCTGTGTGAGATGTTGATGGAAGACCTGAACGACTACTGCGAATGCATGATCCCCATCGATGAGCTGAATACTTTGAACATCAAGCTATTTCCGACGCTGCCCAACCCCGTGAGCGTGAACCCATGGCATGTACCGTTGTTTACTGTCAGGATTGAGACCATGGTGGATGAGAACTGGGACTTGACGATGCTTCGCATCATTCCGTACATCAACGGCGTGAACAGCGTCAAGAGGATTGCCACTTTGGCAGACGCCGATCTCAAATTTACCAAGAAATGCGTCAAACATTTGTTGTATTACGGTTGTGTGTTGTTACTTGACATTTTTAGTTTTAATGCCATTTACGCCCCGACTGCCGAGTTTGCCAACTTGATTGCCAAAGATACAGACATGCAGAAGGAGTGCGCCAGGTATGTGAACACGGCGTTTGCACCCGGTGCCCAGGAGGAAGCCATTGTCGACGGCGGCGCCACTGAGCGAAGGACTAGTGGTTTGACGGCAACCACACTGGGACACGAGGATCCCTGGCCAGTAACTGGCAAAGGCGACCCTATTGATGGTGTTGGGATCGTACAGTTGTTTGCGAGTCTACGGCAGGGCCTAACGGTCCGAGAGTGGTACGCGCAGAACGCGAACATGTTGGCGAACATTGACATGCGACGGTTCGTTACTTTTGGAGTCATCAAAGGGTTTTTGTACCGTGTGCATCGATACGCCATACGCACACAGAAGGGTCAGCAGTCGGTACACGGCCAGCATGTCGACACGGTTGATGAGTCGGAACATGATCACCGCTATCTGACTGGAAGCATGTCCAGCGAGCGACAGTTGAACGAAGGTTCGTTGAGTAGTAAGAGGAAGCAGGCTGGCAAGCGGCATGACATTCGTCTACTGAACTCGAGGATCATCGAGTATCTGGACGGCACTCATTGTTTTGATGAGATTTGCACCGACCTGGATATCAGCGAGAGGGACCTCATGGACAGATTGAAGAGCCGCGAGCTAGGCGATGTGGTCATTATTTGTAGATGAGTATAAGCTTCCCTACTACCACCTAGATGACTACAAGGGTATGAGCGGTCGAAAACTCGAGTATGCAACAATATAAAGGAGCGTATGTACGTCTGTGTAATAATGCTTTTTGGCATAAATGGTCCTGGTTTTTATCCGCATCTCTGCAGCACATCTTTATCGCAGAATCCTGGTTTTGAAGGTGCCTTCCCCCTGAAGGCACAGACACAATCCTAGTACTGACGATACCCAAAAAAAAAAAAGGAAACGAAGGATGGACAACAAAAAGACGAAATCCAAAAAGCAAAAATGATATGAGAGGAGTGGGGTTCGAACCCACGCTTCCTTACGGAAAGCAGAGAACTTCAAGTTTATTTTTGTGTAAAGACTTAAATCTGCCGCCTTAAACCACTCGGCCATCCTCCCTGATGAAATTAGGTAAATTTTTCGGCACAATAATATGTAACGGTAGGTTAATTTTGGGTGGGGATTTAGGGGTCTTTTCAGCCTAAGGGCCGCCTCGGGCGCCTGGATCCGCCTAAGCCCACACTGCAAAACGCTCTACAACACCAAGTTGATGTTGAACATCGATGGGTCGCATGTATGCTTCTACATACAATGGTACTGGGATTGCTATGCAAATACAGTGCAATGCATTAATGCAAGACTGGAACGCTCCGCTTGATATTGTTGTCTGCTACCTAGTATCTACGTACCTCCTTGTCTCGTGGTGCATATATAGTATTGTAAGAGATGTATATTTGACCTGGATATAAGGCTATCTATCCCATTGTGTGTATCCGTAGAGCGAACTGCCCGCCATTCCGTGTAATGGTAGAAGTAGTACTATATATGGGCTGTTCTGAGAGCGGTCTGTCAGTCTATGTGTGGTGTACTGTATGTAGCTGTGCATCTACTTGCGAATCACATTGCCCATGCCGCTGCCCAGTTCTAGGTACTATATGTATGTACTGTATGTTCCATCATCTACCGTGTCCGAGTCTCTGCATACCTTGATGAGCGTCTCTCTCTCTCTCTCTCTCTGTGCCCTCTCTCTCTGTGCCCTCTATCCAGCAACATCCTCGGCCTTTTTCTCTCCATCCACCCCTATCGTCCCTTGATGTCTCTCACCCGCCGTGACATTTGTAGTCTGTCTTTGACCATCATCCTGAGCAGCCTCTTCTTCCGCAAACAATTTAGCAATCGCTTTCATAGTCGTATTCCCACCACTAAACACAATACCCACATTCCAAACCGCATCCTTTACCTTCTCTTTCTGCTGCTCAGCAACCACCCTCGCCCTAAAATCCTCATTGAACAAAACCACAGCCAGCCCAACAGCAGCACTAGGTTCCACCACCACCTTCAGCCTCTCGTAGACCAACCGCATAGCATTCTTGATCTGGTCCTCGGTGACAGCAAACAACCCCTCCAATTTCTTCGGATCAATAAAGATATCCCAATTTCTTAGTCCAACAGGCGTGCGCAATCCATCCGCAATAGTCAAGCTTTTGACATGCTCGACCCTCTTGCCGGCTTCGAGACCCCGACGTCCATCATCGGCGCCCTGGAACGACGGTTCCGCCCCAAAGACTTTCGTCTCAGGCTTATCCGAGAACCAAGTGGCGATACCACCCAGCAACCCACCGCCGCCAAGCGGGGCAATGACGGCGTCGAAGCCGCCTTGAACCAGAGTGTGAGAATCTGCGTCCGCGTTGGCAATGGTTTGTTCGAGGAATTGTTCCTCCATTTCCAGGCCGACGGTGCCCTGACCTAGAATAATGTCTGGGTGATCGTATGGCGGGACCAGAATGGCGTTTTTCTCTGCAATCACCTCGGCCACCACGGCTTCGCGTTCGTCGGATGTCGAGCCACTGAAGATCACGTTCGGAGTGTAGAGTTTTGTTCCGGCGATTTTGGAGGGGGTGCTGATCTTGGGCATCACGATGTAGCTGGGGATGGAGAATGTTGAGGCTGCTAGGGCGAGTGCTTGTGCGTGGTTTCCTGGGGGGAGTTAGTCCAGACTGTTGAATTGGAATTGTGTAGGGATCCATAGGAAGTGTATTTGGCGGACCATCGAGGACAATCAAGGCTGAGGATGAAAGGCAAGGGCCATTTTGGTCCAAACAAGTCAACGCATATCTCCGAGCGAACGGGCTCGACAAAAAGAAATATACGCCGTCGACGTACGAGGCAATCTGATCCTCTCATCCCATACGGGCTGCTCATGCCGCTCCTCGTAAGAGGGCACCAGCTATAAAAGACACCATCCCTCCACCCACAAGAACACGAAAACAAAAACGACAAAACCATAAAGGCCAACCCAAACCAACGGAAACAAAACAGTATTCAGGGTTGCTCGACTTACCACTACTATGCGTAACAACCCCCCTCCGTCTCACCTCCTCCACACCCATTTCATCAATAAGTCTCGTGACGGCATGAAACGCCCCACGGGCCTTGAACGCGCCGATCTTTTGGAAATTCTCACATTTGAAAAACAACTTAAACGTAGGCGCCGAAGGCTCCGTTGACAACTGTGACTGTGCATTGTCGTTGTTGTCGGCAACCTCAACCTCCGCAAAACTAGGTGGATTATCGGACAAATAAACACTCGGATCGACCGAAGAAGCGATGGCGTTCAAGCTTTTGCTGGACAGTAAGGGTGTTTTGTGGATATAGGGTCGGATCTTGGAGTAGGCGGTGCGGATTGAGGAGGGGTTTAGTGGTGGGCATGTTGATGGGTCGGCCATATTGATTTTCAGGCAGAGAACCCTTCTAATGCGTCGTTATGCGGTGCCGTGTTGTGGTGAAGTATATTGTATCTGGTGTGTGGTGAGCGTGTCTCCTGTACCTGGGTAGGTATCTAGTACCTATAGTTGGTGGTCTGATGCGAGATTGAACTCCGTGGAAGCACCCGCGCTGGAGAGATACAGTTAGGTAGATATCTAGATACAGGACCTGCTCAAAACAAGTACTACTGTAGAAAACAACGAGAGATGTTTCTTGTTATCAAGGATACCTACCTTACCTAGGTAGGTACGTGCTGTAGTAGGTATACTTGTTGTTGTGTAGTCTCGCGGAGCTGTCCGCAGAGTGTGTCCGACTTATATAATAATAAATACCGTGCAGTGGTGCAATAGTTCTAGCGGATCCCAGATGTTGATTTTGGATCTCGCTTCCGCTCTAGTAGGCATTTTAACGGCTTGAGCTACCACGGCGACACGTGGTTGGGGCATGGTATCCCACTCACCCTCGTCGTGGCAGTTGGCTCAAAAGGGCCGGATATGCATCTTCAGTATACGTGTGCAAATGATGTCTGGAACCGTCAGGTCGAATCTTATCTTCGCTGGACACATGACGATCAAATGGCAAGGATTTAGAAGAGAAAGACGAAGCAGACGATGAAGATGCAGAATAAGGTACTACTGGGTTGGAGGGCGATGTGGCCAGTACCAGGTAGATCAAGAGAGACATGAGCAGTCTCTCCACTTGCAAGGAGCTGAACAATGGTAGCCAAGCCCCAGCCGAAGACTTGCTGTAAAACGATCATCGAGCTCGCAACGGAAAAAGACAAATCGGATATGCTCGTTTACACATGGTAGAGACACAATAGTATTTTGTGGCAAGATCTCATGTCTTTCGCTCTTTTTTCTCTACCAATAAAAGACAGAGACCTCCAGAATATGTCCGACCTCCATGCCATTCATGTGGACAACTTTTGCGAACGCCTTAATATCCCTATTCACAACTGTTCAGCAGAACTACTGGTTCTCTGGTCGCAGAGAGCTGCAATGCACGTTAGTTTTGATAATCGTGCCAACATCGAGAGAAAAAAGACTTACCGAACAGCCTTGCCGGCACGCCAGATCTCCAAGTTCCGGATCTCTTCCAGCTCCTTCTCGAACTTCTCGCGGTAATCAGGCTGGCTGTTGAATTCCAAGCTGCGCTTGGTCTCCTTGCCAGTCTTGACGCTGTCATAGAGTTCGTTGAACACGGGCTTCAAGGTATCCTTGAACTTGCCAGACCAGTCGAGGGCACCACGACGGGCGGTGGTCGAGCAAGCAGCGTACATCCAGTCCATACCGTTGGCACCAATCAGAGGGTAAAGGGACTGGGTAGCCTCCTCAACGGTCTCGTTGAAGGCCTCGGATGGGGAGTGGCCCCGTTCGCGGAGAACCTCGTATTGAGCGAGGAACATGCCGTGGATGCCTCCCATCAAGCAACCACGCTCACCGTACAGGTCAGAGTACACCTCCTTCTCAAAGGTGGTCTTGTAGAGGTAACCACTGCCGATGGCAACACCAAGAGCAACGGCCTTCTCCTCGGCCTTGCCAGTGACGTCCTGGAAGACGGCAACGGACGAGTTGATACCACGTCCCTCACGGAACAAGGATCGCACGGTACGGCCAGATCCCTTGGGCGCGACGAGGATGACATCAATGTCTTCGGGGACATCGACCTTGGTCAACTCCTTGAACACGGGAGAGAAACCGTGGGAGAAGTAAAGAGTCTAGAACCATATTAGCATGGGAAGTCGGAGGAGGTCTGGCGTTGTCACCCACCTTTCCCTTTGTCAATTGCGGCTTGATGGCTGGCCAGGTCTCACTCTGGGCAGCATCACTGAGCAGGTTCATGATGATGGTACCCTTGGAGATAGCCTCATCAACCTCAAACAGGTTCTTTCCTGGAATCCAGCCATCTTGTTCAGCTTCCTTCCACGAAGCGCCGTTCTTGCGAACACCAATGATAACGTTCAATCCGTTGTCGCGGAGGTTGAGACCCTGGCCGTGACCTTGAGAGCCATAGCCGATCAGAGCGAGGGTATCGTTCTTGAAGTAGTCCTATTCGACTGTCATTAAAAGGCCTGAAACGGGCGACGGATAAGAGAAAAATAGCATACCAAGAGCTTCTCACGCGGCCAGTCCTCTCGCTCTATGCGGAATTATCAGTACTGCATGGGGAAAATATGAGTCCACCAATTTACGCACCATACACGGTCTCCTTGGTGCCTGCAAAGTCAACTGTCTTGACACCTCTCGTCTGCTGCCGGCTGGGGGCGGCGAGGGAGGTTCTCTGGGTTGCTGCGATGACTGGTCTGGCAGCAGGAGCAGAAACAAAGGTCCGCTTGGGGATTGAAGGTGTGCTGATTTTCTGCTTGGAAGCAGTGCGCAGCGTTCTTGCCAAAGTCTTGGAGGCCATGATGTGCAGCTTGAACAACAGGAAGAGAGGAGAGCAAAGAGATGCAAGCGAAATGAGTTCGAGCAGAGTTTTGGTCGATTGAATTGTCTGGACGTACTTTGGCTTTCTTTTTAGAGTCAGCTCGGTTGCTACAGAATTCACCCGCAATTGAAATCTTGGCTCTGAGGACAGACCCTTTCCCACCCTTTTTCGGAGCTGGATTAGTCTCCCCGGCCCCAGGCACCGCAGGGTCTGGCCGCTCTTTGCTCCAGTCACCTACTATACTACTGTCCTCGACCACTCATCACTCCATAGACCTATGATGCGACAGTATCGCTACACGCCAGATCAGATCTGCCGAGTCACTAGCACGATAAGATGCCGTAACCATAACCTTTGTGTCGTTTAATCCCATGTATGAGCCTACCATCTTAAGAGAGCATCTTCTTGCCCAGGAGATCTGCCATACCACAAAATCCACGTTCTAGGCCACCAAGTTCTGACCGCAGGAATAGTCGGTCTAGGATAGCAAATGTCTTTCGTTCATTCATTGTCGTACACGAGTCTAGCTAGAGAATGCGGTGGTCATCGCAAGACTCGGTCGTAGCTCACGCCCCGAACTGTCCCACCACTCATTGCAGTCCTCGCGTTCCTCCGGAACCCTTCTCTATTATTTCGAAGATCTTCAGCTGCTTCTTTGTTGAGCGGGTCGGATGCGTTAGGTTCAAGGAACAGGAACTTTAAAAGGCAGTTAGCGGGCAGGGCTCTATAACAACCGTTTGATCTGCTTACCTGCATGCCGACAATCACCGCATTCAAATTCAACACCGGTTTCCAATCCTCCCGTAGAATGTTCAAGCAGACATTGCCTTCTAGATCGATATTGGGGTGGTAGATCTTCTGCGTGCACTTGACCTTGGGCGGATCGTGCGGAAAGCTCTGGTTGATGGAGAAGTTGAACACAAAACTACCGCCCTTGTACATCCCTTCATCCGGCTCGATAGTGAGAGTGAAATTGAGAATGTCATCTGGGTTCGGAAAGGTCGTCTTCATGGTCGATCCTAGGGACAGTTCGCTCAGATCTGAGCCTGTTTAGCACATGTCCATGTGACCGCTTTTCAGGTCCTGTGCCCACCTTTCTGGACACGTAGTTGTGCCGCGGTGACCTTTTTCTTTTTCTGGGTCGCTCCTTGTGCCTGCTCATCTTTTTGTTGCTGCTGCTTCTGAACATGACCATCAGCGGCTGTTGACCTTGCTGTGGAACGTTCATACCATAGACCATATTTTCATCATCTTGCCGGCTGGGATACGCCACGCAGGCGTGCAAAGGGAGTCGGTGGCGTGTAAGATGGCTCTGGTTCAACGACAGGCGTCGGACGTCATATACCTTGTGGAGGCTGAGACGCAGGAAGAACAGTCGCAACAAATCAATGGCGCAAAACTTGAAGTGGCTCGGCAGGTTCGGGATTGAGGATGTGGAAGCGATGTTCTCCAAGAACAACAGATGCTATAGTGGCTTGAACGGAAGCAAACAGGCGAAATTAGGGAATGCGAAGGAGTCACAGCGCAGTCTAGGTATTATGAACGGTCGGTACCTTAGGGAAATGCAGGAGTGATACAGATGATGGCGACCAAGTTGGTGATTTCTACGGCTACCAGTGACATGGACTACTAGCATCTCGCTCACATGACGCAGCCTGGGGATAATTTATCAGATCTCCCGATCTGGCCAACCACGATTTTGGGGAATGTTAAAACGTCCATTACGACTCGGACTCGGAGCACTACTGTCTACAAGGAGATTCTGTAACATCGCAGCTGATCCGTTTCCCATTATGCTCAGACACACGATGCTTTTATTTTTCGACATCCGTAAGGCGCTTCAGGCCACGATTCTCTACGTCCGATATGCTCTTGAGAACGCTTGCAATGCAAAATCGAAACACTCGACTATCGTCTGTTGAAGCAGCACAACAACCCAGTTCTTCCGAGAAACCAACAGCATCCCAGGAAACGAATCAAAGACAAGGTCGCAGTAGTCCACAGAAGCGCCTGGAAGAAATGGCTGGTCCGCGAAGTGGCTCGGGACTATAAGAAATGTTAGGAACGCGTGGAAAATGGGAACAGATCATTATCTTACCGTAAATCCAAATCGATCAAGACTGTCACTGGTGATGGCAACAGCCAGAAGAGCATTCGAAAAGATCCAAGTGGCCACCAGTCGAGTTCGGAAGTTCTTGTACGAGTCTTCCAAAGTCTTCTCTTCCTTTTCCTCAGGTGGTTTGTAAGGAGCTAAAGCACGCCGAACAGTCGCCTCAAACTGACTGTCAATGTCTGCTTGAGGTTTATCAACTTCTTCGACGACTGCAGTCTTGCTCTTTTCGTCCTTCTTGGTCTGTGCCGAAGGCAGAACATCGGCCTTGTCTGAGCCCTTGGTTCCCCAAGACACATCATGCCAATTACTAAAAGCGTAGATCATCAGGATGTTGATGAATGATGGCATGAGGAGCAGGTACTGGGCGAAGGACGTAAACATATGCCACGGATCCATGTATAGGAAGGAGGCAACAAAGTACAGTCCAAATGTTGCGGCAAGGGCAATGATGACAATTCCGGGGCCGGTCGACGCGAAGAAGGACTTGACAAACTCATTCGCCCCTTCGTTCGTAACGATGTCAGTCCCATTCTTGGTGGTGAAGGCTCGTACCACCAGATACATCGACAATACGATGACGTAGAGCTGAATGAGGCCGAAGAGACAGAATGAGATGATGTAAGCGACTTTCGAACCCTTGGGTCGATTTCCCAGGGCCAGGATGAATTGCAAGAGCAGAAACGCCAGGTACAAGTATTGAAGAATTGTGTTGATGATTGGCGTCGCTGTGTTGCCGAACGGGAAGGCCGAGTTATCATTGCTGGTACTGGGTTGACCCACGAGATCCATCAAAACCTTGGTCGTCAGCCAGAAGGAGGCGAGGGAGAACCAGGACAGCAAAACCGAAACAATGTTGTAGATCATCTGGATGTGGAGGAAAAACATCCGAATCAAGTTATGACCAGACTTGTACATGCGCGAGAAATGCATCAAAGAGTAGATGGATGCAGCAAAGGAGCCGTTCAACCAACGTCGACGCTGGCCGATGAACTCGGGAGCGCCTTCTGGCACATCTGTTTCAGCTTTGGAGGCTTTGACGTAGGACAGATGCCATTTCGACCCGGCTTTGGCGACCAGCTCAAAGCACAAAATACGATCTTCGGCCAAAAACATGTTCTTCTTGAAAATGTTCATGCCTTCGATCCCCTTCTTGCCTAGTCTCTTGGAAAGAGTGTGATCACCGTGGAAATATTGTTCAAGAGGGCGACCCATGATAGCTCTGAAGCGATAGGCAGAGAATGCACCGGGCAAGACACTGACATAACCGAACGAGCTTTCCAGGGGCTTGTCGAGGATGTTGCTGATCTTGTACTCGAAATTTTGTGCTGCCACCAAGGGGTTCAAAAGCTTCCTTCCAAAAACGCCGCCGGGTCCCAACATGGCATGGATTTCACCACAAGCACCGCCCAAGTCTTTGTCATTGTAAAACGCCTGCCACAGTGCCATCAGCGACTTCGAGCCCGGTTTGGTTCCTGCATCGAGCAAGATACAGACTTCGGGATTCAAGATGCGGCCGAAAGCATTGAATAACCATCGATGAGAATTGATCTTTTTGCTGTTCTTTTGCTTCAGGCAAAATATCATCTGTGCTGGTGGTAGGGAAGTCGCGTCGTTGTCATTGGGCCGAATGAGTTGCTGATTGGCAGTAACGGAAAGCTGGGTTGTGTATTCAAAGATATGAGCCACAGTTTCCTTGCCGTCGACATCCTTCTTCATGACCCCGTCTTGGTAGACTCCGATCGTGGCTAAAACGTCGAGAGTATTCTTGTCGCAGGGATCGATGCCGTCAAACACAAGACAGACGACGATCTTCTGCCACGCTGGACCGCCCTTGTTCCAGAACTCGGATTTCTTCAGGTTGACGATATCCCGGATATTCTGCATGACACCGTGGAGGGTGCGGGCCGTTAAGACCTTATCCTCATTGTAATATGTAATGGCGATCAATAACTCGGTATGCCGGTTGTACATGGCTGGTCGCAGATTGTACCCATTCTTCAAGGTGAAATCATCAGGATCACATGTCGCCGCGGTGTACCGCATATGTGTGAACTCTTCGCTGCCCCCCTCTAGGTCATTGCGGTACTTTGCTTGAATGGCATTCTGAATGGCGCTGGGAACAGGGTAATCAATGCTCAGAACGCTACCCTGCACCAGTTTGACTTTCCTCGTAGCATATCTCTTGATAGTGCCGAATCCCGGCGCTTGTCTCTCCCTCCACGCTTCGGTTGAATCCGTCCGGTCAATAGGGTCGGGAGGGCCCGGGGTAGGAAAACCTGGACGCGAATTGTTCATACCATAGCCTTGGCCATAAGGTTGAGTGTATTGGGGATTGTAACTGGTCACGGGCACTTTTGAAGGATCCCCTCCTACGTAGGACTCGTTCAAGGTGTAGACTGATTCTTGCCCCGGCGTCAGAGGTCGAGAGTGAGGGTCGTCATATTGGGACTGATATGCGGAGTTTTGGTGGAGTAGAGCATGTTCTGCTTCATCGTCTTCATGACGGGGAGGAGGCCGATAGACCTACACAACGTCAGTATATAATGGCTGCGAAAGTTGGACCTGCTTGCCATACATTTGTCGAGGGAATGTCGTCTAGCTGATGGCCGGGATATTGGCTCGCCATGTCTCCGAGCGCAACTGCGAGTAGTATGCCCTCGAAACAGGCTCAGGATCGGGCAAACGATGGGGTCACCAGAATAATGGGCGGTTGATCAGCGACAGAGGGTAAATACTAGTATGGTGATGATAAGGGACAATTTATCAAGATACGGCCACCAGGGCCGACTTGGTTCAGGCGATATCTCCCAGCCGCAGGTTGCAGCAGTGAGGGAGTGATGAAGTATGTTCAAGGTGGGCGTGAGACGGATGCGGGAGTGAAGTGTAGATGCGGACAAGGACAAAGAATTCACAACATAGGAAGCACGGTGAGCATAGGACAAGACTTTCCAGGCGAGACAAGGACGAGAGACTGACAGGCGTTTCAGGTTTTCTTTGAACCCTTGCCAGATGGATGCATGCAGAGTTGCGAATCATCAGCGACAGCGGCCCCCTGAGGCCGCGCAGCGCAGCTGAGCATTCAAAATGTAGCTGGGACAACGCTGCCACTGTCGCTTGACGACTGGCCCAATCGGCGGTTTCAGCCTGTCAGTGGTTCGCCGCTCGGTTCCCACTGCAACTACTGGGCTTCCAAACACGCATAGAGAACCATTCATCGTTCTCGTACGCTGCACCGAGACACAGTGCTTAGGAGGCTTGGAAGGCTTGGGAGGCCAGGGCTGTGCAGGATCAGGGTGGAATTGACATCTTGGGTCGTTTGCTGCGGATCTGCCGCTCAGCTTCAATTGTGGCTGGCGGCTCGCGGCAGGCTCAGGCCCCCACAATCAGTGGCCCTCACTATTATTACCACCCTACTAAGGTACCACTGTGCAGTATCTGAAGGGCAAGGCATGAAGCTGACTGGGTTGTACCACGATACTGTCAAACGCAACATACCTAGGGTACTAGAGCAGGACTGGAGGATCCAGCTCAAAGACTGCTGTTTCCTTCAGTTGTGCGACTCGGATGGCTTCCTTGGGACAACTACCAGGGTCTAACCGTCTCCCTGACCCGCTCATTGCGTGGTGCGCGCCACAGAAAGGAGTATATGGATATCCTATTGATTCTCCGCAATGCAGTTGTTGGTGGCGTGGGGACAGCATGCTTTGGATGGGCATGTCGGGTAGTATTCAGGTACCAGGTACATTGACGGAAGTCCTTCTGTGGTGTGCCTCTCGTTGGCTAGCACTGGCAAGGAACAACATCTGTCCATAGGTCTATAACGCCACTTGTATTTGTTCCTGAATCCCAGACAACTGAAAGGTGAACACCACACAGTACAACGTTGTAACGCCTTGGTAGATGTTTTTAGAAGCATGGCTGTGCAATGCACTGTGCATGATCCCCTTTATATTAGTACGAGGCTGGCAAAAATTTGGATAACGGTCGATTCGACGGCTCAGGCTGCTTGTCTACGCGCGAGACTACGTGCCAGATAGCCAGTACTAGTTGTTGGCTCGCCGTAATCTCTGCCACTGCACACATGAGAGACACGGCTAACACTGTAAGGGATATATTTCACTTCACGATGGAGATGCAACGGAGAACCGATTCCAGAAAACGAACACACGAAAGTAAGGTACTATCTGACTTTGATGGATAATCGCTTGGCCTGACTTAAGATCGGGAGGGTCTTACTTGAATCTCGAGCAAGATATACTACCAACAGGTGTCGAACGAGCATAGGATACTCTATTACCACGCAGAGGTTAATAAGCAATCCAAACAGAGAAACTTGCAACTTTTGACTGTGTGGTGAGCGATTTGATCTGTCAGAACGTCTATTCTGCCATGGCAGTCAATAGTGGCCCGCCGACAGATGTCGCTGACGACCGCTGGACACTGGTAGCAATCCTTCCGAGACACGCTCAATGATCATTATTGCAGGACCAGATCTGGAGTTTTCGAGTGCAGACTTGGAAATAACGGCGGAGGGAGATCTCAATTCAGTGCGGCCATGATGATCGAAGTGAATAGTCCAACGTTAGTTCAAGTCGTCTACGAGTATCGGCTGATGAGAGACTCGAAGTCTGGAGATTTCAATGACGCCCCTTGCAGAGAAGGTTGTTTGGGCGTGCGACGCTTTCCCTTGCTGAGCGAAAATGGGGCCGTTGGAATGCGTTAGGCTGCCGCGCGTTGCGCCAGTCCACCAACGGCAGCTCCCAGAGCCCTGGCTATGGCTCCTTAGGCTTCTTGGGACAAGCCCCTTCATCTCCCTCAGATCTCTGGCTGGGCCGCTGCACTTCGGCCGGCCCTCTCTACCTTCTGCGAGTAGTCCTGCGTGCGCACCCACTGGCACGCCAGTGCCGTTAATCCACAGAGAGAGCGGCCGGGGGCGCGCCCGAGGGGCCCTTGCCTGACTGTAATAATGCTCACATTTACCCTCTCGGCTCGGTGCCTGCGCCTACCGTGGTACTACTACTAGCTGGGTTGTATTGCAGTGGTAGCCTTTGTTGAAGGCCTTCCCCCCTAACCCACTCCGTCCAAGGGCCGAGAACAAGAGATCTGCTCCCACTCTGGCCTTCGCCAGCCGTCAAGTCTACTACTCTCTTACCCCTTCTTCAACATGAATTGATCTCTATCATCCGATCACTGACTTACCGACTTCTGTTCAATCTTTGCAATATCTATATCTTTCAATTCTATATCGACCCGTTGTTTAGTGTGCTGGCAACCTTAGCAGCCGGATTGTCTCATCTCACATTCTTTGGTCCGCTTTCGGTCACATTCGCTACCGCGCTCCACCTGTTACTCAATTCGCGCATTCTTCCGTTTCCAACGTTCGCCCGAGCAAAGAAAGGCGATTGCTGGCTCTCATATACAGCAGCATCTTGTCGGCAAGATTGAGAATAGCATACGAACAGCGAGGGATAGTCGTCGTTAAAGCGTCAGAAGCAAGCCGAACCACCGAGGAAAGCGTTCATGCCTCAGGCCCGGGTCGGCCGCCACGATAGATCCTCTTCACCGTGAGGCTCCGAAGCCTCCTCGAAAAAGAATGTCATCAATATTTCCAGCGGACGATAGGACCGCACACCCTCTATTTCGACGTTGCGTACAATGTCCTTCGGAAGCTCCCGCCTGCCCTGCTTGCGCTGCGGACGAACAATGTTCGTTAAGTGCTCAATCATGTAACTCCTGTGCCAGCACAACCTGCGTGAAAAGGGGTGTCCTGCCCGGACAGACTACCAATGAACCCAAAAAGTCGACACCAGTTGGAGGCATTGTGGGAGGCGCTATTGGAGGGATCCTCGCTCTTGCCATTATTTCCTACTTGGTCTGGCGGTTTTGCATTCGGAAGAAGCAGGAGAGGCGCGTGGAGCTTTGGGATCCCCCTGAAAAGAGAGACCAATCCACTCTGCACCGTGGTGACCGTCGCTCAACCAGATCTGCTCACTCGATCGCGTCCACCGTTCTGACAAGGGCTTCGAACGTTATTCAGATTGCCTATATCCCGGGAGTCACAGTTCGCTCTCCACCGGAGTCTCCGGGTTTCGCTGTACCACCCGTCCCGGCAATTCCTGGCGGTCACGGCCAAAATTCTACTGGATCGACACCTCAATTAGAGCAGCATTTCTTCATGCCAGGAGATCTCAGAGATTCCACCTGGTCGGATACCTCTTCGGTAGACCCCCGGATAAGTCTGGCTCCAAGCTTGGCTCGCGCGAGTGTGGCCACAACTATTTATCGCAGTGATGCGATTGTCCCTCCCATACCTGCTCAACAAGCTTTTAGAGCCCAGGCCAATGTTGTGAGCGTCAAATCAGGTCACAGCACCCCTGGTGCCTCCTCAAACTCCAGTTCCCGGACGCCGCAGATCCCTCAAGTACCCAAGCTGGGTACCAGCAATAGTTCGATTGTGGCGAGAAATGTTACGGCCCGGCCCATCGAAGTGAAGAAGGTCAATTCCGCCACGAGGGTTCCTACGCTCGGAAATCTAGCGAAGGAAGCGGCCAGGAAAAGCAACCCGCCAACATCCCCAGAGCAGAAGGATGTGCCTGTTTATGACGACGAGAAGGAAGTTGTTGTGACTTCGGCTCTCACCAGCCCTAGTACAGACTTTGATGAAAATCCAATGTCGCCCATCACGATTCCTAAGCCAGCATTTGCTGGTACAGATGCCACAAGACCCTCTTCTTCCGGAACGGTTCAAGGAAACCAAAGTAGCAACGACAACAGCGTCAACGCACTGATCGAAGACGCCCTCAACCGAGCGCGAGACCCTCTGGTCCGGCCGGAGATGGTGAAGCATGATTCTGGGCCATTCTCGGATGCCAACGAGGTCAAGGAAAATTTACTTTGATCGAGGATGTGAATTTTGGTTACAATTCGATGACAAGCGCCCAGCGGCCACTTGATGATTTGTTTGAAGGATGAAGATATTGGATACCATTCTAGTAGTGACTGTCGGTCTGAGACCGCAGTTCAAAGATCATTTATCTGCCTAATGTATCCTGCCGCATCTGTACTTCCTGTAATGCCAGTTCACATGTAGAGCATGGGCGACGGAGGACACATCAAGGCCTTATCACGCCCATTATTAGTCCGTTGTGAGAGGATTCGGATGCCATGATGTGAGTAAGAGGGCTATATAGTTGTTGCTGAACCAAGTGGCGAGCCATTAAAAGCGTCCAACACATTAGAAGACCTAATCGCAGGCCATACTACAGTGGTAGTATGCGACGTTCCAGAGCCGGCCTGATATGTGGCACACATACCTATGTTATGTAAGCAAGCACAGCCAATTAATGATTCGCGGTCTCTTCGCGTCTCTTCGCGTTCCACGCGTGTGGAGGTCGAGGCGCGTCAGTCCATGCAATGCAAGTTGTATGTGCCATTGTGCCCTTAACAATGTAGCACCTTTCACGCGCAAAATATTGCAAATCTTCCAATCTACTTTTCTGCCAGAATGGGTATTAAAATGGCCGAATCGTCGTCACCTCGCGAGCATTCGCCCCCGGCTGAGGTGGTGTTGCCCGACGCACCGGCAGCTGACAACGAGCCTTCACCGGCAGGCCCTCAGTTACCAGAGGCTGCGGCGCCGCGGCCCGGCATAGCGATGGAAGATCTTTTCGACGACGATGACGAAGAGCTGTTGGCGGACGAGCAGGCAGCGACCAGTTCAGCCATCCCATCTTCGCCGCCGCAAACGGCACCGAGTTCCTCAGCGGCGGAGGTATCTTCGAGTGCTCAGCAGCAGCAGGAGTCGTACTCGGATCCAAACCTAATGCGACAGTTCTATTCCCGACTGTTCCCGTTCCGCTCACTCTTCCAATGGCTCAACCATTCTCCCAAACCGGGGCCGGACTTCTACAATCGAGAATTCGCCCTGACGCTGTCGAACGATGCATACCTTCGATACCAGTCATACGCCACAGCAGACGTGCTGCGTAAAGATATCCTGCACCACAACCCGTCCCGATTCGAGATTGGGCCGGTATACACGACGGCTCCGCGAGACCGAAAAACACTACGGAAAAGCACCATGTTTCGACCGTTGAGCAAAGAGATTGTGTTTGATATCGATTTGACCGACTACGACGACATCCGGACATGCTGCGAAAAGGCCAACATATGCAACAAGTGCTGGGCGTTTGCCACGATGGCGATCAAAGTGGTGGATGTGGCACTCAGAGAAGACTTTGGTTTCGAACACATCATCTGGATCTACTCGGGTCGTCGTGGTGTGCATGCCTGGGTCAGTGATAAGGAAGCCAGAGAGCTGGACGACGATAAACGGAAAGCCATTACTGGATACTTTGAGGTCCTCAAGGGAGGGGTGCAAGGTGGGAAAAGAGTCAATCTCAGACGACCGCTACATCCACATATTGTGCGCAGTCTGGAGATTCTCAAGCCCTACTTCGCTCAGGTGCTTGTGGATCAGGAGCCGTTCATGTCCAAGGCTGGACAAGACCGACTCTTGCAGTTGCTGCCAGACAAGGCTCTCAACGAGGCACTCGCCAAAAAGTGGGCGAGCAGCCCTGATCGTCCGAGTCATAAGAAATGGGCCGATATCGACTCGGTCGCCGAGACAGGTGTCAGTAAATCACTGGACAAGAGGGCTTTGCTGCAGGCTAAGCAGGACATTGTCCTCGAATACACTTATCCCAGATTGGATGTGGAAGTCGGCAAGAAGAGAATCCATTTGTTGAAAAGTCCTTTCGTCGTTCATCCTGGAACGGGCCGTGTTTGTGTCCCCATCACCGCTGGTGGGGATATGAGTCGAGCAGATTCATTTGATCCTCTCTCGGTGCCCAAGGTCAATGAACTGCTTAGGGAGGTGGATCAATATGGCGGCGCTGGTGCCCAGGATGGTGGTGACCAGCCAGCGAATGGTGACGCGGTGACCGTGAGGAAAATCAATGACTGGGAAAAGACAAGTTTGAAGCCTTATGTTGAACTCTTCGACAGTCACGTCAGGACTCTGCTCAAGAGCGAGATGGTCCGAGTGAAACGAGAACGAGACGAGGATGGTGTTACTGGAACAGATGGCATGGAGTTCTGATGTTGGTCTTTTGCGGGTCATGATGAAATTGGTTAAAGTATTGGGCGTTCTGGAAGGTCAGGGTCAACAGGCATTTGCAAGCACTGCAACGTTATAGGAAAATACCAACAAACTTGAGGTTTCAATGAGATATCCTGTTCTCTTTCTTGTTTGTCGTCCCTGAGAACTGGTAACTCTGCGCTTCTCTCCAGCAGCACCCTGTCGATCGCAACCGCCGTCCATCTCCACGTCCCCTTATTGCGTCAGACTCGACTCCCTTTCAGCAAACGGGGGGTTGCATTCCTTCAGATGCAGTCCGTATCAAGAAGGCTCAAGAGCACTCATTGGAGACCCGTGCCAACACTCTTTGGGCAACTCGTTGGCATCGACTGTCAATGTTGTAAAGGCCCATCATCTGTCCCACGACACCACAGCATGAAGTCGATTGCCGTCGGTGGAAGCAAGACGCGGTGCAGTGCACGGCATATCTCTGCTGTCGAGCAGCTATTGTAAGGGCAAGGCACCAAAAGCTCATACCCTCATAGACAATGCCATTATCCTCCTCAAACATCATCCACTTCTCGAATTTCGTATTCAAACATTCCATTCGACGGCACGGCATTTTTATCAAGCATTTTGACCGACGTCTCCCTCCCCGCAGCCGGCACCCGATATTCAAACCTCTTACCTGGACCCGGTTTGGTTCCATCTGGAAGCGGGTAAGGATACGGCAGATACTCAGGGATCAAACCCAGCTGAACAAGCACGGAAGCTTGGTCCCAGGAAATATGCTCATGGTACAACCGGTCGCCGCGCACACAAACCACCGATGTGAAGGGTACTTCTACCCTGCGCCCCGTGGGCGGAATACCTGGAAGACTAAGTTGAAGAAGGGTCAGAACCGTCGCCAATAGGAAAGGAGTCCGTCTATGCCTCACATCCAGTCCATCTGTTTATCATGCGTGAAATTGAAAATGAATTCATCACAGATCCGATCGATGCCCACCGTCCTGCTTACGGGCGTCATGGACGTGTCTTCGGGATTGTTGTATATGAAGTGATGTCGGTAGAAGTTGGTCAGTCTTTCTCGGCCGATGCCTCCTGTCATCTTTTTTGTTTCCCCTTCGGTTAGCCCTTCTTGGATGTAGGTAGTAGTAGTTGTGAGCGTGAGGATTGAGGATCAATTACCGTAGGGATATGATTGACATATGGCTCCTGTACCATGGTCGCCATAGTCTCAGGCACAGACCGCACCACAAATTCGAAATAAGTATGTTCTTCCCAGATCTGTTCTAGATCAAAGTCTGCGCCGCGAATGTACTTTTTCAAAAAGGTGAGGTTCCGCGTGTGGGCGATGGACTCGTTGACGCTGTCGAAGTCGGTGTGGCGGGGAATGGCGAATTTGGAAGACCTCGCTGTCCGGTAGATGTGGTTAATGCTGTTGGTTGCTTTCGCTGCCATTTGACTTCGAGGTGTGGTATGTTGCAGTTTGGGGATAGATACATTGTCATCGCTGCTCCTGTCCTCGGGTACATCACCTATTGATCCTGTGCCAGTGCCGCTGTCGTCCCCGGGTGTATCATCACCTATTGGTCCTGGGCTGCCCACGTTGTCTCCGCCGTAAATAACCACGGCTTTTACCTTTGGGTCGAGCGTCGTTGTTTTCAAGTACGTGTTCCAGATGGAGGAATCGTAGACTTTTTCGATCAGTTTGACGTCGTTCAGGGTCAACAAGTAATGAGGGGAGTTGAAGTTTGCTTGAGGACCAGAAAAGAAAAGATAATCCTACCGATCATTCCAATGCCGCCGTCGGAGCGGCATTGCTTGCATTGCTCAAGGGCAGCCACGGCCTTGTCGACTACGTTCTGCACAGAGTTGGTATCGCGCAATGCGGCTTCGCGAATTTCCAAAACGGCGAATCCTTCTTCTGCCCATTTTAGCAGTGGAGGTGGTATGCCGTCCTCACACACCGTGCCGCCGTCAGTATATGTTGGGGTATCGTCGGGCAGAACAATGATCAGGCCTGGGCCGTAGCCTCGCCGTGATAGCGGCGGGAGTAGGCTTATGTGGCTGTCGATTTTGACTAGTTCGGCAGTTGGTAGCGTGGCCTGCTCTTCTGCACCAGGAGATTCGGCCATGATGGTCTGTCGAGGAGTAGTGGTATGGGCTACCAGCGATGGACTGGCTGGGAGTTCTACCTTATTCAGGAGTTGAAGTTGGTTGTTGTTTGTTCACCTCGGCAGTCGGCCCTGGAACAATGATTATCCTTTCTCATTGCAAACATCAACACACTTCTACTACTGCTTGCAATTGAGAATAGGGGCGTTAACGAGGTCAAAGAAAGAATCCATCTGGATGTGCTCAAAGTGCGGCATGTTTCTAACAAAACACTATGAGTCGTGCTCTTCATTTGCTCCTTTGTCTTTCTCCCGGAGCAAAATCGTCTGCTTTCGAATACTGTTCAGCAAGACTCCACGTTCATTCTCAAACAAACTCTCTTGGCCTGGGAGCACACGCCTCTTCAAAGCTCTTCATCATCATCATCATTGTCGTCGTCGTCATCGTCGTCCTCGGCCTCCTCGGCCTCCTCTCCACCGACGCCTTCCTCCGGTCCTTGGCCCAGGTATGCCCTGGTGCTCGCAAGGACTCGCAGTCGAACTTCCTCGCGAAGCTCGGAGGACTGCGAGAGGGCTCGCCGGGCCAGGTGGTTGCCGTCGCCGGGGACTGGTTGTCCCCGAGCGAGCACCTCTGGCCCGTCGTCGATGTCGTCTACATACCCGTTGTAGACGACATCACCCCTCAGAGGGACGCCGGCGGCATCGGCGCCTCTCAGCTCTTCTTGCTCTGGAGCAGCGCCTTGGCCCTCCGCCGCCACCTCCTCGTGCTCATTGGCATTGTTTTCGCCCTGCTCTTCCTCCTCCTCCCCCTCCTCCTCCGCCTGCTCCGCCTGCATTTGGAGGAGTTGGGTTCTGGAGGGCCGTCCGTCCGGCCAGACGCACCGGTCCGGGTGCCTACGGCACCGGCCGCAGACGGGCTTTACCCCGTCGCATCCCTTCCGTGCCAGGATGCAACGGGTGCACCGGTCCCGGTGCGCCCGATTGCCCTTCTGACCGGACGGACGAGAAGGCCTTTTATCTCCGCCGTTGCCTGCGTTGCCAGTACTGCCTGCGGGAGTGACGCTGTTAGTAAACCTTGTCACTCTCAAATGTGAATGGTAGGACTTACTTTGACTCATCACTTGGGTAGCCATGGCGTCTGGACACTTGAGTGAAATGGTAATTGGGTGAGAGAAGGGTGACAAAAGGGTGACAGAAGGCTGATCAGGTAATAGCAAATCTCGCGTTGAAAGCTTGATCAGTAAGAGAAGGGTGGCAGAGTCGGATAAGGTGTTGATTGCAACTCTTTCAGTGAACACGGATCGAGTGATGAACAGGTCTCGCGCTGATATTTGATGGCTGCTGACGACTGAGACAGAGGAGGTTTGGTAGAACAAGACGCGAGAGTAGCAGGCTGGAGGAAGACACTTGGGTAGACGTCTGATAAACACGCGAGAGCAAGAGGGTTGAGGAAGATATGTTGTGGTAGGGAAGAAGGAGGAATAATAAGAGTAATCGAAGAGGTCTTTATAGGAAGTAGAGCTGCGACAGTGTAAGCGAAAAGTGAAGTCAACTTGAATGTTTACAGTGTGCGCGACCCTAAAGCAGGTAGTGAATGCGACAACACAAGACCTGAACACAGACAATCGCAATGCGAAGGCTGGTATATCACCCGCTAACTGCGCTCCAATAGAAGGCTGCTATTCCACCGCAAGTAATGAATCGCTTCACAGTATCACCAAACAATCGCAGAGAGAGCGGTCATGAATAGTGAATCGTTTGTCACTGCTCTACCTCTTTCAAGTATCGACTTGCGGCTTCGTCACCTCACTGGAATTGGCTGTCTCAATTCGACCAAGGTCTGCGACACATGCGGATATGGCGATGTGAACCATGTTCAGCCTTTGCGGCAAGGGTATGGCAGGCATATGTTCGGCTGAACAACCTCGCCAGTGTCGTCTGCGTCTTCTTCTTGTTTCAAGAACAAATGGGTGCAGCAACAAAGCAACATTACAACTGAAGGAACGACACCTACCATTTAGCCATGACACCGCACCTGCTTTCGAGGAACTCCAATAGAAGACTTGATATGATTGTTCTATCTCATCCGCTCAGCACCAGTGTCTTTCGATGAGCCAGGGTCTGAAGATCCAACATTGCCGTGAATACAGCATATGAGAGTTCGGGTAACCCGAGCGCATGCCGTGGTAAAGAGTCAACGTGTCAACAGCCTTGAGGACTCACATGGACTTGAGCAGGAAATTGGGCCGCAATGTGGACTGGCCAATGCTTCGGCGAGACAACCATCATAGTTCGCTGCAGCCGTCGAGCTGATACCCCCAGGAAGGGGTGCTCTTCGCACCTGAACAGGAATCGAGCACATCGCGGAGGAGCCATATCCGACAAATACAGGACCATGCTAGCCAGCCGGGAGGGAAGCTCTGGGCTGTTGTGAGGTCTCTTGCGAAGCTAGAGAGTCCAAACGAGCTGGACGACACCATATGACTTGTAAAACCCACCATGACCCTTCAATTCGTATGCAGCATAAGAAGCGCCGTATATATTCGACCCAGCTCGTGGATTCAGGGAGGATGGAGGTCAAAATAGGAGCTCGGCATAGTTTCCCTGTGGACATTCCAGCTGTCGAAGGAATCACTAAGTCCCAATATGGTTCGATCCTTGTTATCGATAAGAGAACTTTTTTCGCAGGGCGACAACTGCAAGTTTCAAGACTGAGGTGCTGCACTGCGGAGGCTTTGCATTTTTCATAGACAATCTCACGCTCCGACTACACCGCATTGCGTCTCCCACCAACTGAATTCTCCAGCCATGCCTGCACCCACCATGGAGCGTCCAGTTGACAAGTCCAAGAAACGCAAGAGAAAGCACGGTAGCAAGGCTGCGGCCTCCGCACCAGAGCCCGCTCCAGCGGCTTCTGCGCCTTCAGCATCGGGCGAAGAACTCCCTACCACTACGACACAACCCGCAGAAAAGAGCCAGAAGAGACGGAAAACGTCCCATACGAGCGACGAAGAAGATGACTTAGATTCCAAGAAAGTTTCGAAGAAAGTCTCCAATGGAACTAAGGAGGATGCTTCCAGTGACAAGGACGACGAAGACGCTTCCTCCAGCTCTGAGCAGGACGAAGGCGGTGATGATGCAGGCCCTGAACTTGAAGAGACGGTGAACACAACCAACGGCACCACCGAAGTCACTACAGTGACCGACCTCCCTACCGAAAATGTCCCATCTCTCCCCGGCACTGACGCCACACCGCAGAAATTCTCGGAATTGGGCCTCTCGGAAAAGACTATGAAAGCACTCAACGAAATGAAATTCGAGACCATGACAGAGATTCAGCGCCGCGGTATACCTCCGCTTATGGCCGGGCGGGACGTTTTGGGAGCAGCAAAGACAGGCTCTGGAAAGACATTGGCATTTCTCATTCCGGCGGTGGAAATGCTCCACGCGCTCCGCTTCAAACCGCGCAACGGGACGGGCGTGATAGTAGTGTCTCCGACTCGCGAACTGGCACTCCAAATCTTCGGTGTGGCCAGAGACCTGATGCAATTCCACAGCCAGACGTTTGGAATAGTCATTGGCGGCGCCAACCGCAGCGCAGAAGCGGACAAGTTGACCAAAGGTGTGAACCTGTTGATTGCCACTCCCGGACGACTGTTGGATCATCTGCAAAACACCAAGGGATTCATCTACAAGAACGTCAAGGCGCTCGTGATTGACGAGGCAGACCGGATTTTGGAAGTAGGATTCGAAGACGAGATGCGACAGATTGTCAAGATCCTGCCCAAGGAGGACCGGCAGACCATGTTGTTCTCGGCGACGCAGACGACAAAAGTCGAAGACCTTGCGCGCATCTCGTTGCGTCCGGGCCCACTGTACATCAACGTCGACCATACCAAGGAACACAGCACGGTCGAGGGCTTGGAGCAAGGGTACGTCATCTGCGACAGCGACAAGAGATTTTTGTTGTTGTTCAGCTTTTTGAAACGCAACCTGAAGAAAAAAGTCATTGTCTTCATGTCCTCCTGCAACTGCGTTAAATATCATGCCGAACTGCTCAATTACATCGATCTGCCCGTGCTCGAGCTGCACGGCAACCTGAAGCAGCAGAAGCGGACAAACACCTTCTTCGAGTTCTGCAACGCCAAAGCCGGCATCTTGGTCTGTACCGATGTCGCCGCCAGAGGACTCGATATCCCGGCGGTGGACTGGATCGTGCAATTCGACCCTCCTGATGACCCCAGAGATTATATCCACCGTGTGGGCCGGACTGCCCGTGGTGCCAACGGCAAGGGAAGGAGTCTGATGTTCTTGCAACCGAATGAAGTCGGCTTCCTCAGTCACCTAAAAGAGGCCAGGGTGCCCGTGGTCGAGTTTGATTTCCCGGCCAAGAAACTCCTCAACATTCAGAGTCAGTTGGAAAAGCTGATTTCGCAAAACTATTATTTGAACAAGGTATGTTATCAACACACTGTTACATGGACTTTCATGTAATCCTACAAGGGCACAGTTTGGCTAACATTTCTCGTGTCCAGTCCGCAAAAGATGGCTACAGATCCTATCTCCAAGCCTACGCCTCGCACAGCCTACGCTCCGTTTTCGACGTCAACAAACTCGACCTGGTAAAAGTCGCCAAAAGCTTTGGATTTGCCACCCCGCCCCGAGTCGACATCCAGCTCGGAGCCAGCATGCAACGGGACAAGAAACACAGCGCCAGAAGGAGTTACGGCAGTCAACCGAAGCAGAACGGCTTGAAGTTCAAGCGGAAACATGGTCATGATTGAATTGAACTGAGCTAGTTTTTGGTTAGATAATGTGTTTTGGATCGCGCAGGATCTCGGTTTCCTTAAAGGAGGCGTATCTTAACGTTGCAGTTACATACTCGGAATCGAGATTTACATCTTATGAAAGCCTTACCACTTGATAAATAGTAGAGTATATTAGTAGTAGTGTGAGCGGGATCGACTGACTGACTGACTGAGTATACATTAAGTCTGGCCAGCCATCCGACATGTCATTACTCGCAACATCTTCATCTATCACCACAAGAGACTGGCTTTTCCATAAGAGACTGCAGTACAGGACTGTCCACATAAGGTATGCCAGGCTGGACTGCCCATAAGAGACTGGACTTTCCTTATAAGGTATACAAGACTGGATTGTCCACACAAGACTGGAGACTGTCAACAAAGGCTCATTTATTGGACAAAGTCAGACACAGAAAAATCCCAGACAGCTATGGGCCAGAAAAAGGTTTTCAGGATCGAAAAGACCGTTATTCAAGAAGAGACACACGTAACCTGCATGCATTCATTTATATCTGATTTTTCCCCATATCACCTAAACGGCCCGCTAATAACCCAGTCGTCCAAAACAGCAGGGGGAAAGAGAAGAACAGGGAGAGATACAGTATAGCCCCCTTCCGATGGTCATCAAACCATTCATCTATCGTCTCATCATATCTGCACCTACTTGCAATTCATGCTCGAGGTCATTACCGATAGCGGCATCAGGTTCCTGTGGTCTCGGATCTTCTTGACGCCACTGTGTGGGATTCTCAGGAATGGGCACGGCGATATTGGTCGAGGTTGTCTGAGAAGGCTGATGGCGCACATGATGACGGAACCTCATGACCTCGTCGAGAATCATCTTGCGCATTTCCTGGACGTCATCGACGACCTCGAAGGCGAAGTCGAACGTTTTGGGGCAAGCAGGCTCGTCGGAAGCATCGTGCCAAATGTGGAGATACCTGTGCTCAAGAGCCTCCTCGACCGAAATACGAGAAGACGGATCAAATGCCAGCATTCGATCCAGCAGGTCAAGTGCGTCCGGGTTCGCTTGTGGGAATAGTCGTTGGAAGGGAATCTTAGGCATGTAGGGAAGGTTGCGGACGTATTCCTGGGCACGAGGTGAGCCTATCCTAGACAACGTCTCCTCGTTCGGAGTGCCGAGGTAGTGGAGGATTTGGTTCAGCTGGTCAACGTAGTCACGGCCTTTGAAGAAGGGCCGGCCACCCAGCAGCTCGGCCAAGATACAGCCAACGGACCAGACATCAACTATAATGGTTGCCACGTTAGTAATCGCGTCAGGATGAAACGCCTGGGATGCATTCAACGTACTAGCTTTGGTGTAGCTCTGGAAGCTCAGCATAATCTCCGGAGCACGATACCATCGAGTCGCGACATATTCGGTCATGTATCCAGCATTCTCTTCGGGGTCTTGCGAGAATCCTCTGGCCAGGCCGAAATCGCAGATTTTCAGTTCGCAATCGGCATTGACGAGCAGATTTCCGGGTTTCAAGTCCCTGTGCAGAACGTTTGCCGAGTGGATGTACTTCAGACCACACAAGATCTGATATATGAAGGATTGGAAGTGTGCGTCCGTCAAAGGTTGTCCGGATCGGATGATAGCCGCCAGATCGCATTCCATCAATTCTATGCCGGGTCAGTAAGACGTTATCGATCCGCGATTCGGGTCAAGCACCTTCATAGAGATACGTCTCGTTAAAGTTGTCTGGCCGTGGAATGTCCATGTCATACAGACAGGTAATCTGTAATGGTTCAGCGCTGCGGATTATATGCTCGAGAAGATACCGACATTCCTGTGACCCCGGAAGTGCTGGAGGAGTTTGATCTCACGCAGAGCGCGCTTCGCCAGGATCTTCTTGCTGAAGACATTTGTCACCTTCTTGATAGCCACTCCTTCTCCGGTTTGCGTATTCGTCGCGGCGCTGCGCCTGAGTCAGTGACACCGCGGGGAGAACCAAAGCATTTCTGAGTGCGCGTACCATACGATCCCATATGCACCCTGGCCCAGCTCTTTTGTGACAGTATATCTCTCGTCGACGATAAAATCTTGGTTGAATACTTTGAATACTTTGCGCCCTACTAGGTCCCCCATGTTCACCAGTGACTGTGTGATTGAGTTCTTGACTTTGGATTCGGGCGAGCGGCGACGACGATTGAGTAAGGGAGGGAGGGATCGAAAGGGGGCTTTCGTGTGTTATATGACGAGACTGGTCAAGCTGAACATGAATGACTTTTTCAGGCCCAGTATTATGCTACCTTCAAGGCAGACTTGACTTTGGGGCACTGCGGCTGAGCGATAGAGTTGACTGGCGCTGACACGATTACCGCCGTGTGTTACAGCGAAGGCTGAGGCGGTCGATCCAAGTTCGGGGTGGGGGCGGCTCCAGATGTAGCGCTGCACGTGTGTGTAAGACCTAACCAGTAGTATGACGATGTTGAAGACTGCAAATACAGAAAATAGAAGCAGTGGTCGGTGACACTCGTAGATAGAATTGGCAGGGCTCCAAAATATGTTGTAGCCGCTGAGACGTGTGGCGTCTGGTGGTGATAGACGTGAAGCGTGTTTCAATGTCAAACGCAGGTGGATTGTGCCTGGCGTGAACTCGAGGGGTTCTTGCTGTGATTCCACTTGTTTATTATTGCGGGAGGGATCCTAAGGAGGGGAGAATGATGGCAATAATAGTGATGGGAATGTCAGGGCGGGCTGGTTATAGGTGGTTTCTAGCTGGCGCAAAGCCCGAGGGGCCCGTCGCCCGCTACATCATGCACCGAGCTCCCGTTGCCTAGCGCCCACTTTCAGGTGCCTGTCACTCACTGACAGGACCTACAATGTGTAGAAATAGGTACTCGCCTTACCTAAGGGAGGTTTCTGGGTACCCTTAAGCATAACCGCTAGACTCAGGCGAGGGGCGGGTTTCCGACGGGAAAAGAAAACTCACGGAGAAGCACGTGCCACCGCGTTGAGCAATGGCTTAGTCAGACACCAGTCAATCTCAACCTTGTCGCTAACAGCACTTTTGACCTCCTACTCGGCCTAGTATGCAATGATTGGATTCGGCGTTCAAGATTCAACGATTCCATAGACTGAGGTCAACAGTACAGACAACCTGTTCGCAGACTACTAGTAAGAAACAGACCAGGGCGACTCCAACCACTCTAATTGCGCCAACGGTGCTTGAAAACACAATCTTTTGAAAGGAGCATGGTTTGCTGTACTAGGAGGTGAAAGCAGGGCTCCACCATCCTCTAGCAACTAGCACAAAACGGCCTCTGGACAACAAAATGGAGGAACTGCTTGCCAGGCACCGCAAAGAGAAGCGCGACCTGCAGTCGCGTATCACCCAGAAGAAAAAGAACGCTACGAAGAAAACCAGGAAAGGAGTCAACGATGAGTGTGAGCGACTGGAGCGCGAGCTCGCGGAGAGACAGGAGGCAGAACTTGCCGCATTGACGGGCAATGGCAACGGCAACGACACGACGGATGGACTGGAAGCTTCCGTCGATGCTTTAAATCTTGACGAGGATCCCGTCGATGGTAACTTTGAGACCATACCCCAGGAACAAAACGAGACACCACCCAATCCAAACAACGTTGCACCCTCCCCTTCTCCCAGCGCAGATCAGCAATCACGGCCGAAGAAACCCAATAGGCAAAAAGCCAGACTTGCCCGCAGAGCCGCGGAACAAGAAGCCCAAGCGGCAGCGGCGGCTTTAGAAGCGGAAAACCAGCCTGACCTTCGCGAACAGGAACTGGCGTCCATGAAGAAGCAGATGGAAAGCCTGGGCTTGTCGGAAACCCAGATTCGACCGGATGGACATTGCCTGTTCTCAGCGTGTGCGCACAGCATGCCTGCCGAACTAGTCTCCAAAACCGGTCCTAGTCCGGCCAAAGAGCCATATCAGAACGTTAGGATCGCGGCAGCCGAGTTCATGGCCTCGCATCCCGACGACTTTGGACCTTTCTTGGAAGAGCCTCTGGAGACATACGTGAAGAAAATCCGGGACACGGCCGAATGGGGCGGACAGCTGGAATTGCAGGCGATCGCGCGCTCTTACAATATTGACATCAATGTTCTCCAGGCGGACGGAAGAGTAGAGAAAATCAGCTCCGCCGAAAACAAAGATCCAGAAGAAGCCATATGGCTGGCTTACTACCGACACAGTTTCGGACTCGGTGAACACTATAACGCTTTGAGGAGAAAAGATGTGGACAAGAAGAGCAGCAACAGTTGACAGGACCAAACGATCGAACAATACAACAAAGTCGAGCTGGGATGATCAGCGAGAATCAGACTTTTGCTATTCTAAAGACAAAAGACTTTTTTCACTATTCAAATGAGCTACTTTTCGAGAGGTCAGCGATGTCTCCAAACAGCTATATAATCCAACACATTTCCATCCGCGTCCTTGCCGACCTGATGCGTGTCGGCGGGATGCCAATGGCCCACCCTCTCAAGGGCACCCGGACTAGATGGCGCCAAAGGATTCAACCTGACCTCCCCCTCGGCATCATACTTGACCTCTTCGCCCGGATGACTCAAATGTTCAAGATACGCCTTTGGGGGCGACGCAAAGGGCGGTCCGCCAAGCGATGCTGGTTTATTGGTAGGAAACTCGAGACAAATCAGATTGGCCTGGGGCGAGTGTCGAAGCAGCTCGGTCATCCGTTTCGCCCAGGCAGGTCTGAGTCGCGGTTCCATTGCACAGAAGAACTAGAAACAAAATCAGCATGCCACACAACAAACAACGCATTATCACATTGCCATATTGTACAAAAGTGCTAAGTTCTATTGTACTTACCGTATAATCATAAATCAAATCAAACTTCCCATCCTTCGGCAACCCAGCCTTTTCCAACCAATCATCGGAATAAAAATCCCCCTGGACGAATTTAATACTTCCTTTACCGAACTTCTCATCGTGCACAGGGTAGTCGTCCGCATGTTGCTGCGCGTACTCCTCGGCCGCCTTCACAGCGTCCGCGGCATACTCTAGGCCGACGGCGTCGTAGCCAAAGCTCTGCAAGAGCACAACGTCGACTCCTCGTCCGCAGCCGGGCACTAATGCGCGTTTCCGCCGTGGTTGACCGTCCCCGTTGCTTTCTTCATCAACGACCAACGCATTGCCAACCACGTCGGCATGGTTGATCAAAGTATCCGGCAGGGCTGGCGATGGAGCGTTACGGTCCCATGGTAGAAACTCGCCTTTGGACCACAGAGCCGCCCATCCGTCTGCGTACTTGGACCCCGAGAACTCGGCGAAATGGCGTTTGAGTTCGGCGCGTGCTTCTTCGACGGGCAGGTCTCGTCGTTGAGGCTTGCTGTCGGAGGATGACATGGCTCCGAGAACTCCTGTGTACTGGAGGAGTTTGCGCACCAGAGATAAACCGTGATACGGCCTGGCTATAGCTGCTGGGATTCGATTGGTCCAAGGATAGTACCTCAAGCTCCGTGAGGTTGAAAGGACTGGGAATGTCGTGGCTTGAAGCACCAAGGGTGGCACGAGGTTGCTTCGTTGGCTTGCACGAGTGATACTGGCCCGGTTAGACGTGTGGAGGCCGGGGGGAAATCTCATCAGGCACTGCGGAGGGACTGGTGAGAGCGAAGAATGGATTCGAAATCGACCTAGAATGAAAACTGTCGTCCCTGGATGGTGATTTAATATGTCTGTTGTGCAACTATAAATATTGAGTACTCAATTTATTAGTAGTAATCAATTGCCATTGGGACTTCTGCAACTTTCCGGCTGCCCCGCAAGATCTATCAGCCGGGATCAAGGCGTCTACAACGTACAATCTACAATGAAGACCGTCCACAGGAACGACCGCTGGCCTTGGATGATGGACTGGGCGAATCACAAAGATCCCGAACAAACACGTCTGTAGTCCAAGCATTCATTACCTACAAGTAGAGTGTCGAACATGGTTAGGGAAGGCATCTCGACCACCTTGAAGCCAGTGCCAGACGGAAGGCTGCGCCGATGCCGGGGATGTATTCCGTTTACCTAAGGTATGATGACGAGTCGGTACACATATACTGCTAAGCGTTGTGGGCATCTCTCCGCGTGTTGGTGTTGGGATAAGGAGGATCGATTGTCTGGCCATGCAAGGAGCAGAGTACTCGACATATTATTGATGCCCGCTGCATTGTTTCCCGCTGGTCAACATGCAAAGAGCCATCTTGCTCAGTTCTGTCCAGAGCAATAATGGCTTTGCTTCACCGCTGCGATCACTGGCCGATAAGGTGCCGAGGCAAGTCCCGCCGTCTCTCGTCTTTCAAGTTGGGGACGATGCTGGCGGAGGAGGAGGAGCCGCAGTTCCGACGGGGTCCTTAGGGGATTCCTCCCCAATCGTCGTTCTCCCAAACGGCAAAAACGGCACAAACGACTTTCGTTGCGTGCTCTCCATTGGTGCGATTTCATCTTCATGGAGAACTGCGCAGGAAACCCATCGTCGACGGCTCATTCTACTCACGGCACACTGAATGATGGCGCACACGCGCGCCGCCATCCTGCCCGCTTCCACCATGGCCCTTCGTTCTAACGCCACGAAAAAGTGTCCCAGTGCGTCCGATATAAGCCCACCGGAAGCCTACAGAACCATGCGGTTGACCAGCTTGCTCACTCCATGCACGTCAGTATATCTGGCTTTTGAGATCTTCACGCCCTCCTCTTAAGGCAGGCCTCGAAGCCAAACGTGGAGGAGTAATGACTTGTACCGCAGTCCCTTGGTCAACCTCCGCCGCTTCCCTCTGCCTCAACCACAATTCCACCGTTCTCCATGGCTAGCGGATGTCCTGAGATATTTCCCGAGAAGCCACGGCCCTCGCATGACCCTCGTTCAGGAGAAGAGTTGGGAAGCAAAGAGCGGGACATTGACAATCGATCTCTCCACTCGATAACACCATCTGAGCAGTCAACAGCGGCAAGTGCTCAAGATATCGAAATCGCGGACGATGTGCTGCAAAGGACCATCACTCCCAAGAGACCGATTGTCCGGGTTCCTCGAGCAGAAAGGCGCGGTCTCTTTGCACGGTTTGCTCTTGTGGCCGAGGTGACGGAGCCCGTCGACTATAAGAATGGGACGAAATGGTTCGTCACCTTCATCGTGGCCATCGCGGCGGCAGCAGCTCCTATTGGGAGTGGCATAATATTCCGTATGACTCCGACCCCGTCCGTTGATGGCAATCTTGTTAACCCGTGCTTTAGCAACGCTTGATGAAGTGGCAAGGGAGCTCCATACCACACCTACCACAACCAATTTGTCTGTTGCGCTGTACATGTTGAGCATGGCCATATTCCCTTTGTGGTGGTCTGCCTTTTCTGAAGCCTCTGGTCGCCGCTCAGTCTATATAGTCTCTTTCGCTCTCTTCATTCTGTTTGCTGTCCTCAGCGCTGTGTCCAAGTCGATTGCGATGCTTGTAGTCATGCGAATGTTGTCTGGCGGTGCTGCAGCATCTGTTCAGGCCGTGGGCGCAGGGACAATTGCCGATTTATGGGAGTCGCGTGAGCGAGGCAGGGCCATGGGCATCTTCTATCTTGGTCCCCTCTGCGGGCCCCTCTTTTCACCTGTCGTGGGCGGAGTATTAGGCCAGCACTGGAACTGGAGGGCCACTCAATGGGCGCTCGCCATATATGGAGGTAAGTTAACTCTCCAGGATGGACATCGGTGGCATGGATGTCGTACTAACAGTGAATGTGCCAGTTTTGACTTGGCTTCTGATCTTCTTTGCTCTGCCCGAAACTCTCAAAAGAAGAAAGGACTTCATCGAGGAAGCCGCGGCCGAGACAGTTTCAGTGGGCGGCGGAAGCGACCGACCTGGACTGAGTCGGACCTCGACTCGCGAAGTCGTCCAGCAGAGATCCAAGATGTACCTGAAGGCGGCCAAAAAGATCCTCGTTGATCCCTTGGGTGTCATCCTGTACCTCAGATTCATGCCTGTGCTGCTGACCGTGTACTACGCGGCGGTTACCTTCGGATCGCTGTACGTTCTCAACGTGAGTATACAGTATACGTTTGAACGAGAGCCATATGATTTCTCGACCATCATCATTGGTCTCCTGTATCTGCCCAACTCGGTCGGGTACATGCTTGCGAGTATCTTCGGCGGCCGATGGATGGATTCCATCATGAAACGGGAAGCCATGAAGGCAGACCGCGTTGATGAGCAAGGAAAATTGATATTCTATCCGGAAGATCGCATGCGCGAGAACGCGTGGCTAGGTGCCCTCCTCTACCCAACTGCCCTGATCTGGTACGGGTGGACGGCAGAGAAGGGGGTCTTCTGGTTCGCACCGGTGAGTCACTCTTGGGCACCGATGATGTATGCCGGTCACAGAACACTGACACGGTTGCGTTTAGATGTGTGCAAACTTCTTCTACGGAATTGGTTCTATGCTTATTTTCGCCATGTCCACGACCATGCTGACCGAGTTCATGCCTGCACGGTCGTCTTCTGGTGTTGCCCTGAACAACTTCTGTCGAAACATCTTTTCATGCGTTGGCGGCATTGTTGGGGCGCCTTTGATCGCGTCGATTGGCAATGGCTGGCTATTTACGATCTTGGGCCTTTGGGCCTTCTCCAGCGCGTCGGTGATATGGGCTATGAAACGATTTGGGCCGCGGTGGCGAGAAAGGTTGGATCGAGATTTAGGTTGAGCATTCGACAAGGAATAGATTCAATTTCTAGAAAGGAACTTGTCAGTGCCTCGCTGGAAAAGGGATGTCTCATATGCTCCAAGGACATACCGCCACGTGACCGCTTATCTTTGAGCCTGACTCGGACCGTGTCTGTGTTTTACAGTAATAGTCCGTGTTCATGCGCACCTTGATACCTGGTCCATCTTTGTAGTCACGAGCCAGACGACCGGGGGCGGGTGGAAAGTGAGGCGACCACTCAAAAGCAGAGCGAGGTCGATTGCATGCCATGGTTCAACTTGAAGGCGGGAGCAGGGAATCTGAGCCAAGCCGGCAAGCGGAATCGCCCTTCCACTGGCACTGACAGTCGGCTCGCACCGGGCCTCAGCTTGTGACAACTTCCACCCCTCACTGCTACCAAGTGCGCTACGACTTTTCCTCTCATCCTGCTCAACTCTCGATCTAGTGCTGCTTCCTTGTCTCCCTTATGCGTAATTTTTCCCGCCGTCTCCAAGGCCATCTCTCAGATTGCAGCGGCTACCTCAATGGCAAATGTTCCCCAGTTCAGGCGCAGGGATCATGCAGCGAGCTGTTCAGTCGATGAACCCCACGAAGTCTCCAGATGAACTGGCCGCAGACGGTTCAGCACAATATATTGCTTCTGGCGAGATGAACCACTCGGAGTAGGACTTCAAACCATCTTTCACTCCACTGTTGCATGCATTGAGGACAAGACGATGGATGCATACAGGTCTGCCAATCTCCCCGAAGTAACCCACATACACTCGGTCGGGCATCAATCTAAATAGGACGGCGTCCAATCGCGGGACTCCCCAACGCACTTCGTCCACTGACAGCCGTTCGAAACCTGCAGTACTTCAGTTGTCTCTGGTGTTGTATGACAGGACCCAGTGTTCGGCTGGCCTCGCGCATTTTCCGCAGCACTATCACTGCATTACTTCTGCACTGATCATGCCTGATGTCCGTCCTCAGAATGTGCCGACACCACTTGTCATCGTCGACGTGGTCCAATTGCAAGATCCTGCTTCCCGAAGAGGATGTTTATCAAGAAAATAGGACAGGCATGAACATGGCCCAGGTCGATGCGTCCCAATCGAAAACCATCACACCTGTCCTCAAGAACCCTTTCCTTGGTCAAGTGTTTCTGGCAACCCGACCAGCGTCGCGGCCATGCACATTCTCCTTATGCCCCTCGTGTTCGTGTCTACCTGTTGTCCTTCGCTCTGGTCCTTGCCGTATTGCCCCGATCGGTCTAGGTCACGTCATTTGTTTCCCGATTGCTCCGCGAGTTTCTGATCTCCGCCCAAAGGTGTGACAGAAAGTCCCGACCGTTGGGCCGGTCGAGATCGTGCCTTGGTCTGACCTCAAACTTCATAATGCGGAAACACAGAAAAGGAAAGAAGAAGAACGTGAAGAATCTAACCTCCTACACTCCCCTGGTCGATCAACCCAGCTCCCCTTGCGATAATGGCGCAGCAAATACCTTTCCAGTATGCACAGCTTCCTGTGTACCAATACAGAACTTTTGATATGCACACACTCACATTCTCATCCCATCCTATCATACCTCCCGAGCAGATAATCTTCACCAGCTCTCGTGCTGACAAGCCTTTGAAGAATGAGCCACCCCCTTCAGCACTTGTAGACGAAGCTGCCGCGGCGGGCACAGAGGACATGGCCGGTAAGGATCCGCAGAAATTGCCTACAGAGTCCAGTCTTCTAATTAGGACTCCAGAGTCACCCGTGTCCTCTTCGGATCCGCCCGCTCAACCAGATGAAGAGCACGCTCTGGAGCAGAATGCGCCGGCAGATTCTACCACAGTATCGGAGGAACCCAGCACGAGCGAGGCACCCGGTATGCTTGGGTCATGTTACAAGGAAACCAGTCTCACTAACTCAGGGGTTCAAGCAGCTGATTCCAATGAAGTTACATCGACCACAGAAGCGTCGGAAGGAGACGCTTCGGTTGAGGAGCCGTCCAGCGATCCTGGTGCCGATAATGGAACTCAAGATGCCGGAGGAACAGCTGACGAGCCAAGTTCCAACGATGAAAATAAAGGAGAACAGCAAGCGGAGCCAGAGACGGTAGTCGAGATGGTCGAGAAACTTCAAGAGGCGGACGCTTCACCAGAGCAAGTCCTCGAAGTTTTGGAGAAAGCAATGTCTGATGCTGGAGTCGAGCCAGACTCAGGGGAAACAACCGCAAGCGTTTCCGATCAACCCCACCAGGAGGGTTTCGAAGATACCAAAGCGAACGAAACCGAAGCCCAGGCTTCCTCTGACTCACCGACTGAAAGTCCAGGAGAAAGCCCTCCGGAAGATTCGTCGGGGGCAGACCCCCCCGGAACATCAGAAACTGTTGAAGACACGAAGGATGACCCATCAGCTGATACGGAGAACGGAGCAGAGTCTACGGAGGTACCAACAGAGCAGGCGACGGTGGAGAACTCCTCTGACAATACCGAGACGCCTGAGGAGACAGCAGCAGAACCATCAGCAGAACCATCAGCAGAACCATCAGCAGAACCGGGTGAGCAGAATCAAGAGGAAGGGCAGCAGGAGACTGAGGATCCTGCCCAAGATCCCCAAGGTGACGATGCTGGTGGTGAGCAAGAAGCAGAAGGAAAGGTAGATGAGGCTACAAAGGATGCGGCTGGCCATGACGAAACCACGGACGCTGCAAATGGCAGCGGGAACAGTGCAGATCAATCTGCCGTCGAGAAATCTCCTCCCGCTGAGGATGCTGCTCCGGAAGCGCCACCGGAGCCTCCAGGAACCGACAATCCTTCCGATGAGCAGGCTGCTGAGCCTGAAGCGACGGAGGGCGAAGCATCTAATGATTCAGGGTCGGGTGAAGGGGCTGGTGAGCAGGTCACACCGGAAGAACAGTCTCCTGCTGGGAACGATTCTAAGGAGCCCGATAATGCACCAGCGTCTGACGGTGGCGACCAAGTGGAAGGCGAGTCTCACGCTACCCCGTCTGAGGAGCCACCCGAGGCAGTGGATCCTCCGGCAGCGAGCAACGAGGAACCTGCACCAGAGGAGACTAATTCAGGAACGGAAGAGGCTAAAGGAGAGGAAACCACAGCGGATGCTGCCGCCGAGGAGCATGCCGAAGAAGACAAAGGCGCGCCAGTGGAGGAGCCTCCGGCAGAAGAGCCACCCGCTGAAGTCCCTGCGTCAAACGACGCTGCAGGAGAGACCTCTGTCGAAGATGCTCCAGCTGCTCAAGAACCTGAAGCAGGCGAAGAGGCTCCCGATCAACCTGATCCTGCCGAGCCTCCTGCTGAGAACCCTCCGGAAGCAGAGGTCGCTACTACAGAAGGCGCTCCAGTCCCTAAAGAGACACCCACGGAAACAGCTCCAGAAGCGGCCCCTGACACCGTTGAGCCTACTGCTGAAGAGGGCTCTACTGAGGAGGCCCCTGCTCCCGAGGCGGACCCTACAGCAGAGCCCGCCGCTGAAGAGACTGGCGCTGAAGATGCTCCTACCGTCGAACCACCTGCCAATGAAGCAGAGTCTACACAAGAGCCTGCGGCCGAAGAGGCTGCGGCTCAGGAGCCAGTCACTGAAGAGCCACCTGCTGAACAAGCACCCGCCGTCGAAGAACAGGCAGCTACTAAAGAACCGGCAACTACTGAGGAACCGGCAGCTACTGAAGAACCCGCAGCAACTGAAGAACCCGCAGCAACTGAAGAACCCGCAGCAATTGAAGAACCCGCAGCAACTGAAGAACCTGCAGCAACTGAAGAACCCGCTGCCGAGGCACCACCAGCTACTGAAGAGGCACCACCAGCTACTGAAGAGGCACCACCAGCTACTGAAGAGGCACCACCAGCTACTGAAGAGGCACCACCAGCTACTGAAGAAGCACCCCCTGCCGAGGAAGCACCTGCTACTGAAGAAGCACCCGCCGCTGAAGGGGCACCCGCCACTGAAGAAGCACCCTCTGCCAAAGAACCACCTGCTGAAGAAGAGGCTGCAGCTGAGGTGCCAGTCACTGAAGAGGCACCCGCCGCTGAAGAAACACCCGCGGCCGAAGAATCCCAACAAGCGGAAGCTCCTGCGGAACCCCC